TCCAGATTCTTCCATGAGGTTCTGGATTTCTACGAAATTCATGCCTTGCATCTCGCACCCAATGCCGTGATGACGCTGGCCATCTTCGTGCATTTGTGTGAGATGTTCATTGGGGTGCGACCGACGATGCGGTTGTTCCAGGCCTTCTTCATTCCGTAGCTTCTGCAAGGCGCGGTGGTGGGGGGATGCTACTTCCAGCCCCGGCCAGGCACAGCGGGTCAGTACATCGAGAGCAATCTCCGCAAGAAATGGGAGGACTGGAATAAGGACTGGTTCTACACCGCGTTGCCGGACCATCCGCGACTTCGAGTTCCCGCTGGCCCTCCTGAAAGGTCTGCCGCATGGCTGGCGACTTCGGAGCTGGGCGAGGAATACGACGCGGTGTGGGATCGCCTTAGGGGCCTGCGGAGCCTGGGCCTCACGGGGGCGATGGTCTTTGGCGATTACTTCCGCCGCTGCATCGCACCTCTTCAGGAACGATCCCGTGGAGCGTGGGAATACACTGGTCCCAACGACCCCATGCGGACGCATGTGGGCGAGCGCTGGGACTAGGGTGAGGAGGACGCGAAGAGGGTGATTCGGCGGGTGCTGGGCCTAGACTCCGCTGAGCCAACACTAATCCCAGATGGGATTCTTCCCCTCTGCTGCTACCGTGACCGGGAGAGCATTCTGGCCGTGATGTCAGCCATCGTGTCACGCCCGGAATTTCTATCCAAAATTCCAAACGCTTACATGTGTGTGAACCCTCGTCCAGGAATCAGCCGAGGCACACAATAACAAATTGATAATAGAGTACAATTATTACTCTAATTAATAGGCGAATAAAATGTCATTACAGAGGTAGATAGTTCCTCTCAATCAATAAAGATCTAAGCAGCGGAAAATAAAATAAACGGCGCAGACGGCTCCACTCCACAAGCAGCTTGACCAAGGCTACACCTAATCCTCCACACCATCAGCATCATTGTAGAACTCTTCCTCTGATGAATGATTGCAAGGTGAGTATATGACATACTCAGCAAGCCACGCAGCAAATATGCAAGTGCACAGGATAACAAAGGATGGCATAGTAGGGTTTCATCTTTTTGCAAAAGCAGCATTCAGCAAACATTTGAGAATTTAATAAAACAGTTAAGTATTAAACAATATTAACCCAACGCTATACAACATACCCTGTTGCATAGGCCCAACCATTCTGAACAACCATCCCGGCTGCACAGTTCTATCTCCAAACCAGGAATATACCATTCCAAACCAGGAGCTAATCAAATTATTACCAATTATAGCATCATTTACTATGGTGAGAAGTGTGAGACTAATCACGAAAGACATTGTTAGACCCGCCCATAACCGTGGGCACGGCTATTCGAATAGTTTTACTCTGATCAGAAGTGTACCACTGTACCCACAAGACACAACCCCACATCATGTCACCATGTGCCTCAATACCACCACGGTACCTCGGAAAGGAGTTGTGACAATACCCCTTGCATAACACAATCCACTACAGCGCACCTTTCCTGGATCATAATCACCCCCTTATAAACAAGGCATGGACTCCCCAGCGACCCCCGTGGGCTTATCTCCGCCACTTCTCAGTCTGGTGCTCCGCAATGAACCATGCTATACAAAAGATAAAGCCGTTGCCCACGCTGGCTTGTGGTTGGCACGGTTAATGTTTCACAACCGAAACTCGTGAACCGGTCCTTAATTGTCATGAGCACGACCATCAAAACCATGTGCTCACAACCCACCATTATCAGGTTTTAGTTGGCAAGTAATTAATTAACCAGTCACGATTGACCATCATGAACAATCATTAAGCCATCATTAAAATAATAGTGAGTCATAAGTTATCCCAATAGTGTGCTAATGTTTCTAAGCATGGATAAGCAATCACATCTAATATCTAGCTGAACCAATATATAAAGCTCAACTAGTCAAGTTATAATAACCCAAGGTATCAAGGAATAAAGTAACCAAGAACAAAAGGGCTATAACAAAGAATAGGTTAATTCCACCCAATGACATTCGAAAATAAATGCAATAGTTGAATAGAAACAATAGCTTTAAACGGGATCAACATGCTCAAAGGGTTGTTTGGGATCTGTGTGACTTGCCTTGCTGGCCTTGGAACTCTTCAAACTCTTCTCCTGCGAAAACGGACTCTCCGGAAACGACGGAATCTAAACAGAAAAGAGCAAAATCACCAAAACAGCACATAAACAAGCATGAACAGTACATGTGGATATTTTTAACATGTAGATCTCAATTTTAGAAAAATTTAGAGACTTGAACCAACTAAATCGGAGCTAAGATGAATTAGTTATGAATTTTTGAAGATTAAATCGGATTAAAACACTTGTATTGATTTTAATTGAATTATGACGCAATAATGAATTATTTTTGAAAAGGAAAAAGAGATTTATTGCGTCAGCGGGCTAGGGTTTCGGTGGACCGGGCGCACGGCGGCGGTTCACACGAACGGACGGCCGAGATCGACTTGATCCAAAACGGATGGCCGAGATTGAACGGTCCACGACCGGCTCACGGGGAAGGGCGACGATGACGTCGGCGATGATGTCACCACCGGCGACGGCGGCTCGGCGGCTCGGGCGCGCATGCTCGCCGGCGAACGGCTGCACTACGGCACGAACGGAGGGCACCAACGGGTAGAGGGCGACGCGGCGAACTCACCGGCGACCAAAAAGGCGGCGGAAGAGCAACGGACGGCGACGGCGACGAGGTTGAAACGGCGGCGGAGATCGGGTCGACGGTGACGGCGGTGCTCCGGCGGTCTTCGGCGGCGGCGAAGCGGCGGACGAGGACGGCGGCGACTTGACGATCACGACGGCGACCTTCCCGAGCAACGGCGACGGCTGAAACGACGGCGGCGCACGGCTGGAGCGGCGGCGACGACGGCGGCTCGAAGCTACACGGCGCTAGGGCACTACGGACGACGAGAGGCGAAGGCGAAGGTGGCGACGGGTAGAGGAGAGCTCGGGGAACCTTTTAAAGGGGCTAGGAGGCGACGGCGAAGGCCCACGGCGGCTGGCGACGGGAAGGAAAGATCGGGGTTTGAAGGAAAGAGACCGATCCGAATCGAACTTGATTCCACGAACTTCCAAAACGAATTAGCCGACGTTTCCAAAGGGGAAAAGGTAGAGGAGATCCCAAAGATTGTTTCCCCTCAATCAATTTCACCGGAAACGGAAAGGAGCGGCCGGATTTTGGAAGGAAACGGCGGCGGCGCGAAACTAGGGTTTCGGGCGGCGGCGGCCGGAGGTTGACGACGACCCTGACAGGTGGGCCCCACCTGTCAGCGGGCGGACGCGCGCGCGCGGCGGCGGACTGGGCCGGACTGGGCCGAGGAGAGAGAGAAGGGTTTTGGGCCGACTTTCGGCCCAAAGCCAAAAGAAGACTTTTTAAAACCTTTTTCAATTTAAATTATTTATGAAATGCAATTCCATTTATTAAAAATACTTTCTTAGCTCAAATAAATCCCAGAAAAATCTAGGAATTATAGAATTAAGCAAAGTATTTAATGAAATTTTATCTGGCCCCATTTTATATTGGAATTTATTAATTAAAATTAGATCGTCTCTTCTAGGCTTTTAAAATAAATTCTAAAAATTCCAATTAAACAACAATTTATATATTTTGAATTTTTAGGGTGTGACACATCGGCGCCGGTAGGAGCCGGTCCAGTCGATGCGGCGCCAGCGGTAGCGCCGTCGGCACGGGTGGCGGTGGTGCGACCGCGGGCGGGAGCCGGGCCGGCGGTCCAGGCGGCGGTGGCTCAAGGGCGCCTGGATCGAGCCGCGGACCTGGAGATGATTCCGCCGGTGACCCAAAGGGGAAACGGAAGGTGGCCTATTCCCGGCCGCCCTCTCCCCCACATGGAGGAGGTGCCGAGCGTGCAACGGATCGTTCGCCAATGGGCCACAAGCGACCTGCCGGGCCCGAGGCTGGTCGGAAAAAGAAGCGGCTCCGGAAGATAGCACAAACGGAGCCATGCCGGGGGGGGGGGGGGTTTCATCGAGCCCCCAAAGTGGACCTTCAACCGCCCTCCCCGTAGGTACGATTATTGGCGCTCACTTTGGTGCTCTTACCCAACCCATTTTCTTGTTCCTTCTTTTTCTTTTGTTAACATGATCTAGGTTCTCTTGTAGCGAGATTCCTTCTCAGGGAATCTCAGGGTCAGACCCCCCGCAAGGGACGAAATCTGAACGGTTGGGGCAGTCCGAGCCCGGCCAAACCAAGGCCGGGGTTTTCGCAGCCTCGTGGCGGGACCCAGAGGACACGCACTGGGCCCGATCCCGAGCGACCCTCAGGCGGGACCCGTCCTACTGTGGGTGGCAGGGGTGGCGACGCTCCTCCCGGGGGCGGCTCCGGGACCAGGGTCCACGCGGAGCACCACCAAGGATCGGGGGATGAGGGAGGTCGCGGCCTGGGAGCCGAAGCCGGAGGTGGTCCCGAGCTTGAGGTTGAGGCTGGGGGCGGTCCCGAGGCTGAGGCCGAGGCTGAGGCCGGGGGCGGTCCCGAGCCCGAGCCCGAGGCCGAGGCTGAATCCACCCGAGGACCCGAAGCGGGGGGTGAGAGGGACAGCCGTTCCCCCTTGCGCTTGGGGCGCCCTCGAGGCTGGTCTCGCAGAAGGGGGGCCGAGAGCAGCCCCCAGTCTCGCGGGGGATCCAGCAGTACCCCGTCGTCCCGGGGGCGGACCGCGGCCTTTTCCTCCCCAACTCCGGCGAGTATGGAGCCACTTCTGCAGGTGCTCGCCGCCGCCGACTACACTGTACGAGAGGGGTTGAACACCCAAGTTCAAGCCCTAGCGGAAGAGCGGGCGGCCCTGGATGCAGAGTGGGAACAGCTCGCCGCGGACCGCGCGCGAGTCGACGAGGGGCGTCGCGCCGTGGACGACATGGTAAGGGTGGGGGCGCAAAATGCATCAAACCCAACTAGCCAAAATCCAGGCGCGCGAGGAGGCACTGGACTCCGTCATGCGGGAGGCGGAGGAGGAGCGGCAGGCGGCGCTGATCGCCTCGAGCGTCCTGGATGAAGCGCGGGGCGATATCCGCCTTCAGTACGAGGCTCACGCCGAGGACTTGGCGAAGAGGATTAGGGACGCGCGCGGCATCCTCGACGCAGCCGCTGCCCACGAGCGGCGGGCATCGGAGGCCGACGCCTCGCTGCGGGCGCGGACGATGGCACTCGAGGCTGAACGCAGGGCCTTGGATGATCGTGCCCGCTCTGCACAGGAGTTTGAAGCCACAATCCGTCGGCGGATCGAGGTCCTCGATCGAAACCAGCGTGAGCAAAACGCGTGCGGTGAAGAACAGGCACGGCGGGCCCGGGAGCTGGAGGAGTGAGCACGCCTGCTAGATCAGCTGGAGTCTACCTTGGCCGCCCATGAAAGAACGGCGGCAGAGGTGGAGGCTTCCCTTCGCCTCCGTGAAGAAGCCGCGGCCGAGCGTGACCGGATCACCCTCGCCGCGAAAGCTTCCGCGGACCGCCGCGCGGAAGAGCTACGGCTGCGGGAAGAGGCATGCCGGGAACGGGATGCCGCACTCGCCGAGCGCGAAGCCGAGGTGAATCGCCGCGAGGTAGCCTTGCGCCGGCTAGGCGAGCAACTCGCGAAACGAGAGGAGGCCGTTGCCGGGCGCGAGGCTCGTCATCTGGAGAGCGCCCGCGCTGAGCGTGCGGCAATATCAGCGAAGGTCTCCGAGCTGGAGGCCCGGGAGAAGGACTTGGTAGCAGGCGGGCCGCCCGGCGGCGCGGGTTTGGCGAGCCAGCTCGCCATGGCTCAGAGTACCCTCGCCGACTTGGAACGCCTGGTGCAGGATCAGGCTGGGGAAATTGCGGCCCTCCGCCTCACCAACGAGCTCGGGCCCGGGCAACTCTCCGACACCGTCGACTGGCTGGAGCACGCGGGGCGCCGAGTCGGCATCTCTGTGCGTCGGGACAGCAAACTCCCGCCCACACAGCCAGCACTCGCGCTTCGGCTGGACGGGCTGGCGGTGGACCTGGAAAGGCTGGAGGAGGAGGTCGGCGAGACCATAAAGTCTTCGTCAGTTTCTTTGGCACGGGCTGCGGTGGAGCTGGTCCTCGCGAGCCACCAAGCGCGCGACCCCGAATTCATGCCGTGGCATGCGCTCGAGGATTTTCCCCCGGGTACCGAGGCAAGGGCCCGGGAGCAAGTCCGGGAGGCGGCTAACGCGATTGTCTCAAGCTTCGAGGGGTCGGCCCCCCGGTTCACCTCCGGGCTTACCGCGGACGAGGAAAACGGAAGCGGGGGTGACGACGGCGATGACGACTAGGACGACATCGTCAGTGGCGCTGGCCTCGGGGGGCCGGGCACTCCGTGACCACTCGCGCCTTTAATTCCTTTTTGCTGTGTGCCCGTAGCAGGCACTTCTTGTATTTAGGCCATTGTGCCATCCTATCTTGTTCTGCAACTGAAACTTCTTTAACCCCTCTTACTCTTTTGCTTTTTCCATTGGATGCCTGTGATATAAAGAGAAGAAAAAACCAGGACAAAAGGGGATTATTAGACTGCCTGCGATTGATATGTCGTTTTGACCCCCCCTCTCGGGCTTGTTCTAGCGAGAAGATAAATCCGCGCTCGGTCCATGGAATCTAAGTGGTGAAAGGCAAGACCATCGCCCCGAGGGAGCCGCCCAGCAGGACTGGCCAGACCGAGGCTGCGACGACCGGGGGTCGGGGACGACCGTGTGTAGGCCCTTCCGATCCCCCGGGGTTCGGCACAACCCGGGGCGCGGCCCGCGCTCGTGCTCCCTTTCGGCGGTTTTCAGGCCGTCTTACGGCACTTAGGGTTTAGAGTAAACGCGGATTATCCCTTGAACCGGGACAAGCCAGAGAAAGGGGAGAAAACGGTCTCCACGAAAACCAAGGGGTTGTGCGGGGGCTGGCCCGTGCTCCAGGAAAGCAAAAAATCTCGATGTCATGGATAGAAACGACAAAGGTGCTCGATATTCCAGGGGTTGGGCAGCTCTGTGCCGTCCTCCATGGTTAACCGAACGGAGCCTAGCCAGGGCACTTCGATCACTTTGTATGGCCCTTCCCACATTGGCGAGAGCTTCCTCAGCCCCAGGCGCGACTGAACGCGGCGTAGGACGAGGTCGCTAGCTTGTAGTGATCGGGCCCGGACGTGGCGCTGATGGTAGCGTCGCAGGCTTTGTTGATAGCGCGCGGCACGCAAGGCCGCTCGCCTTCTCCGTTCTTCAAGATAATCGAGATCTTCGCGGCGAAGGGCATCTTGGTTGGCCTCGTTGTACAACGCGACACGAGGCGACCCGAGGGAAAGCTCGAAGGGTAGGACCGCTTCGGCGCCGTACACCAAGAAAAATGGTGTTTCCCCTGTGGCGCGGCTTGGAGTGGTCCGATTTGCCCACAACACGGCGGGCAACTCCTCGAGCCATGAATCCCCGTGCTTCTTCAGGACGTTGTACGTCTTGGTCTTGAGTCCTTTAAGGATTTCGGCGTTGGCTCGCTCGACTTGGCTGTTGCTCTTGGGGTGGGCGGGTGAGGCAAAGCACAATTTGATACCCATGTCGTCACAGTAATCGCCAAACAGCTCACTGGGGAACTGGGTGCCGTTGTCTGTAATGATACGGTTGGGCACTCCGAATCGAGACGTGATGCCCCTGATGAACTTAAGAGCAGAATGCTTGTCGATTTTGACAACTGGGTAGGCCTCGGGCCACTTGGTGAATTTGTCGATGGCGACGTACAAGTGCTGATACCCGCCTCGAGCCGCCTTGAATGGCCCAAGGATGTCCAGCCCCCAAACTGCGAAAGGCCAAGATAGTGGGATGATCTGTAAGGCTTGGGCCGGCTGGTGGGTCCACTTGGCGTGGAACCGGCATGCCTTGCACCGCTGGACCCATTCTTGGGCATCTTGTAATGCAGTCGGCCAATAAAAACCTTGCCGGAAGGCTTTTCCGACCAAAGTTCGTAAGGTCGAATGGGCTCGGAACTCACCCTGATGGGCGTCGGCTATGAGCTCGATGCCCTGCTCTCGAGAAATACACTTCAAGAGTATCTCGTTGGCGGTACGCCGGTATAGGGTCCCTTCTACAAGGACGTACCGTTTGGAGATGCGCGCGAGCTTTTCAGCTTCTGCGCGATCCTCAGGATGAGTATTGCCTTCGAGATATGCCCGGATGTCGGTCATCCACACGACCTGACGAGGGGGGTCAGGGTTGACCCCCTCGGGCCCCGAGGGGCACAGGTCGCCCGGAGTCGGGTCGGAGGGCGTGTCATTGGGGTCCCTCAAAGGGCTCGGTCGTGCCGATGGTTGCGCGAGCCTTTCCTCGAAGGTCCCTGGGGGAGTGGGGCTCGTGCCGACGCAACATGCGACAACTCGTCAGCAATTGTGTTGTCGCGTCGGGGCACGTGCTGGAGCTTAAGTCCGTCGAAGTGGCGTTCCATGCGCCGTACCTCGCGGACGTACGCTTCCATTTGCGGGTCGTTGCACTGATACTCTTTGGATACTTGATTTACGATCAGCTGGGAGTCACCCAAGACCAGGAGACGGTGGATGCCCATTCCGGCTGCCGCCCTCAATCCCGCGAGGAGCCCTTCATATTCTGCCATGTTGTTCGTGGCTCGGAAGTCGAGACGAACGACGTATTTGAGGACATCCCCGTTTGGCGAGGTCAGCGTGACTCCGGCACTTGCACCTTGAAGGTTGAGGGAGCCGTCAAAATGCATAACCCAGTGCCCGTCGCGAATGTCGGCGTTTGGATCCTCTTCTTCTCCAGGGAGGGGAAAGGGGACATTAGACGAAACAGGTTCGTCCACCGGGGTTCATTCCGCGATGAAGTCAGCCAGGATTTGACTTTTGATCGCGTGCCGCGGTTCGAAGTGCAGATTGAACTCAGCCAGCTCGATGGCCCATTTTACCACTCGTCCAGTACCCTCTCGGTTGTGCAAAATTTGGCCAAGAGGGTATGTCGTCACTACGGAAACCCGATGCGCTTGGAAGTAATGACGCAACTTCCTTGAGGCCATTAAGACGTCATAAAGCATTTTCTGGGCCTGCGGATACCGGGTTTTCGCATCTCGAAGTGCCTCGCTAACAAAGTAGACGGGCCGCTGCACCTTTCGACGGGGCCAGTTCGTGTTGTCAGGGGCTGATGACTCGGAGCGCGCCTGTTCGGAGGTCCCGGGGGGATCCCAGACTGCCTCGGGATCATAAGGCTCGGGGCCACCTGCCAAAGCCTCCGCTCCTCCCTTGGGGGCCTCGGGGTCCTCCCGGGGGCTGGAAGCTTTGGGCGCTAGGCCTTCGGGGGACGAGGGGCCATCGCAAGCCGAAGGGGCCTCCCGTTCGCCTTCCTCACGCTCAACTACTAGGGCGGCACTCACCACATGGGGGGTCGCGGCCAAGTAGAGTAGCAATGGTTCCTCCGGTCCCGGGGCCACCAAGACGGGAGGGAAGTTAGGTAAGCTTTCAGCTGATTGAGAGCTTGCTCAGCTTCCTCCGTCCATACAAATGGCCCGGAGCGCTTGAGGAGCTTGAATAGGGGCAGCGCCCTCTCACCCAGCCTCGATATAAATCGACTCAGGGCGGCCATGCATCCAGTGACGCACTGCACATCCCTAAGCTTGCTAGGGGGGCGCATCCTCTCTATCGCGCATATTTTCTCAGGATTTGCTTCTATGCCTCGGGAAGAGACTAGAAAACCGAGAAGTTTGCCCGCCGGCACGCCGAACACACACTTATCGGGGTTCAGCTTTACGCGCGTGGACCTAAGACTATCGAAAGTTTCGGCCAGGTCCTGTAGCAACGTGTCTTGGTGGTGCGTCTTTACCACCAGATCATCGACATACGCCTCTACATTGTGCCCTATCTGATTACTTAAGGTAATACGAGTCATGCGCTGAAAAGTAGGGCCTGCATTCTTCAATCCAAAAGGCATAGTTGTATAACAAAAGGTGCCCACAGGAGTAATAAAGGCGGTTTTTTCCTCATCTTTCCTAGCCATACGAATTTGATGGTATCCAGAGTATGCATCTAGAAAACACAAAAGGTCGCACCCCGCAGTGGAGTCGACTATTTGATCTATGTGTGGTAGAGGGAAGGGATCTTTGGGGCATGCCTTGTTGAGGTCGGTGTAGTCGATGCACATCCGTAGCTTGCCATTGGCCTTCGGGACGACCACCGGGTTTGCCAGCCACTCCGGATGGATCACCTCGCGAATGAAATCAGCCTCCAGGAGCCGCGCCACTTCCTCCCTGATGAAGGCCTGCCGCTCCGGGGCTTGACGCCGCACTTTCTGCCGGACAGGTCGCGCATCCGGCCGCACGGCAAGGCGGTGCTCGATCACCTCCCTGAGGACCCCGGGCATATCTGACGGCTTCCATGCGAAAACGTCAGAATTCGCCAGCAGGAAGGAGACGAGCGCGCCTTCTTATTTGGCGTCCAAGGTTCTGCCAATCTTGGCGGTCTTAGATGGATCGTCGCCAAGGGGGATTTCCTTGACGGGCACCTCGTCAGCCGAGGGGAGGCGCTTCTTGGAAGCGTGGGACGCAGAGGCTTCTGGGGCCTGCGGCTCCGTGGCCACCGCCAGGTTGTCTGCGCGCTGCTCCGCGCAGGCGAGGGCGACCTTGACATCACCAAGGACGGTGATGGGACCAGCAGGACCCGGCATCTTCATCTAGAGGTAGGCGTAGTGGGTGGCGACCATGAACTTCACCAACGCGGGTCTACCCAAAACCGCATTGTAGGGCAGATTGAGGTCCGCCACATCGACTGGCCCCCCCATCCACCAGCACATGCTTCATCTTGACGTTGTGGATGGTCGGGGAGACCACCAGGGCCAACTTTCCCCCCCCCCCCCCGAGCGAGCACCGTCGGATGGTCGCTCTGGTCGAATGTGAGCTTCACCTCCGACCAGCGCACCTTCCGGACCACCTCATGCGTGGGAACAATGGCCAGAAGCTCCCACTTCATAGCCTTGAAGCTTCGGCGAGAGGTGTGAGCGCAAGCCCCCCCCCCCCGGTCGAGCGTGGCGACGGTCCCCTGAGGTATCTGGAAATCCAGATCCTCACCGTCTCCGCCATCATCGGCGGGGGCCTTGTCCTTGGCCTCCCCTCGCTGGTCACCGGTTGAGGTCGCGGGGGCTTTGCCCTCCCGTCGACCCTGCCGCTTTTCCTCATCAGCCTTTCGGAACCGCTCGGCTAAATTCTTGACCGAGCGGCAGTCGGCGAGACTGTGGCGGTAAGTGTTGTGTACCGAGCACCACTTGTCCGCCGACCGGCCCTCGCCGGAGGGAATGGTAGGGCTCGGCCTATCGACGGTGGCATTTTCTTTGCGCGGGGCCCGCGTGGGCCCGTCTGCTGCAAGGACATGGCCCTCGTCATCGGAGCGGGCTGGTTTCCTTTTGCCTCTCCTATCTCACTGCTTAGAGCGGGAGGCAGATTCGGGGGTAGCCGCAGCCGCCGCACCGGTGCTGGGAGAGTTCCAGGCCCATGCCTCCTTCTTCTGGGCCACCTTGTCCGCCAGCTCGAAGAGCTCGGCAGTGGTCTTGAGCTCCTTGGAGGCGATCTTCTCCAGCATGCGATTATGCCGCACGCTGTTCCGGAATGCATACACAACCGCGTGGGCTGGGATGCACGGAATGGTGTTGCGGACCTGACAGAAGTGTTGTATGTACGAACGGAGGGACTCATCATCCTTCCGCCGTACAGCATGTAGGTCCACCTCTTCCCCCGGGCGGGGATATGTGCCCTGGAAGTTCGTAATGAACTGCTGGCACAGATCCTCCCAGGAGTGAATGGAGCCGGGGGGCTGGGTCATCAACCAGCCACGCGCCTGACCCTTGAGGGCCATGGGAAAGTAATTCGCCATGACCCGGTCGTCACTCCCTGCCGCCACGATAACCGTGGTGTAGATCTGGAGGAACTCGGAGGGATTGATGCTACCATCATACTTCTCCGTAAGGTTGGGGCGAAACTTCGGGGGCCACCGGACATTCCGGAGACTCGCCACAAAGGCCCTACAACCCGTCCCCCCAGGGGTGAGTGTGGGGGGAGGGCCGCCTCGTGAAGAGGAGCGTGGCGCTCCAGATGAGGAGGCGCCTTCCCCCATACGGGTAGCTCGGCGCTCGTCTCGGCGTCGCTCGATGTTGATTCGAGCGTCCTGCGTCCCGTAGAGGCCGTCATGGCACCTCCGGCTTTCCGAGGCCCCTGACGATGTTGGAACCGTGGACCGCCTCGAGATCGTGGCCGATCGACGAGCCCTTCTCCTTGCCGACGAGGAGAGGGTGACCGAGGTACGCGACGTACCAGCGGCAGCGGATCGGCCACTCGTGGCTAACTGCCACTGGGTAGTAGTGACCAAGTTGGCCACGTCGTCCAACCAGCGCTGAACAGGAGTCTCCAGCTCCGGGTTTACCGGGGGATGCCGCAGAAGGGCGCCTGCTACCTGAAGCGTGCCTTGGGGCAAACCGCCGTCTCCATAGTCGAGACGGCAGCGTGCCCCGGCGCGTCGCGGCCTCCCTCCGCCAGGGGGCGGAGAGAGAGCCGAATCACCTGAACGAGTGGGATCCTCCCTCCGCGAAGGTTCGCGGCGGGGAGGAGTTGGAGAACCATGGCGACGGTGACGAGGACCTCGGCTCTCGCCGGAATCCCCACTCCCGGACAGGGTGGGAGTAAATGCCACCGCCTCCTCCTCTACTTTCAGGACCTCGACCATGGTCGGCTAAGGCCTGGAGAAAATTGGGACGAAAGAAAGCGACTTCCTCTCGGAATGCGCAACCGCCCCTACTTGGCGCGCCAGCTGTCGAGGAGAGATCCTCAATAGCGGGGAATCGTGAGACCCCCCATTTGTGAGTTCGGCCGGGGGCGGAGGCTCATCTCTTGGAAATCACTCGCTCGTCCCTAGGATTACCGGCAAGCTTGCACGCAGTCGGATTATACAGGTTCGGGCCGCTATGGAGCGTAACACCCTACTCCTGTATTTGGGATTATGGATGAGTTTTACAAAGATTTCTTCACTCTAGAAAGCGCACTCGCTTCCTCTCTTCTGGAGTTCAGGTTTTCTGGGCGTCCTCCTCTATCTCAGTGGGCAGGGTCCTCCTTTTATAGCTCAAGGGGATACCACATGCGCCGCCTCTACCTACCCTCTATCGGAGGGGGATCCCACTCCACTTTTCCTGGGCTTTAAACCGTGCCTTCTCCCGGAAGCTAAGCAACAACCGGTTCTCGAGTGGAACCAGGCGCTGCCCCCCGCCTGACACGGGGGACAGCCCTATCATTCCCTCATAAATGAACGATGACCTGTGACAGCCCTTCCTCGAGTGACGCTCGGACATGACGGGTCATACCCACCCCCACTCCGCCGGGTACAAGGGCGACGTGAGGACATGGTTGCCCTATCCATCGGATGTGACGGTGTCAGGCCGGTCACATCCGTTGGACAGAGGTTAGCTAGGCGCGCCGCACGTCTGCCCTTACCGCATTAAATGCGGTGAGGGACAGTTGGGGCGTCGCACTTTTATGGCTGTTCAGCCTGTGCTCTCGCTCTCTCCCTCCGCTGCGTGGCAGCCGGGTGAGGGCCTCGGGGCGAATCCGCGGGATAGCCCGAGGGGGTGACGCCATGCCCCGAGCCCCCCCCCCTCCCCCCCGCCCCCCCGCCGCTTCCACGACTCGCGTGACGCGCGAATGGGGCTAACTTGCAAAGTCACGTGGCCAGAGGGAAAGTAATTCCCCTCTACTTCACATACCCCCGGGTCCATATCTCCGACACATATCATCAGAAATCTTGAGGGGATGTCCCTTGATGCACCCATTTCTCTCCACTATAGTACTAGTTTAATAATAATCTAGAGTATAATGATACCATCACTCCACGAAATGAAGTTTAAAAGCCATATTGTGAGTACCTGCACGTTGGAATTTTCTCAACTAGATGTGGAGATGAACACGAGGGAACACGGCGTGTACCGCGATTTCATTATGTTATTATTATGAGATTGCATCTAGTAACAAGAAAATGTATGTGTTAGACAATAATTATGAAACTGACGGACTAACCATCCATACCGACAACATAGTGTGTGCCACCGCTCCTTTTCGATACGTACAATGCCCTACTATACGTTTTAATTTTATTCCTCATTAGCATTTACAGAGTACGTTACCATGATCGATCTAACAAAAACTCTACTTAAGGCGCCGAAGAATTAACTAATTAAAAAGTGATTTTACAGTTCTTGATACGATACTGAAAGATACCGTGTTTTTTATGTAAAATTTAATACCTCGCGATATCTTCAATAATAATAATAATAGAAGATTAATACCTTCAATAACAGTAGAAGATATCAAATTTACATTAAAAATTTTTGGTGTATCTCCGAAGGATTGTAAAATTTCTCGTGATTAAATGATAGTGTAGCATCTGACCACGATCGAATCATGCCAGTTTCAGAGCAAGGCGGCGACGGTGACGAGCTTCTCGAACTGGCGCGCCCGGCCGCTTCTGCGACGTCGGGGAGGCGAACGGCGTGGGCTGGACTTTCCGTTAGTGGGCCTCATTCAGGCCCACTGTTATCACCGCCGATCCACATTTCCGTCAATAAACCGACAGTTGACTCAGATGTTAGTTCAAAGCATTGGCCAGAGTGAGTATATTTGGATCTGTAATAACAATATTTACTTTACTTGCAGTTTATTCACGTGAGCTAAACCAACAAAAAGAGAGAGGGAAAAAAACGAAGACGGGATACAGCTGGGGAAGAAATTAGGGTACTCAACTCTGAAAAATCAAAACGAAGGCTAGCTAACTATGATCGCAACCAGAGAACGTACGTACTGAAGAGGGTTAACTAGGGGGCTCTCTTAATTAAGGGATAATCGCTGGATAATCCAGTCCAGCGAACTGAAGTGAAGAAGCAAGCATATTCAGTGCAGCCGATGAGGAGTAGGAGGAGCAGGAGGAGTAGAACGAGGAGGAGGAGGAAGCGGTGACTTCTTCATCTTGCTGATGAAGTTGACGGCGATCCTCATCATCTTCTGGAACTGGACGAGGCTGTGCTCCAGGATGACCGCCATGTCGCCGTTGAGCTCCCTGCAGCTGTACGTTCACATGGTGACGTCGTTGATGGCGCGAAGCACGAGCGTCTTGGCGACCTCGTCGTCGCCGGCCTTGAGCGCGGCGGCGGCGCCGTGGATCTCCTTCATGGCGCTCGACACCGTCACGCTGCAGTTGTCGAGGCAGGCCTTGAAGTCCGGCACGGACTTGTTGAACCCGGGGAGCTTCCCCTCGAACACCGTCGCCGCCACCGCGCCGGACTCCGTGGCGGCCTCCATGGCGACGGCGACCAGGGACCTGAAGTCCACCTGCCCCGGCGCGCCGGCGATGGCGGCGCCGTGGTTCGACACCGACGTCAGCACCGTCTGGATGTCCAGCAGGCGGTGGCCCAGGTCCTTGACGCACAGCTTGGAGAACGGCCCCGCCGTGCACGCCGCCACCAGCGGGCTAGACCCCGGCGGGAGGCGCGCCTGGGCGGCCATTGCTGAGGCGCACATCAGGACCACGACGAACATCGCCATGGACAACAACGACGACGCCATTTAATTTCCTTGTCGATCACTCTGCTAATGAAGCTTTTCTAGTTGTTATTCAAGATCTGAATTACAGTAAAATTCGATCAAACGCAATAATATATATAAGCTGAAGAGACAGATCTGTTGGTTTGATCAGTGAGTGGTTCTTCTTTGTGCTCTCAGCTCGTCGCCGTAGTCGCTGAGGCTGGGAGGGGTTTTCTCTGGATGGTGCGTGCATGCGCGCCATGAGTGGTCGCGCGGGAGTGAACTAGCAGAGGAAGCGGGCCAGCTTGTGCGAGTTTGCCGCGCTCTTCCCTCTCGCCGTCTCGCGTCGCGTACCCGCGCCCCCGTACGTCACCGCTGTCACGGTGTCACATTGACTTTTCTAGTTGTGTGGAGTATGTTTCTGCAGCGCTTGTACTCTGTCAGCTGATTGTTGCGAGAAGAGGTCGGCTAAGCCGTGTCTCGTAGACTTTGATCACATCCCTTTTATATACAGTGCAAAGTAGCTCAAATAATTTCGCATGTAAGTCCCTTTTATTTTCTATTTTACTCTTTATATTTTGTTGATTTAGGGGAAAACTTCAATATTTTACAATGAACACCTCAAAAATCATGAACATTTATAAAATCACATTCCCTCCTCTCCACCGGCAACTTCCTCTACTGAAGCCCCTCTCTGCCAGCGCCGCTCTCCCCCCACCCCTTCTGCCGATGACACTCCCCCCAAAACACTGATGATGCTAGCTTCCATCCCCATCCGCCTTGTATGGGGCCATGCCATCTCCTAACGTGCTGCTCGAGCTGTGCCTCGGTCCGCCCTGATAAATCCTAACGATGAACACATGTTTTAATTGGGCTCAGCAGTATTCACTAAATATGGGAAAGGCGGATGTGGCATGAAATCTCTGATGTGTAAAGCTGGGGCTAAACAACAACTAGGCACACTGTGAAAGCCCTAAGGGTACTCACAGTGCAAGCCACAGGTATGAGGAGCCTGGACTAGGTCACAAGTTAGAAATCTCTATCTCACAGTGAAAAGTGGCTCTAGGATGACTTAATTTATCATGTGCTCCCTTGTAATTTTTTACTTTAATACTCATATACTTTTTAAAATTTAGAGAGTAGTCTAGCAATTTGCATAGAACACCCTAAAAATCAGAGAAAAAAAAATCTACTCCCTAACCTCTTCCCCGCCACCCACCCGTCACTTTCATGTTCCCCTCGCTTCACCGGCTTTACCACTCACATCGTCGGTGATGAGCTCCTCAGTGGCGCCATTTCTCCCCTCTCTCTTCCCGGTGCCACCTCTATCCGGACGGCCGTCGAGTATATTGAAACAGCAAAAAGGCCGAAGGCAACTCCGACGGCGCGTCAAGGAAGCCACGAATGGGTCAAGGCGGCCGCCAATGCCGTCTCGTCGAGCTCCGCCTTCCGTCCTCTCTTTCTTCTCCGGTAGGTGGCGGCAGAGGTGACGGCATGAATCTGGCGACCCTCAACGGCGTGGAGTGAGACAACACGGATGTGGCGGTGGGCCTTGATAGCAGAGGACTCCAAGGCAAGTTAATGGCTGACGGCTCCGTGGAGTGGCCCTCTACAGCGGAGGACCCCGAGGTGGGCCTTGGCGGTGGACCTCGACGGCAGAGGACTCCAATGCAGGCTGACGGCTCCGTGGTGCGGTGGAGTGGCCTTGGCGGGGGCTGCAGATCTGGCCGTAGCGATGAGGTTCCGCAACGGCTCGCCGTCGGCCAGTCTGCCGCCACCAGGTTCTTCCTTTCTCCAGTCCTCATCTCCTCCCCAGCTCGCTGGCGATTTATGGCGATCACGGAAGCCACTTAAGGCGAGGCTACAGTTGTAATCTCCACAATGCGGGTCGCGCCCATCTATCCTCATGCCGCACGCCCTCGATCGGATCAAAGAACCTTTGGCTCATTTTGGCTACGCATAGTTTGTTTGGTCACTATAGGAGCGAACGTGGAGTCTAATCTACTACGTGGAAGGTCGAGGGGCGAACGACATGTCGACGCACTATGAACGCCCTAACATTGCAGCACATTGATATCTGATATTTTGTCTATCGGGCTTAGGTTGATGGACAGTAGCAGCAGTTGATCATATATTGCACTTGTTTATTGAGTTGCGCGTTTACTCGTGTAACGAGATTAGAAGTATGGTTAACTTTGTGTTTATCACGCGTTCTCATTGGATGTTATGCATAGTATATCTACCGTTGACAACTAGAGACCTTTTACAGGGTCTGTATTCCAAAAAAAGTAGAAATCCAACGCTCCATAATGAAAGGTACCCTGTAAAAGGTATTTGAGTATTGGCATAGGCACTTAGGTACCAAGGGTAAAAAGATAAATTTGCTAGTAGAGAGGAAAGGAAAGAGTTGTCCGTAAATTCAGATCGGTACCGCGTCGGTACCAGTTAAGTTGCATGGTACTAGCATTAAAGTTCTCATTTACGTGGTTTTCTCTAGATTTACATTTTTGTTTCCAAGGACATGGTAGAACTCTTCCCATTAATTCTCCATTACGTTATTTGCATAGTTATTTTGATATTTATATTTTGTTCCCAAGAACATTAAAATATCACTCAAGGTTTACGTTTTAAGTTTTACATTTTATTTGTGGAAAAAAGAAAATTGTAGATAAAATATTCCTAATGATTGCGTCCATCTGAACATGCTATGTTAGGTTAACCAACAATATCAGAGCTTCTCTCTTGACCCTATCTTCTTACAGGTTCACCTATTCAAACCCTAGAAGAAGAACATATGAGAATATCTCATTTTAGTCCCTTATATGAAGGAATTTGTTAACTATGTAAATAACGAATCAATCGTGCAAATAAGTATAGGAGCAGAGGAGATCTTTCCCGATGCGCTTGCACCTAGCCGTCGATCGGCCCATCTTGAACCCTCAACTGTGCCGATATTTCTCTGGACCAATTCAAACCCTAGAACAAGAACGAAGCCGGGGTCAAAGAAATGAGGCGTTGATCTTTTTTTTTCCCGGTGCAGAACTGCAGATCGATCGATGCATTAAATTGTTCGAAAGATTTACTTTGTTTTCTACCTAACAATTCTGGTGATTGCACCCAGGTATTCGATTCACTCAAAATGCTCCAGGTATTCGATTCACTCAAAATGCTCATTTTTTAGTAGTTAATTACTCCATTGCTACTAGTTATGAAAATTTTATTCCATACTTGCCCCTCTTTTAATCAATGGTTCACATTGTTCTACCTCTCAATACCTTCAAGTACCTCGCAAACACCGTAAAAGGTCTCTGACAACTATTATACCAGTTGTGCCGCTGAAACCCGACTTGAAACCCGGCTGTGTGTGTTGTCAGGCAGCAAGAAAGATAAGACATTACTTACAAATCACCGACGGCATGTGCGTACAATAGACACATTCAAACATATATACTGCATCTATTTGATGCAATGCAAAGATTTATGAATGAATTGAGAGGGAAAGTTAGAATTGTCTAATAACCGTCATCCAGTTTATTTTTATGTCTTCCAACTAGCTCTTGGTATGCAATGTTACCATACATCTGAGAAGTAGTAAGATATTATGCGCGGTGATACTACTATGCTCTTAAAATCGGTTTCTAAGGTTATTAAAAAGTTATTAAAAATTTGAAGGTATATTGCTTCAGTTCCATGCCTCCTTTTGAATGAATGAATATTTCAGGAGAATTTTGAGAGGAAATTAACGTTTCTTGTAAAATTCTTGTTTTCAATATGAGAATTTCTAGCATCATCTTTTTTTCGTCGGGACAATACATGAAAGAAGGCGGTCCGAATTTCACTAGAGTTTAAAGGAGTTTACTACATAAAAGCTCGTTAAACCAGTTTTGCTGATGAAAGTCGTATTCTCGGCGCTTACAAGTTACAACGCTAAAAACTACACTTTACTACAATCGTGTTGCTAGATTAGACTAGCATCCTGCCAAATTAACCACTTGTGTCTGTGATCCACAGGCCAACAGGCGGAGTTTCACAGATGCACAGAAAATACGAAAAGGTGGTCCGGTCCGTCGTGAGACAGTCAGAGTTTAAAAAAACCGTACGGTTATTTTGATTATCATGTATAGTAACCTAGCTTTAATTTTTTTTCCTGCAACTTAACAAAAGAGTAGAAATTCCGGTCTGTGGCATGGAATGACCGTTCAACGGCGCATGATTAAAGGGTTGGCGTGTCAGCGCATTTCAGCACACACTGTCGAATTTCTGGAGTATTCCTTCTTATTGGAAATATATGGGCCGGCCGGCAATATATATTTTGTAAGAAAAACATCAAAACAATCAACTGTACACACCCTCGCGCGATCTCCTTTACGGTTCTACTACCACATATAAGCATGCGTGTACACACATAATATGCACCATGCATGCATATAATCACATGAGTAATTTTATAGTTCTTGAGAAGGTATCATGAGGTATCATTTTTTTCTATCGTAGATTTGATATCTCTTGGTATCTAAATACTAGGAGGTACCAAAAATTTAATGTAAAATTTGGTACCTTATGATACCTTCTCAAGGACCGTAGAATTGTTCTAATCACATAAAAACTGCTCAGTACATAGTTCTTCACAAGGCCGGCCGAATACGAGAGGTGATCGATCGACGATTCGAAGCTAGCTAGCGTCCCATGTGTTGCACGGCGGGCGCGGCGGCGGCGGCGGCGCGGCGCTCCATGTTGAGGTGCCACCCAAGCTTGGGGTCGTAGCCGCGCGCGGCGAGCTCCCTGTACTCCTGGATGAGCGCGCATGGCTCGCACCAGCAGTGGATGCAGCAGTCGCCGCAGGGCTCGCCGGAGAGGCCGTACTGGGCGCGCATCTTGCCGCGGTAGGTGCAGGTACATCCACTGGAACCCGGTGATCACGGCCAGAAACACGTAGAGCGCGCCGCTGTGGCCGCACGACGTCGACCCCCTGTCCACGATCTCCGCCACCCTCCCGAACGTGATGCACGGACACCACCATGTCATGCAACCTGCAGATCAAAATACATGTTTGTTTAGGATTAATTGATTAATTCTCTGTAATCCATACACTACTTGAGAACTGATCTTTACTGCTTGGTCGACCGAAAACCACAATAGTCCCAACACTGAAAATGTTTTTTTTCCCGGTTTATAACTCCAACAGAAATAAATGATCTTTAGTTCTAAATATCATATTTAGTTCTGATTCACCTTCTAACAGGGCCTTTCAGGGGCTGGGATCTTTCGTCCCGGCCTATGCATGCTTGCCATGGTATGGTGTGGCCGGAGGCGCGCGCCGCGGCGGCGAGAACGTACGTACATAGGCCGTAGTCGTCGAAGCAGTCGCAGAGGCCAGACGACCAGGGAGCGGAGCCGACGGGGACGCCGGGCGCTGGCCCGGCCGTTGGCTTGTCTGGCTGCATCTCCTCCTTAATTCGGTTGCCCCTGCTAGCTGCAAGTTCTTGTGATCGACTTGTTGTTTGCGCTGGGAAACTGAGCACAAGCTAGCTAGCGGGCGGGACGATGCTCATATATAGCACGCGACAAGTTGCATTGGCCCCGGTGTGATCTGGACATATCTGGTTCGGTTAAACCAATTAGTCATTGAGGAGAAGACGAAGGAAATTCCATGGGACGGGGCCTAAACCTCGTCCTCTGTAGTCGTCCCTGTTACGATTTTGACATGCAGAGGACGACGTTTAGGCATATCGCCTTTTAGACGATATGATATGACATGATATATGCATCAAGATTACATTGATTAGTCACCATCCTGTCCGTTGCACGGATTATTATTGACTAGGCAAATGGTGGCAGCTGTTTCATTGGCATCCGGGAGAAGTAGTGTGTTTGTCGATAACGGCAGATCCAGTGCAATTAAAGAGTATTTAGATGCATATCCAGTTCAATTCAAGAGTATTTAGATGCATATCGAATACAGTATGTCATACGTATGTTTATAAAATAAAAATAAATAAAAATAAAAACTGAACATGTTTCCGATGCTTTAATATGTCGTCCGTATTTGAGTTTGTTTTTAAGTTCGTTCATTTTTAAAAGTACATAAGAAGTCGTATAAGAAACCCTTTTAAAAATCTCGCATGCTAATTTAGAACTAAAGTCGGACTTCTAATTGCTTTACAATTCTCACCAGACCGTAAGAAAGCAACGTGCAAGATATGATCATCATCCCAATGAGGTTTCTGGATTAGATATCAATACTATCAAAATAAAAATCCCATATATACTTTTTAGAAAAAAAATTAACAACAATACGATTAAAATAGTCTTCACCCGTTGTAACGCACATGCATTTTTTTCTTAAAAAAAAAGGAAAAGAGAACGTATTCGACCTAAGAAGCAAATGACTTTCCGTTTTCGGCCATTTGCTATTTTTGATATATCCTTTTTCGGCCCAACCACACACGATCAATCCGGCCCATTACCAAATTTGGCCACACGTTTTCAGACTTTCTTTTTTTTGTAATTTTCCTGTGGTCTTTATTACTCCCTCCGTTTCATACTATAAGTCGTTTGACTTTTTTTTTCTAAGTTTATAGAAAAATATAGTACTAGTATTTTTAACAAAAAAATATATTATAAAAATATATTCAATGCTAGATTTAATGAAACTAAATTGATATTTTAGATGTTCCTAAATTTTTCTATAGATTTGATCAAACTTAACAAATTTTAATTAGGAAAAAAGTTAAATGACTTATAACTAGCATGGTGGCCCACGCAGATTGCGCGGCTAGCATCATTATATTTTCTCTTATATAATAGCATATATGTTTTCTCATTATATTATTCAAATATATTAAAATGACATTATAATTTTAAATTTTGCAATAACTATACGAAACTACAAATGTGTAATATTCATATTGTATTTTATATACGTGTTAGTTATTAATTATTTTTAATATCAAATTTTAGTTATTTGTAAATTATATATATTCCTATATGTACTCTAGACTCGTCTTTTAATATATTTTTTTAATTCCGAATTTTTTGTAAATTGTATTTCTATATAGACTCTAGGCTCTTCTTTCAATATTATTTATTTTTTATTTTTGATTTTTTATTATTTCTAATTATATTTATATGTGGACTCTAAACTCATCTCTCAATATTCTTTAATTTTGAATTTCAGTTACTTCTAAATTATATTCCTATATTGACTTTAAACTCTTCTTCCCATGTTTTTCTTAATTTTGAATTTTAGTTATTTGTAAATTGTATTTTTATACAGACTCAAAACTCTACTTTTAATTTTATTATGTTTATTCTGAATTTTAGTTAATTTTAAATTCCTATATGGACTCTATACTCTACTTCTAATATTCCTTATTTTTTAACTCTGAATTTCTTTTTTTTCTTAATTGTATTTCTATATGGACTCTATGCTCTACTTCTAATATTTCTTATTTTTAATTCCGAATTTCTATTATTTCCTATTCGTATTTCTATATGGACTCTATACTCTACTTCTAATATTCCTTATTTTTAATTCCGAATTTTAGTTATTTTCTAATTGTATTTCTATATGGACTCTAGTCTCCTCTTCTAATATTCCTTATTTTTAGTTTCAAATTTCAACTATTTCTAAATTGTATTTCTATATGGACTCTAGTCTCCTCTTCTAATATTCCTTATTTTTTAATTCCGAATTTCAGCTATTTCTAAATTGTATTTCTATATGGACTCTACCTTTTCTTTTTCTCCGATTAATGTGAGAGTTTCTAGGCCATGAGAGCGAACGTGGAGGCTCCTTTTCTATTCCTTTAATAATATAATAATAGATATGTAACAGAGGGAGTATTTAACAGGCCGGCCTAATTCATCCATTCAGACCGAATTGGGCTTTTTCTCTTTTACACACATGCATATAAAGTTTGTACTTAGTCCCTCATATTCAGCCATGTGTATAAAATTTGTATACGTATGCATATACTTAGAATTCATACATATAAACTTTGTATTGTACCCAATACAAAGTATATACATGTGTATATACGAATAGAGCGGAGACTAGAAGCCCAATTTGGCGACCGCGGCGAGGGCTCAGGAAGGCGACGGCGAGGACGGGAGCTCATCAGGAGGCAGGAGCTCAGGAAGTCGATGGGGCCGGCATATTTTAAGTTCACTTACTTCAAAACAGTCATTCAAAACCAAGTTTATTAAACATATGTGGCCGGCCGGCAGCTAATTTGAAGCAAATACAACAGATATATAAGAAATGGGCTGAAGAACAGACTCGACGAGGCACTCATCTTAAGTAGACCACCCGTACTATTAGCGTCGCATCGGCGGGTTGTGCTTGGGCGGGACGTGCTGGTTGTTTCCGAGCCAGCCAAGCGAGGGTTTGTAGCCGAGGCTCTTGAGGTGCCTGTACTCCTGGCACAGCGCGCACTGCAGGCAGAGGGCGTGGACGCAGCAGTCGCAGCATGGGTCCTCGGGGAGGTGGAAGCTGTCGCGCATCTTGCCGCGGTAGCAGCAGGAGTAGAGGCAGTGGCAGTGGGCGAAGAAGCCGAGCAGCACGCACATCACGCCCGCCGCGCAGCACGTCCTCTCCCCCCTCGACACGATCTCCGCGCTCCGCCCGAACGTGATGCACGGGCACACCGTCGTCAAGCAACCTGCATATATATAATTAGTTTGTGTCACATAAAGACGTGAATATTAAGGAATGATCTAATATGGTACCAAATGTTATATGGTAAAATTACTCAATCAATATATATATTCCGGGAAATAAGCTTAAATTAGCTTAGAATTAATAGATGGTCTATACAATAAATGCAATATATATAATCTGGTGAAGGACGATCGATAGAATCATCGCAAGTAGTATAGTACTGATCGACAATATGGAAGTAATATATACGCACAAACTTCGCAGTCATTGAAGCAGGCGAAGAGTCCGGATGACCAGTCATTGTGTTGCGGCCTCGCCATCTCCTCCGATCCTCTCCTTCGCTAGTGCGACCACTGACCAGCTGCTGCTGTTGTGATCGGCAGGCTTGCTAGCTAGGAGCGATGAGCATGAGCTTAGCTAGGAGCGTGGCTCTTATATAGCAGTAGCACGATCGGTATGCATGCATGTTTACTGAAACTTTAAAACGATGATTTTTAATTATATATATTAGCCCGATCTAACTAGCGTTTGGTTGACCCAATTAACTTAGTTGACTCCACCAGAACCGACCGGCAACACTAGTCAATGAGGCAGTGAATACCTCGGACATGACCTAGATCAGGTCTCACGAGTCATACAATGTCGCTGGCAGTGGCAGTAGTACTTCCTCCTCCGTTAAAAAAACAAAAAAAACTAACATAATAATAATATAATAATAATATAGGATGGGACATATCCTAATACAACAAATCAATGTCTATATTCGTGTTTGGGTTTTTTTTTTATGGATGTAGTAAGTAGTACCAACTATTATATATTCATGCCTTAGAAACCATGTTTATTTTGATTATCATCTTAATTAGCGTGTGGCATACCAACTATGTGCTTGACAGTTGGGAGCTTGGGGGATTTCACAATAACTATGTACGTTCACTTCTTTTTCGCGTATATTGAAGTTCCGGTCAGTTAATTAGCCAACCGGCCGCCGGAATTTCGACTCCTTCCCAATGGCTATTTCCTGACCAATCTTTTCATACTCTATTTTTTTATTAAATGGTGTCTCCTAATATTTTTTTAATCTCAAATGATTAAGAATTTCTTTCAACGAGGAAAATGTCAATCGATCAAGATCAATATATCAGTTGCAAGTTGTCAGGAAAATGAGTAAAAGAGACAGGTTCTGTTCGGCTTGTTTACACTTACCTACTTCTTGGATCGGTACTACAACATTAGAACATTATAACTAGCTAGTTACTAACTTAATTAGTACCAGAGTTAGGTTAAGATAGTACCATTAGTAACATATTTGTGCATTGATTGCTGGCAACAGCTAAGCTAGGCACAAATGTACTAGGATTCTAGGAACTCATGACATTTCTGTGCTGTCGTTGCCTGAAAAATGATCCGTTGATTTGGTCTTAGAAACCTACCCCACGAGATCGATCTTGAGCTCGAAAACATGAGCCCAATCAGCTCATTACATATGTGCTACTGCTACTGAAAGGGCTTTGTTGAGAAAACTGTGTGCTTGAAACAGCCAAACATAGGCAGGATCACGCCTGATCTGATAGGCCATTATAAGGGCATACTCAGACTGATGACGTTTTCAACCATAATATCATTATTTGTTAAAATTGATAATTATGTGGCTACATTTAGTTTGTTATTAAATATTGGCAATGTATATGGAATTTTGGCAACATTTTAAAGCCAATCCTATCAAAATTTTGACAATGTTATCAATTTGTTAAAATTTTGGTATATTGCCAAGTTTTGGTAATATTTATTTTGGCACTAATCTGAACAAACTCTAACTTGTAAGTACTGTACAAACAAGACTTCCGAGGGTCTGTACTGCAGGTCAAAATTCATGCAAGAGAATACTTGCCATGCGAAAGCCTTTCGTTATATATTGGTATAGTAGCTTCACTGCTTATGACTCACTCGATTAGTTAAGCACAATAATTAATTGTTGAGAAGAAATGGAGCAAGGGAGAGGAAATTCTATTTGGGACTTGGGCATATTGTTTTGGAACTGAATATTACTACGAGTAGTAATGAGAGTTTTAGGCCCCGTTCGCTTCAGGTGGCGTGCAAAATGTGATACATAATTAGCAGTAATTAATTATGTATTAAACTTCGATATAATATTTTTTTAAAAAAAAGTACAAGGGAGCAAAATGTTGCTCACTACAAGTAGCTCATCCAATGAGATAACCGGACAGGACTCCAGTGTATCCGGATATTGGGCCGAGAGCCCAGATAGCCCATCTGGCGACATGCCCTCCTTGGGCCGGATGGTCCATCAGGAGAGCAGCTAAAGATAAAATATGGGCCGCATGCTCATCGCTAAGCGAACCAGAAGGGCCCACCCAATTTTGTCGTGCGGTAAGGGTGAGGAATTTTTTTATTTTTAATTTTTTTTATTAAAAGTTTTACAAAAATAATTTTCCATTTTAAAAATTGACGGAAGTGGTCGCCTACCGCCCTCTGGGAGGGCGATTTTTAAAAATCGCCATCCCAGAGGGCGGCGAAAATGACGTGGCAGACGGCCGTTCGCTCTCGGGCGACGGCCGTCAACGAAATTTGCAGGCGGCCCCCTTGCCGCCCTCCGCTAGGGCGATTTTGTACTGTGCGGGGGGCCGCCTGCAAATGGGCGGCGAGGGGGCATGGAATTTTGCAGGCGGCCCCCTTGCCGCCCTGGGGGAGGGCGATTTTTGCCTCCCCCCTATAAAGCCCAGTCCCCCCTCTCTGAAATTTCATTATATTCACTAAAAATCCAAAAAAAACGAAAGAGAGAGAGGGGAGGGCAGCAGAAGGGGAGCGGCGAAGCCCTGCTGCTTCGCTCACTTCATCACAGGTTTGCTCCCATACATCTTTTGCATTTGTACTAATATGTTATATTTGAGTATATATGTTGCGTTTTAGTTTTAGTTCCATATATTTTAGCATATCTGTAGCACACAGCACATATGTGTAGATCCAGAGCATAGAATATAATAGTATGAATTGAGACATAGACAGTAGTGTTAATTGTAAGATGTAGTTTAGTTTGATCTGGAGAATGTAACCTACTTTTAGAATTTTGGAGAACAATATTGTAGAGAATGTAACTTAGGGTGTAGTACAGAAATGCGAGGTTAACGCAGTTATTGTTTTCATCAGGCACAATGTCAAATAAGGTCACATTTCAGATAGTTCACGGTGAAGGAAATATTAGATTTGGTCCAGATGGTGTTGATCTGTCAGATTTTGTAATGACATCTAAGGGCATCGATAGGCCTGCGGAGAGAACATTTCAGTCAATTTATAGTTGGTTGTTGAGAGGATTTAGAATAGACCAAGAAGTCTACACAATGTCAGTATCAGTTGTAGTGAGTCGTGCAACAGAAGGTTATTTTTGGGAACTAATGCCGATGGACAACACTGCTGCTTGGAGACGGTATGTGGAAATGGCTTTTGAACGGTCATGGCCCCTCGTTATATTTGTGTCGGTACAAGAGAAAGATATAAATGTTTCAATGCAAACCGAAGATGTAGAGGGTCCTATCAATGCAGGGGATGTTGTTGGACCATCGATGCAAAATGAGGAAAATCAACCAAGGGAGGAGCAGGCCATGGGCATGGCGGATGAGGGGGAGAGAGTCGGTATAATTGTTGATGAAATGGAGAGGGAAGATTCGGATAATGAGGAAGCGGACGACGACGCATCATCCGATGAGGAAGGTGATGTAATGGCCACTGATTGGGCAAATGAGGACTTCTCTGGACTTGTTATATCAGAGGGTGATCATGTACCCTGGGAGTATAAGGAGAACGAGGTAATTGACGGTGCAAGGTATGCTCATAAGGATGAGATGAAGGAGGCGGTGAAGCATTGGGCAGTTTCCTTGCAGAGAGAGTTTAGGGTGGTCAAGTCAACAAATTATGTGTATGAAGTGAGGTGCATGAAGGAAGATTGTCCGTGGCGTGTCCATGCATATAAGGGTAAATGGAATGATTATTGGAAAGTTAGCATTGTGACCGAGCACAAGTGCTACTTACAAGGGGTGGAGAAGTATCACCGAAACATCACTTCAGCTTTTGTGGCAAGTGAGATGTACAGCAGTGTTGTTGGTAACATTGGCTTTAAACCAAAATCAATTATTAGGCACATCGAGAACAAATTCAAGTACACCATAAGCTATGCAAAGGCCTAGAGAGCCAAACAAAAGATTATTGAGATGATGTATGGCACATTTGAAGCTTCTTATGATAATTTGCCTCGTTTGTTAGCCACCATTGCCCAGAGGAATAATAATACTTACTATGACCTACATACATTTACATCGGTTGATGATCGAACAAAGAGTGTGCTGCAAAGAGCCTTTTTCTCATTGGGTGCTTGCATCAATGCTTTTGTGCATTGTCGACCTGTTCTATGCACAGTCCACAACAGCACACATGAAAAGCGGCAGCTCGAGTTGTCACTATCAACTTTCGGCGCTGCCTGTTGACATAAAGTGAATCACGCCCACGCGTGATCGTCTTGTCACATCTAATGAATAATGTATCTCATTGAGTTCACATATATTGCAGTGAAAATGACGCTATATAATTGACAATCTGAAGGCAACCTCTTCATATCTTCTTTCCCACTAGCACACAACACACGAAAATGGAAGCGCCATTCCTTGAGCGTCTCAACTGGCGAAGCGATCCTTTTGCTGGTTGGTTTCCACCATGGTGTGACCGTCCTTTGTGCGATTGTGGGGATGGATGCATACTCAAGTCTTCCCTCATGATACAAACTCGGGGCAGGAGATTCTTCCAATGCGCGAACTTTGATCAGGTATGCTTCATCTATTCGAAGTTCAAATGGATAAAAAAACTAACTTCTTCGTACATAATTGTAACATCTTACGCAGACATATCGTCCAATGTGCAACTTCATCGAGTGGGTAGACATGGAGAACCCACAAAACGACGGAACCCGTGCTTACCCACGTAGTGAAACAAGATCGGACTACCTAAGGTGGAAGGATGAGCATGAACGTCGAATTGCTGCTGAGGCTTTAGAATGGCACGTAAATCCCCTAAGACTCCCCACGTGGCGTGAGCGTCCGGAGTGTCGTTGTGGTGACCGTTGTCAGGTCATAAGGTCCGTAAGGCACCGAACTCGAGGACAAAGGTGTTTCGTGTGTCCAAACATTGTCGACGATGATTTCGTGGTAATTACAACTATTCTTTTCATCACTCCTCAGTACTATCATTAACTTAACTATCCCAAAATGGATGTACATAGGAGGATGTAAGGAAATGTCAATTCGTACAATGGATTGACACAGTCAGAGTTACTTCAAGTGGCGGGCCGATAACGCAACCTGAACCGACCATACAGTTCATTCATGCTTGGATGGAGTACGAACGTCGGGTGGAAATTGCAAGCTTAGACTGGAGGAACAATCCATTAGGGTTACCTAAATGGTCCGAGCGTCCAAAGTGTGGGTGCAGAGATCGCTGGCAGGTGGCTACATCCTTTGCTGAACAAACATTTCGAAGGAGATATTTTGTCTGCCCCAATGTAGACAACGATTTCGTTGTATGTCTAATCATTTACAAAATCCGCTATGATTTGCACAAAATTACTACCCAAACTGAATAACATTACTATTTTTACAGGGCAATCCAAGGATGGGTGGATTTACTCGATGGATCGACAATGTCACTCCATCATATCATGGCCAGAAGATAACAGAGTCAGAAACACAAGTAGAGTATCAACGATTGAAGGACCACGGGAATGCAATGCATTCTGACCGACCTAGAAGGTGCCGATAGGTTACCGCATGCTTGATTCGTCGGGATCGACAAATTTGTACCGTGTATCGATGGCACTTCTTATCTATCTTATCATTACAATGTTTAATTATGGTGGTGATTTTTTGTATGCGTAAGACTAAGGGCCTATTTGGATTGCTACCAAAAACATGCCCTACCAATATTTTGGTAATTTGAATAGTACTTGTGTTTGATTTCGATTGAAGCCTATTCATTGGTAATACGTAATCTAGATTTGAGATTATGTAGAACATTCTTCACTACAATTTTACATTTTGGCAGCAAACCAAATATGATCAAATGCAATTTTACCTTACCAAATATTTGGTAGTGCCAAAACTTGCTTATATTTTGGCACTAACAAAATATTTGTACGGTAACATTCCAAATAGGCCCTAAAAAATAATAAAATTGTATTTTACCAGTCTTGGAGATTTTAATCTTGTATAGTTTTCAATATAAAAAGATTTGATAACTATTGATATTTATACAAAAATATAAAGCACAGTATAAATTCGCCCTCCCCCAGGGCGGCAAGGGGGCCGCCTGCAAAATTCCAGGCCCCCCGCCGCCCATTTGCAGGCGGCCCCCCGCACAGTACAAAATCGCCCTAGCAGAGGGCGGCAAGGGGGCCGCCTGCAAATTTCGTTGACGGCCGTCGCCCGAGAGCGAACGGCCGTCTGCCACGTCACTTTCACCGCCCTCTGGGATGGCGATTTTTAAAAATCGCCCTCCCAGAGGGCGGTAGGCGACCACTTCTGTCAATTTTCAAAATAAAAAATTATTTTTGTAAAACTTTTAATAAAAAAAATTAAAAATAAAAAAAATTCTAAGGGTGAGTGGGTGCAGACGTGCAGTATGGGGTATGGCTGGTGTTTACAGCCGTCAGATCAAAACGAAACCGACTCAAAATCTGTGTACTGTTAAACGAAAACCGACTCAAAAGCTGTGTACTGTTAAAGAATGTCTACGATACACAGTACTACGATTTTTTTTTGAACGGACAGTACTACGATTTGATTATGTTTTACTAAGATTTGAGTATATAGCTTCATAATTTTAATCCAAAATTAACATTGGGCTGGCCGTCGGCTAATTAATAATTTGTTGGGGGCATATACATCGGACAAATTAACATGACCATCATCATACACACATTAATTTGCAGGTTTACAAGATTAGCAATGCGAGGTTAATTAGGGATCATTAGCAACTCAGGTCGTAATTTGGCAGTCGTGCAGAACGAGTATATATTACAAACGATTGTTGATAAGTCGTCGTCGTTGATAGTATCAGTAGTTGGCATCGCACTGCTTGTATAATGTGTGTATACGCGCACTAAATCTTACCTAACGAGATTAATTCAGTTGGGCATTTGTCTATTTGCCTGTGTCATCTACCAAACATTCTACATTGTCAGAAGATATATGAAGTATTCCCTCCGAATTTTCAGCAATACATATGCAGCTTCATAAATTATAGAACTCGTGATGGATGCGAAATGAACCTAATGAATTAACAATAATGCATATAATTTTCACCCTATAAAACGGGGTTATATATGTAGTAAAATATAGGGAGAATAGCCAACATCATCCTTAAAGTTTTGCTCGGGGATCAATTTGGTCCCTAACTTTTTATATTGTCCAAACGAGTCCTTATAATTTGTCAAGTGGGCTAATATAGTCCTTGGGCCAACTTAAATCGCCACGTTAGCATACCATGTTATGCTCTCATGCATAATATGTGGTGAAATGTCCAATTTGCCCTTCTATATACCATAGAAAAACAATGAAATGAGTTTACAAACTTTGTTCAATGTGACTATGGATATATGGCAAACTTTTTTCACTGGATTATGCTAATACAAAATTAAATTAGCTATAACCACTAAATATATAATTACCATGCCAAATAAATTTCATGTAAGTAGTTGCATTTTAATGTTAAAACTCTAACGGATATTTAATATGCAAGATCACCTACTTATATTTTGTATTTTTCTCGTTTTCTTTCTCTTTTTTCCCTATGACGATATGTGCAAGGGCAAATTGGGTATTTCATCATATATTTGCATTGGAAGATGACATGGCATGTTCACGTGACAATTTTCGATGGGCCAATGACTATATATGTCCACATGATAAAGTTTAATGGCTTGCTTGGACAATTTGAAAGGTCAGGGACTAAAACGATCTCGGAGCGAAACTTCAGGGATCATAGTGGCTATTCTCCCAAAAATATATATAAACTTCAGGGCCAACAGTTCCAATTATTGAAGTATATACGGAGTATGAACTAGCTCCGTGTTGACCATCACCATTGTAAGTTTGTAACATGTGTGCCAACGAAACACAACATGATATCCGGCTTGAACTGCGTGTTATCAGTCAATAAGGAGGATATACAAACACAGCATGTGGCTAGAGTACACACATTCAACCGTAATACGTGTTCATATTGTCATATGCTATACATATTGCGTCTGTTTGTTGCAAAGGGGTTAGGAATTGAAATGGAAAGTTAGAAGGCAGAATTAGTATTTTAGCAAACCCTGTGCTTGACTCCGTAAACTAAGAATTTGAAAAGGCTGAATTTTTAGTTTCTAATTAATATGCGATTCTATGTGTACTAAAGCTACTCTTGAGTTAGCAAATTTAGGCAGTACGAGTGTAGAATCTCTGTCTTGTACTGAAACGATTGTAATATCCACCCTTTCCCGCAAAAATTAAAAAGTAAACATTGGGTAGTTTTTACCACTAGAATATTCTTACCACTCTTGATACGAGTGTAACTCAACTGGTTAGGTTTCTGTTGGAGGAATATACCCACACAAGTTCAAGTCAACTTGTCCTGAGTATTTACATTTACGGTTAATTATTGTTTCAGTGATAGACGACATACTCATCGATGACAGGATACGTCTGCAGTGACTTCTTGAATCTCATAATACGACGACTAATGGGTATATGATAGAGGGGTTTGGAATGACTTTTTGAATTTTAGGATATATTGGCCCAGTCATTATATGGGCGTTACATTTGCACTGTGTTTTTTTAAAAAAGAATTACAAAAGTTCGAAATAGACAGTTGAATTAATTATACTTGAATATTGCGTGTGTCCACTAGCTTGTACACCTAAACATTTTCATACTTCGGCGCCGTAGACCGTAGGATACGTATAGTACTCTCGTTGACGAATAATCACACTCATAAATATAAATGCACCTATACTTTTGACTTTGAACCAGAGAAGCTTAATTTTCAACGAAATTATTCATTTATTATTTTGCCCCGAAACAAGGGGCAGGCCGGCTAATTTGGAGAGTACAATCAGAAATCCATTAAACTGGAGAAAATTACAAACAAAAGCTGAGACCACGCATCACCAAACACGCATTTACAAACTTAATCCCATGACTATAGTCGTAGATATCAAATAAAACACACGTAATTTACCACGGGTAATTAAAATTTTTAACTGGATACTCTAAAAGAAATTTGTTCCGGATACTTTTCGTTTAGAGATTTGTTCCGGTCCAAATAAAAAGTATCACATGGTACTGATACCTCACGGTATCAAATAGTTTCCGATCGATGAATCTAACAATGCTCATCGTCCTGTCCAGCTAAATTCAACAATCAGAAACGATTTGATACTGTGAGATACCAATATCTTGAGATTTTTTTTGACCGGAACAAATCACTTTTGTTTAACTGAACAACTCTTATTTCACAGTCCAAGTACGCTATTTAGCGGCCCATGTACTGCACGGCGGGAGCGGCGCCGGCGGCGGCGGCGCGGTCGGCGTTGAGGTGCCAGCCGAGCTTGGGGTCGTAGCCGCGGGCGACGAGCTCGCGGTACTCCTGGCACAGCGCGCATGGCTCGCAGCAGAAGTGGACGCAGCAGTCGGCGCAGCCGGCTTCGGCGAGCCCGTACTGAGTGCGCATCTTGCCCCGGTAGGTGCAGGAGTAGATCCACTGGCACCCGGTGAACGCGCACAGCAGCCCGTACAGCGCGCCGCCGGTGCCGCACGACGTCGAGCCCCTGTCCACCATCTCCGCCACCCTCCCGAACGTGATGCACGGGCACCAGCACGTCAAGCAGCCTGCAGATTAATGTGAATTAATTAGTAAATTACAGATCATGTTCATGATATGATCTAGCCATGGCACGGTGGCCGGCGGCGAGAGCGAGAACGTTTTTTTCGTGAACACGTAAAATGATTACATATCAATATACCACAATGGAATCAGCCAGACCAACTTATGTCAGAAGAAGGGAGAAAAAGCAAAATAAAGAGCTGAAGCTTATAAAAAAGAGCGAGAACGTACATAGGCCGCAGTCGTCGAAGCAGTCGCAGAGGCCGGTGGACCAGGCGGCGGAGCCGACGGGGACGCCGGTCACCGGAGCGGCGCTTGGCTTGGCCATCGATCTCCTCCTACTTTTCTTCCCCGGCGATGTGATCAGAGTTGCTAGCTAGCTACTGCTTGTGCTGAGAATGAGCATGAGCCGGGAGTGGGAGGACGCTTTATATAGCGCGCGAGCGGCGAGTTGATCTGGTATGCAATGCAAGCGAACAACACAGCTAAGCACCCATGTTAATTTACTACGAACTCGCGACATTTCTGTGCTGTTGCTTACGAAACGAACCGTTGATTTAGTCTTCAACCCCCACGAGATCGATCTTGATCGAGATCTCGCAAACATTGAGCCCAATCAGCCCATCACATTCACATATGTATAATGTGCTGCTGCTACTATACTGATACACAGGTTAAATAAATAAATCCAGAAAAAAGGGGGCTTTTTGTTGAGCAAACTGTGTGCTTCGAACTTGAAACCACCGAACTGGAAATGATCACGATTCAAGCCTGGTAGGCTATTCTAACTTGCATTATGTGTTCAAACGAGACTTCCGAGAGGGCCCCAAAATTCATGCATGCAAGAGAAGGCATGCCATGCCATGCCAAAGTCTTTCGTGATACCATTGGTATATAGCTCCACTGCTTATGACTCGCTCGATTAATTAATTAAGGCTGAGCACAATAATTAGCCGTCGAATAGAAGTGGGATAAGGGAGAGGATCAGAGGAAATTCTATATCGGTTTTTTGTACCGATCTAGGCTTCACTAGATTTATATTAGTAGGTTATCTATCTGGTAGTACTATGTTGTGTCTAATATTGTACTAATCTACATTTTATAATAGAGGGAGTATGCTTCTTTTTTTTTAGAAAAAAGGATTAGTAATTTAGAAATTGGACTCACGGAAAAAGGAGGTAGTTGATCCGATGAGCTTGATCCAACAGGGCCTTAGTGCATTCGCAAATTGGCCGATCAGCCCAATTAGCCCATTTAGCGACACGCTGAGTCCCTTAAATGGGCCGGACGTCATCGCCAAGCGAACTAGAAGGCCCAAATTTGATTTGCAGGTGTTTACAACCGTCAGATCAAACGAAACCGACGGCGGCTAATAATTTTGGGGCATATATATCATGCAGATTAACTTGACCATCACCATACACACATTAATTTGGAGATTTACAAGATTAGCGATGCGAGATTAATTAAGGGGTCTTTAGCAATGCAGATCGTAATTAATTTTGAAGTCGTGTAGCGAACGAGTAATATATATACAAATGTTCTTGATATTCCCAAGCTAGTAGTTAGGCCGTTAATTTGAAGCATAGGTCGGATTTAATATATAATATTTAAAAAATTCTAAGTCGTTGGTAGTACCAGGAGTTGACAATGCACTATTGTATAAGCCTGGATAAGGCTATACGCGTACTAAATCTTACTGAACTAGATTAGATGCGTGTTGTTTAATTGCTTGTGTCGTCTACCACACATCGTCAAAAAAATGAAGTGTTTCCTTCCGAATTTTCAGCAATATATACAGCTTCATGAATTATTAATTAGAACTCGTGATGCGAAATGAACCTAACAATGCATCTTTGTTCTCACCCTAAAAGACTGCGTAATATAAGTTTCAGAGCCGACGACGCTTCCAAAGTTCCAATTATTGAAGTACGGAGTATATACACTAGCTCCGTTGACTATCACCATCAGAAAACATGTGTGCCACTCCTGCCAACGAAACACAACATGATATCTGCCAACGAAACACAAACATGCATGATATCCGGCTTGATCTGCAAGTGTCAGTCAATGAAGGAGGATAGACAAAGCTTACAAATTAATACGAGAAAACCCAAGAAATGTAATCAACAAACGCTCTATTCTAAGATATCATTGACGAACCTAACTTTATGAAAATGTTATGATACAAGCATCTTTATATCAGAAATATCATCATTGTTAGATTTTTGTTAGTAGTCTTCCGTTAGTGCTATAAAAGATTATTTTATTGTTATATATTGTTGAATGCTCAATAAAATTATTGTTTTTTCGTTAGCATTAATTTAGTGTAAAGAGCAATATATAAATTAGTGTAGTCACAACTCTTATTATATGGGCTCATATGTTTTAGAAAAAAAGGATATGTATTTAATTAGGGAAACCACATAATCTGTCATTTTTTTTGGTTTGTGTAAGATTTAATAGAACGATAAATAATTTGAAACAGAAAGACTATATCCAATGGGCCGGACGCCAACTAATTTACAGCAAACTAATACAACAAACAATCGATTAAGCGCAGAGAATTACAAACAAAACTTGACCATGCATCACCATACTTACAAACTTACAGGAGTACAGGCATAGTCCCTAGATATATCAAGTATAATAATTTATCTGGACAGCTCTTCACACTCACTACCTCCGTCTCAAAATAAGCTTATTTGTGAGTTTTTATGTTCAACATTTGACCGTCCGTCTTATTTGAAAAAAAAAAGTAAAATAAGTCACGCGTAAAGTACTATTCATATTTTATCATCTAATAACAATAAAAATACTAATCATAAAAAAATTAAATAAAATGAATTGTTAAACGCTAGATATAGAAACCTACAAATAAACTTATTTTGGGATGGAGAGTGCATGAAGTGAAGCTTTTTCTAACGGCCCATGTGCTGCACGGCCGGTGCCGCGGCGGCGGCGGCGGCGGCAGCGGCGCCGCGCTCGACGTTGAGGTGCCATCCGAGCTTGGGGTCGTAGCCGCGGGCGACGAGCTCGCGGTACTCCTGGCACAGCGCGCAGGACTCGCAGCAGCAGTGGACGCAGCAGTCGCCGCAGGCGGCGTCGCCGAGGCCGTGCTGGGCGCGCATCTTGCCGCGGTAGGTGCAGGTACATCCACTGGAACCCGGTGAACGCGCACAGCAGCGCGTAGAGCGCGCCGCCGGTGCCGAACGACGTCGACCCCCTGTCCACGATCTCCGCCACCCTCCCGAACGTGATGCACGGGCACCAGCACGTCGTGCAGCCTATCAATATTGCACAGATTGTTATTACAGATTGAATGAATCAGTTCATGTTGATCGATCGATCGATCACCATGGATGCAAGCTACTAGTAGCTAGCCATGGCCGGTGGCGAGGACGTAGATGTACGTACATAGGCCACAGTCGTCGAAGCAGTCGCAGAGGCCGGTGGACCAGGCGGCGGAGCCGATGGGGACGCCGGTCACCGCACCGGCGCTTGGCTTGGCCATCTCCTCCAATCCTCTCCTTCGCCGGTATACAGTTTTTTTTAAAGGAAATTCGCCGGTATACAGTTACCTGCTGCTGCTGCTGCTCACTACTTAAAAAATGTTCCTCAGTGCCGTCTTATCCATGCCGGGTTTTTTAATAAATCGGATAATAGGAAATGTCTCATTCATTCAAATATTTTTATATTTTAAAACAGATGGTGTAGTAAATAGTAGAATTTTAAAACAGATGGTGTAGTAAATAGTAGAACCAGCCAAAGGGATGATTTTTTTTTCTCGACCATATGTCTCCCAGCCACTACACCCCCCTCCCTCCCTTCTCTCGACCTTATCTCCTACACACCCACTCACTCTCTCCCTTATTTGAGTTGAAACTTGAAACAATTGAGCAGGATAGGATCACACCTGATAACTTGAAAAGTGTCCGTAATGTAACCAAAAAGTCATGTAAGAGAAGATTTGCCACGCTAAAGTCTTTCGTGATGCTATACCAATAGATCCATTTATTGACATGTAAGCTTTTTACGCGTTCGCGAAAGAAAAATCCACAATCCAGTCAAAAATAAAATCCATGACCTATGACTTACTTGATTAATTAGTTATAAGCACAATAAAATTAGTCGTTGAGGTGAACAGGATAAAATGAGAGGAAATGAACTAGAGAGGTAAAGCTGAATTTAGGTTACCCCACAACTTTACTACAGACCCAATTTCTGAAACTAAATTTAGGAGTTAGAGCACTACCAAACGAACCGTTAGGCTGAGTTCTTCTTGGCAACTCCAAATAGCAACTTTCTGGTTTTCGTTGTGAGGCTTGACTAAGTTTATATTACTAGGTTGTCTATCTCGTAGTACTATATTGTGTCTAATATAGTACTAGCTTTCTATACTTTATAATGGAGGGAGTATACGTAATTTTTTTAAAAAAAATTATGTTTAGCAATTTAATTACACTCACGGGAAAAGAAGGTAGCTCATCGGAATAAGTTCACTTTGACTATGTTAAAAGTGACCCGAATCTAATCCGTGACTCTGAACCGTAAACCAGAAATCTTGACCCCTAAACTGTTAAAACCAGCGCAATTTGACTCCCTGGATGGTTTTGAATGACGGTTTCGCTGACGTGACGACTACGTGGCAGTAAAATATGGGTAACCATGTAATCTGTCAAATCTTCTTAGTTTGTGCAAGATTTAACAGAGCAACAAGTAATTTAAAACGAGGGGACTCTTTCCAAACACAAGGCCGGCACAACTAATTTGCATCAAACTAGCTAGATGGCCCGCGCAATTGCGCGGCTAGCACCATACAAAATTATATATTTTTTAATATGGTTTTACTTAAAATTTATTAAATAGTTATCTCATTGTCTTAAGATCACTTTGCAAGACAAAACCTTATTATCCTCGTGTTTCTAATTTTTATAGTTTTTAAAAATCACATTAGTTGCTACCACTTACTTCTGTCATATCCTTGTTTATTTACTTGCTCGATCTACCACAATTTCTATTCATTCTTATTCGAACCTTTAAAAATTAGATCTTATAGTTTTCAGAGTTTATTATCCCGTTGGGTTCATTTTTATAATTTATAGAAGTCCTATCAAACACTGCCATTATACTCCTCTACAGCCATCCACTGCCTCTTCTCTTTATTGTCATTGATATTTTAATTAAAAATTGAACATAATTATCGTTTAAGTTCATTTTTTTACTTTCTAGAAGTTCCGCCAAAATGTCAACGACTTTGTCACTATATTCCTCTACGACTCGCCCGCTGCCTACCTTCTTTATTATCATTGAGATTTTAAAATCAAACATGATTATCATTAGGGTTTATTTATGTACTTTTTAGAAGTTCAGACCTTTAAAAATTGGACCTTATAGTTTTTAGAGTTTATTGTCTCGTTTGGTTTTATTTTTTAATTTTTTAGAAATCTCATCAAATGTTGCCACTATATTTCTCTATGACCCGTCTGCCGACCATTTTTTATTATCATTGGGATTTTAAAAATTGAACATAACTATCATTGAAATTTTTTTTTTACTTTCTAGAACTCCCACCAACCATCGGCAGCTCTGCCATTGTACTCCTGTACGATTCGCCCGCTGCCTCTCATTTTTATTGTCATTGAGATTTTAAAAATCAAATATGATTATTATTGGGTTTTTTTTTTCTAGAAATCCCGATAACCGTCTTGACCGATTGCTTCACGACCTCTCTATCATCCTTTATTTTAATCGTCATTAGGATTTCATTTGGTGTTTTATTAATAGTTTTTAGATATCCCATCAACCGCCACCACTTTACTTCTTTATAGACATGTTAATTAATTAATCTCGTCATATGTTCTAGATTACTCTAAAGATTAAAAAAATCATAATTCCAATAATTGAACTTCCCATGGTAATATACTAAGATGTGCTAACCTCACTGTTTGTTTAATGTAGGTTTAGAGAGTAATATGACATGCTAAGCTGCTAGCATCTCATTGATGTGCTAATTGGGTTTAGTCAATAAGATGGATGCGTCCAACACCTCGCATGCATGCGTTATCGTCGTTTGTTTTTCATGTGTGCACGCATCATATTGTCATGGGTATGGTGCATGAGACAGACACGGGTGCTAGTTTTACATGTCATTACATTACTACTCAGCTACCGACTTACGATTTAGCTTAATCACAGGGAAAATTAGATTTCTATTCTGTTTATATACTGTTAGTATTATAGTAGTATAGTTGTATTTCCTATAAAACCTTTTCTAAATAAAAATATATTTGGTCCTTTTTTTCCTTTTCCCTCTTATTAACATGAACAAACTTTCGCGTTTATATCACTTCAAAAATTAATTTCCTATTCTGATTTGGATGCAAGGTCAGTGTGTGCAATTGGTTCAATTGCTATACGGTTTCACACTCGTATCCGTTTCATCTCTTTAACTTTTTAAATTTTAATTAAATCTTAACCGTTAATATTCAAGTATACCACAATTCTATCCATGGTTGGTATTTTCTTTATTTTGTTTAATTAACGTGATAATTTCTTTAGAGCAAATATAGCGTACAATTTAAGCACATAAATATTTTATTATACATGCATGTATAATTAGATTTAGTGTACAACACTTATCTTCTGTTTCTATAGATAAAATTATAGCATTGTAATTTAGTCCTACCATAACCTATTGGAATATATTTTAATCTACCTTTGAGCGCTTAATAATTAACATAATATTTGCTTATTCTTTCGTGGATGAACGTGCATGACTCTAATTACAAATTTACAGGCTCAAATGGCCATACGCATGCATGCAAATACATGCATGTCCGACTCCTAGTCAAATTAGTCCAAATACATACATGTCCGATTCCTAGTCAATCTCTCTAGATGTTTTTTTGTTTGGACTCACGTATTTCCCTGCTTGATCTAGACCATCAAAATCTAGACAAATACGATCCAACGACACATATATTTTCCTTTTTCTTCGATTAACGTGGGAATTTCTAGCCTCCACAGCGAACGTGTTGCCTTTTTTCAAAGCTGTTTTAATAATATAATAGACATATAGATTAATACAACAAACAACCGATTAAGTGCAGAGAAATTACAAACAAAACCTGACCATGCATACCATATACTTACACAAACTTACAGGAGTACATACAGGTATAGATATCAAGTTAAAAAAACTCATAATTAATTTTGAAAAAGATGGATCTAGTAAGATCGATCGATCGTACGCTCCAAAAAAAACATTTTTTTTTAACTGGACACCACTTCACACGTCCAAGTACGATCGATGATGTACGAGGAGAGATGACGCTATTTAACGGCCCATGTGCTGCACGGCGGGCGCGGCGGCGGCGCCGCGCTCGACGTTGAGGTGCCAGCCGAGCTTGGGGTCGTAGCCGCGGGCGACGAGCTCCCGGTACTCCTGGCACAGCGCGCAGGACTCGCACCAGCAGTGGACGCAGCAGTCGCCGCAGGCGGCGTCGGCGAGGCCGTACTGTGCGCGCATCTTGCCCCGGTAGGTGCAGGAGTAGATGCACTGGCAGCCGGTGACCATGGCCAGCAGCGCGTACAGCGCGCCGCTGGCGCCGCACGACGTCGAGCCCCTGTCCACGATCTCCGCCACCCTCCCGAACGTGATGCACGGGCACCAGCACGTCATGCAGCCTGCAGATTAATGTCAATTAGTTAGTTAATTAATTACAGATCAGAATGAATCAGTGTTCATGATATGATCTAGCCATGGCACGGTGGCCGGCGGCGAGAACGGGAACGTACATAGGCCGCAGTCGTCGAAGCAGTCGAAGAGGCCGGAGGACCAGGCGGCGGAGCCGACGGGGACGCCGGTCACCGGAGCGGCGCTTGGCTTGGCCATTGATCTCCTCCTCCTCCTCCTTCTTCGCCGGTGTACACAGTTACCTGCTGCTGCTGCAAGGATGTGATCAATCGAGTTGCTGCTAGTGCTGGGAATGGGAGGACGCTTTATGTAGTGCGCCAACGGCGAGTTGATCTGGTAAGAAAGCGTGTCTGCTTCAATTTGATTGGTCGATGCTATAATCATGTTTGCTCCGTCGGTCTTCGTTGACCCAATACAGTTGACGGCGGCCAGAAGCAGCACTAGCTAGATTTTTTTTATTTTTTTGAAACTTTTTATTTTTTTAATTTTTAAAATAAACTGTTTTAATACCAATTTCAAAATCCCTTTTTTTTATCACGCCACCCCGTCTGACGTGACAAAATATTGCCACGTCACTAATAGTTACATTGTCACGTCACCAATAGTTGGCATGACAGTTTTAATGTCATGTGAAATTACGTTGGAACACCGCCCAGATTAGTGTGGTATTATTGTTCCACAACGCACTAGAGTGGTGTGGTATTATTGTTTCACAACGCCAGTCTTCTAGGCATGGGTAAAAGGTTTAGGCTGTGTTTATATACGCCAGTCTTCTAGGCATGGGTAAAAGGTTTAGGCTGTGTTTATATCCAGGTTTAGCTTCAGATTAATCCTCAATCTGAGGATGTATTCATACACGTTTACCAGCATAGTACTGTATGTTATTTTTTGCGACGGCATCAAATCGTTTTAATTAGAGCGTGATGCCGTGATCGACATGAGACTAATCAATGCGCGTGCCAGTTGGGATTTAATTAGAGCTCATTTTCTACTATTAGTCTATTTTAAAGCCAACATATATTATATTAGTTATAAGGTTGGCTTTAATTTTCTTCTCCTCTCTCTATCTCTATCTTGGAGCTTGTGTTAAGCTAGCTCTTGCATATAAGAGCCAACACTTTTGATTTCTTGTTATCTTTCTCCTTCACATAAGCTTATAGTAGACTTATAGCTCAATATTATACTTGCTCTTAGCCACAGTAATAATCCCTCTGGCGTTGATGCTAATTACCTAGCCAACCGGGAGTATCGCCACTATTTTCTCGATCGATTGCCAGTTCACTTGTATTTTTTTTCTAATCCAGGCCAGTAATATCTTTTTTATTTTCCAGCTAAAATGATATATCTCATGTACGCATAGTACGATTTTCTATTAATTTTTTGTATAAATGTCAATCAAATTAAAGATATATCGTTTTCGAAGAAAATATCAAATCATAGCTGTGGTCACAAGTTGTGTGGAAAAGTGAAGTACTAACCTGTCTTAATATATACTCCGTAGTAACCTAGAACCGAATTTGATACATTTTATGATTATGAATTTTAACATATATTTGTCTAGATTCGTAGTCTTAAAATATATTAAATATATTTCAGATTATTATATATTAGGACCTACTCCCTCCGTAAAAAAACGTTAACCTAGTACTAAAATATTATGTGAAACATGCTCTATATACAGATTCGTTATATTAGGATATGTTATATTCTAGCATTAGATTTGATTTTTTTAGATGGAGGGAGTAGGAAATATGAAACAACGCGTCAGTATCACACACTCGCACAACGTACGCAACAAGCTAGGCGATCGAGATATGCTACAGGCCTACAGCGACATGATTCGTGTTACAAACAGCAGGCATTGGTTCGTTTACCAGCATAGTACGTTATTATTTAGGTTGGGTTATTGGGTTAGGTTAGCTCCCACCATCTTATACTAATACTCCCTCTGATTTTATTATATGATGTTGATTAAGTTCAAATTTAGACTATCCGGCGCTATACGTAAAAGAAAGGACAGAATATAATATGTAGTGCTTAATTATGGGTGTGTTTAGATAAAAAAAATTTTGGCCAAAAATATCACATCAAATGTTTGGACACATGCATGGAGCATTAAATGTTGTCTAATTGTACCATGAATTAATTTTAATAAATTCATCTCATAATTTACAGTCGGAATATGTAATTTATTTTGTTATTAGTCTATATTTAATACTTTAAATGTGTATTCGTATGCTTAAAAAAAATGACCAAAGAACTAAACACGACCAGTATCGTGTATTTGCACATTTGCATGCAACCTCTAGGCACGCATGGACTGGGAACCGATGAAATTTCTTCGATGTTTCTGCACATCTATTCAAATCCCATGAGAGGAGAGGAGCCCATCTGAAAGTGCATGCATCTTCATGATCATGGATAACCTTTACGTACACCAACCAAACTTTCCACCACCGAACTGAATTGATCCACTCCGGTCCGGTCCGGGTCCGACCGAAACAACGACGCGTTGTTGTCGCGTCAACTGCGCTGCCGCTGCACGTGATTGGCGTGCCGTGTCAGTGATGATACATGCATATACACCGGCTATATATATGCCCGTCAAATACTCAAACCCCAATCCATGGAAAACTTGCAAAACAAAACAAAACAAAAAGGAAAAATGAGTGTCTTTTGATTTTGCAAGCTTACCAATATATGCCCGCGGCTACTCAGTATTTAAGTATAATCAACCTTGTTTTGCGAAAAAAAAACCTGGTAAATATACAACACGTACGGTGATGTTTGGCATTCCATAAAATTTTAGTTCAAAATTTGATCAAACACATCGAGAAAATATTTTTTGGTAAATTTGGTTATGAATTGGTGATATGTAAATATTCACGTGTTCCATGCATGCATGACGTCCAATGTATCTGCCTCATCCATCATTAATTGGTGCCGTACGTACGCCAACCTGATTTCTTGTTTCTTGTTCGTTGTCTCGATCCGGCACATCTCCTTCCTCTGCAGAATTTAATCATGGGAGTTTGGAAAAACTTGGAAAGGGTGGGAGAATTCAGGCGGCGATCTAGTGTCCTTCAGGGGTGGACGAAAAGCTCGTAGCTCGTTTGGCTTATAACAAACTCGGCTCGGCTCGTTTCATTTTTCTAATGAAAATCGGATTCGTTGACAAGTTAAGAGACCTTATTTGAACTTATTTCAATTGGCCGATCTGCTGGCCCATTTAGCGGCACGCTGAGTCCCTTAAGTGGGCCGGCTGACATCGCCAACCGAACCAGAAGGCCCGAAGGCCCAACTTTGCTTTGCAGGAGAAGCGAAGGAAGTGAGTACAGTATGGGGTCTGGCCCAGCCTTTCCTTACTACAGGTATAAGGTGTTTACAACCGTCAGATCAAACGAAACCGACGGTGGCTAATAAATTTGGGGCATATACATCATGCAGATTAACCTAATTAACCATCATCACACACATCTTAATTTGGAGATTTACAAGATTATCAATGGCGAGGTTAATAATTAGGGGATCTTTAGTAATGCAGGTCGTAATTTTGAAGTCGTGGAGAACGAGTAATACAAATGTTGTTGATATATATTTCCAGGCTAGCTTGGCCACTGAAGTAAAGACCGAGTTTAATTTATATTATTAAAAAATTCTAGGTCGTTGATAGTACCAGTAGTTGACAATGCACTATTGTATAAGCGTGGATACGGCTATACGCGTACTAATTAAATCTTACTGAATGAGGTTAGATGCGCGTTGTTTAATTGCTTGTGTCGTCTACCACACATCGTCAAAAAGATGAAGTGTCGTTCCTTCCGAATTTTCAGCAAAACATATAGCTAGACGTAGTTTTCATAAACTCTAGTACTAGACACTACTCTTTCAATACATACACCATTATTTTATACTTAAATTTAATACTATTTATCTCACATGATGTCTTGAATGTTGCGTAGAAACCATATCTCATGCAAGATATGGTTTCCTTCTCTTTTCTCATTTATTCACTTGCCACATCATTTTTCATCTTAGTTGGTAGCTTATTTAATGTTATGGATATCATCCTAATCATTTGGTTGAAAATGGTCTAAATTATTAGAACTCGTGATATATGCGAAATGAACCTAACAGTGCATTTTTTTTACCCTACAAATCTGCGTACTATAAGTTTCACAGCCAACGACGCTTTGTTTGGCCAATTATTTAAGTACGAAGTATACACAATCTCGTTGACCCATCACCATCATAACCACATGCTGCCAACGAAACACAAGATTAGCTAGCTTGATCTGCATGTTGTCGGTCAACAAGGAGGATGGACACAGGTTACAATTAATATGAGAAAACATAAGAAATGTTATCGATAACCCTACCTTATTGAAAATAATTATCATGGTATAAGCGTCTTTGTTTCAGAAATATCATCATCATTAGGTTTCCGTTAGCAACTATCCGTTAAGTGTTATAAAAAGATCATTTTACCTCTATTTAGTGTTATGAAAATTATCCGTTACAATAATTTAGTGTAAAGAGCAACCTACAAATTAGTACAGTCATAACACCTACAAATTTAGTGCATTATATTGGATCAAACACCTACAAATTTAGTGCATTATATTGGATCAAACACCTACAAATTTAGTGCATTATATTGGATCATGTGCTTTGGAAAAATAATATGTCAAATCTTATTAGTTTGTGCAAGATTTAATAGAGCAACAAGTAATTTGAAATGAGAGGAGTCTTTCCAAACACGGGGCCGGCAGCTAATTTGCAGCAAATTAATAAATACAACAAACAATTGATTAAGTGCAGAGAATTACAAACAAAACCTGACCATGCGTCACCATACTTACACAAACTTAATTACAGGAGTATATAGAGGCATAGTAGATAGTATCAAGTAAAAAAACGCATATAATTAATATACCACTTATAAATTTCTTTTAAAAAACTGGATACTATAACTAGCTCCCAAAAAAAAAACTTTTTTTTAACTGGACACCACTTCACACGCCCAAAGTACGATCGATCGATGATATGATAGATACGAGGTGACGCTATAGCTAGCTAATCCATTTAACGGCCCATGTGCTGCACGGCGGGCGCTGCGGCGGCGGCGGCGCCGCGCTGGACGTTGAGGTCCCATCCGAGCTTGGGGTCGTAGCCGCGGGCGACGAGCTCGCGGTACTCCTGGCACAGCGCGCACTTGTTGCACCAGAAGTGGACGCAGCAGTCGGCGCAGGCGGCGTCGTCGCCGAGGCCGTACTGGGCGCGCATCTTGCCCCGGTAGACGCAGGAGTAGACGAACTGGCAGCCGGTGACCGTCGCCAGCAGCGCGTACAGCGCGCCGCTGGTGCCGCACGACGTCGACCCCCTGTCCACCATCTCCGCCACCCGCCCGAACGTGATGCACGGGCACCAGCACGTCATGCAGCCTGCAGATCAATGTGAACTAATAAGTTAGTTACAGATCAGAACTAACGAATCAGTGTTCATGATATGATCTAGCACAGTAGAGATTATCTGCACTACTGCTGATGTAGTAGTAGACATTAACGTGGGGATCCGAACCCACGTGTCAGCTACGGCTACTGCATTAGTAGTACTACGGAGGATTTGCATATGATCTAGCCATGGCACGGCGGCCGGCGGCGAGGACGAGGACGTACATAGGCCGCAGTCGTCGAAGCAGTCCAAGAGGCCGGTGGACCAGGCGGCGGCGCTTGGCTTGGCCATCGATCTCCTACTTTCCTTTAATTTCCTTCGCCGGTGTACAATTACCTGCTGCTGCAAATTAAGGATGTGATGGAGTTGCTGGTACCTTAATTAGCTTGTGGTGGGAATGAGCATGAGCTGGGAGTGAGGGGACGCTTTATATAGTGCGCGAGCGGCGAGTTGAACTCTGGTATGTGTGTATGCTTCGAATTGATTGGTCGGATCAATGCAGTAATCATGCACGCATGTTTGACCGGCCGGTCCAACCACCGTTTCGTTGACCCAATACAGTTGACGGCTCGCTGCCAGAAGCAGCACTAGCTAGCAGCCAAATATAACCTTGGTAAGGTCGTGTTTACTTCACCTCCAACTATCTTCAACTTCCAACTTTCCATCACATCATATCCAAAACTTTCCTACACATATAAACTTATAACTTTTTTTTCAAACTTCCAACTTTCCACAAACTTCCAACTTTTTTCAGAAACTAAACACAGCCTACCTACACTTCGAGCGTAATCCTTAACCTGAGGATTTGTTTGATCAATTTTATTTTCTTTTTTTAAGGTAACTAGCTGGGTACCCGCTCAAATTGCGTGACTAGCATATGTACAAATTTATCTGCTTTTTATATATGACTTTTATTTAAAATTTGTTAAATAGCTTGTATCTTGTTGTCATCTTTGAAAGGCCGAACATTATCATCCCGTGTTTCTAATCGTATAGTTTTTACCAGTTACTCCTTTATCACACTACCAGTTGTGTTACTCGTATTTGCTTAATCTACCACGGCTTCTATTCATCCTACTTGGGACATTTAAACACTAAATCTTGCATTTTTAGAGTTCATCGTCTTATTGGGTTTCGTTTTTACGATTTTCAGAACACCTGTCAAACATCGTTACTGTACTCCTCTACGATCCATATGTTTGTCTCCTCTTTTACTGCCATTGAGAATGAAACATAATTATCGTTGGGTTTATTTTTTTTACTTTGTAAAAGTCCCACCAAACCATCAACGACTTCACCATTGTACTTCTCTATGGCCCGCCCGCTATTTCTCCTCTAATTGTCATTAAGATATTAAAATATCAAACATGATTATTACTGCAATTTATTTATTTATTACTTTCTAAATGTTTTGATTAATTTGAGTCCAATTCTATCTCATGGTTTTGATCGAAAATGATTGTAATATGTCTCGTGTGATTTAATAAAGTCCTTTCCCCTGAAAAGAAAAATGTCACACACTCCAACAACGTACGCAGCAAGTCGATTTCCCGGAAGGATATGCTACAGCGATTCGTCTTACAAACCGCGAACGTTGGTTCGTTAGTTTACCAGCTGATCGAGAGTTTACATTAATATATTATGTGTTGTGTTGGGTTAGGTTAGCTGCCACCACCATCTTATATACTCCCTCGATTTTTCTAATTAACGTGCAACGCCAACTTTTAACGAGTTGTTTAACCATTTATTTTATTAAAAAAATTATATAAGTATTATTTATTTTTCTGTGATTTATTTTATCATCAAAGAGTATATAATTTTAACTTATATTTTTATATATATTTTAAATAATACAAATGGTGAAACGTCGGTGTCATAAATTAAAAAACAAACGTACTTACTACTACATTAATGATATGTAACGCCCATTAATTTGCCCATGTGCATGCAAAAATGTACTGCGTTGGGGAACTGATGGAATTTCTGCGATGTTTCTTGCAAAACGTATGGCATGAATAATCCATGGATTTTAATTTCTTCAAATCCCACGAGAGGAGAGGAGAGGAGAGGACCCCGTCTGATACTGAAAGTGCCGTGCCGCTTGATAATTGATGGATAAATTACGTATACCAACAACCAAACTTTCCACCACCACCACCGCACTTGATCCACTCCGTGTCCGGCCAAAACAACGTGTGTTTGTCGCATGGACACTCTCGACTGCGCCGCCGCTGCACTGCACGTGATTGCGGTGCCGGATACGCAATTAGCTATATCCGGTCAAATACTCAAATCAGTTTGCGAAAAAGGACCAAATTTATGCGAAACCAAGCAGGTATAGTTAACTTAACAAGTAAGGGTGTGTTTAGTTTACGCCAAAATTAGAAATTTGATTAAAATTAGAACGTTGTGACAAAAAAGTTAGAAATTTGTGTGTAAAAAAATTTTAATGTGATAAAAAAATTAAAAATTTAAATTAAAGAAAAAGTTGGGAACTAAAGCAGCCCTAACTGTCGTTGAACAAGCCGTGTGTTCGGAACAAGTGCCCAATATAAATGCGCGTGGGACTTAGTTTCCCTAGCAGTGTTTCCGTGGGGCTCAGTTTTGCACATGTTTGTACCTCCATTTTTCTTCGTACGACTAGCAAAAAGCACATGTTTTGCTACGGTTATAATGTCCATACTTATTTAGGTTTTGTTTAGTTCCAAACTTTTTCTTCAAACTTTTAACTTTTCCATCACATCAAAACTTTTCACACACATAAACTTCTAACTTTTCCATCACATCGTTCCAATTTCAACCAAACTTCTATTTTTGGCGTGAACTAAACACACCCTTAGTATATGTTGTTCATTTGATTCAAACAAATATTAAACTCTTGTTTAATATTAAAAAAATTAGGGACTAATTTGTAAAAATGTGCAGGAGTAATTGTGGTGGATTGATGGTAGTTCCATACTTCCATCACCAATATTATCTTTTATAGTAGTAATATATATATTAATTTGACAAATAACCACCACTAGAGAAATGATCTTTACTACCAGTTTAAAATCCCCTTTATTCTCGGTTGTAGCAGCTAAGAATAGCTAGTAAAGCGAGACTAAAAATCGAAATCTTTAGTACCAGTTAAAAGAACTAGTACTAAAGATACATACTAAATCAAAAATAATATGTGGGATATGAGATTTAAACTTCAGCCCTCACGCATGTTACCATCGCACATACTACACACATCTGACTTGGATGGAGATGCTTTATTTGTAAACTAACCTTGGAGATATCTTTAATATCGGTAAGTAACACCAACCGGAACTAAAGATTCTCCATCTTCAGTCTCGATTGTCTTTAGTCTCGGTTGGTAAAGATGTATTTTTATTACCGGTTGGTAACACCAACCAAAACTAAAGACGTTTTTAGGACTTGGATTTTTCAAACCGATACTTAAAAATATCTTTAGTAATGATTCTAAATCTAACCGAGATATTTGTGTTTTGGGTACCACGATAAAAGATTGGTTGTCCAGTAGTGAACAAACTAAATAAGGACGTAGAATGTGTTAAAAAAAAGACGCTGAACACTCGCTTTGATTTGGAAAAAGAGTTATTCACTCTATTTTTAAATATATAATGTTCATGATTTTTTACATAACAGTGATCATTTGTCTTGTTAAAATATTTAGTACAAATATAAAAAAATATTAGTTACACACAAAATACCTTTAATGATAAAATAAATCATAACAAAATACTTCCTCTGTCTCAAAGTGTAGACATTTGTTAGGTTATCACGGGCATTTTTAAAGTAGATGAGAATGGTTGAAGAAATGGTGTGATTGGTTGAAAAAAGAAAGTAGGTGAAAGAGAATGGTTGTGATTGGTTGAGAGGAGGATCGAGGTAGGTGAAAAAATAGCTTTATTATGGGACAAGGTATTATGCTAGAAATAACTATATTTTATAATGAAAGTTATAAATAATAGTTTTTAATAAGACAAATACTCAAACGTAATAATGAAATGTCAAAACATCACACACCCCTAGTTTTTGAAAATGAGGTAAGCGATTTTCTTTTTGTCAGCTAATCGTGTTCAAAGTGACTGAAATGCGTGTTGTGTCGTTCTTGATATTGCAGACCTTAGAGGGCCAATGGGCTCCATGTCCTTTTGATGCGTTATTTTCAGCAACAACCACTTAGTACTAGAGTATTAGAGCACCTGTAATGGTAAAGTAAGGTGCTATTTATAAAACATGTACATCTCAGCAATAGACTAAATTAATTGTAAACCATCTTAATAGTATGTCTATATGGGTATCTATAGCTCTCTAATGCATTGCCTCGTTTTTCTCTATAGACTATCTTCAGGTTAGTAGATAGCTTTGCTCTCTCTCTTCATTTAATCTCTTCCAAATAGGAAAATATGCTGACATAGATCTCTTATAGAGAGCCTATAGATAACCATTGCGGGTGCCCTTATGGACATGCTTCTTAAGCTATAAATAGTCTGATTTTCTAGAAATTTACTATATAAAAATTTCTTATACTCTGCAATTTCCTATACCACTTAGTAATATTTAAACATTTATTTGTAACTTATTAATATTTTGTTTATTTGTTTATGCCCTAATAATTATCGTAAAATCAGAATAGTCTACCATTCATCCCCTGCAATCCATATCCAGTGAGATCTTAATCTTCACACAAATAGCTAAAAAAGAAGTCAAGACTTGTAGTTGCTTGTATCTCTCTCATTCCAAGAGGTGAATATTAACAAATTTGGTTGTTAATTTGTTAATACTACACGATTGCAAACTTGTTTTTTTTTTGCAGGGAAAACTTGTAATATTTTATTATATTAAGATAATTGACCTTTGTTTGCAAAAAAAGAAAAAGAAAAAGAAAAAACATACAACCCGGTGGTGTTCGCCGTTCCACATAATTTTAGTTCGAAATTTGATCTATACAAGAAAATAATTCGACAAATTTGGTTGTTAATTGCTGCTGTAGTATTCACGTGTTCCATCACGTCCAATGTATCTGCCTCTTCCATCATTGGTGTCCGTGTCCTACCTGATTTCTTCTTCTTTGGTTCCTTTCGTTGTCTGCATCCTGCACATCTCCTTCCTCCGCAGAATTTAATCATGGGAGTTTGGAAAAACTTGCAAAGGGTGGGAGAATTCAGCCGGCCGGTCTAGTGTCCACTAGTGCCTAAGTCTTAGTATCTCTTGGGGCACTCACAGTACAAACACCGGACCTCGTGGCTTAGCCAAAAAAAAAAAACACACACAAAGACACTCATTTCCACAGTGAAAGGATCCTATTTTGCATGGCCTAATTGGATAGAGATATTGTGCAAGGCAACTAAGCCCACAACAAGCGTGACCCGGGTCCGGCTAGCACGGGCGAGCGTTCCTTCACCCACCCTTGCTCCCGTTTTCCTCCATCCCATCGCGAGCTCGCCTCCTTCCACTCCGCCCCACCCACCGCTCCTCCTCCCGGTCCGTCACGACGGCCCGCTCTCTCCTCGGCACGCTCGTCCTCGGCATCTGCCACCTCCTCTCCCTCGTTCTTGGCGGCAGCTCGCCGGTGCGCGCGTGGCCGCCGGCTCTTGTCGGCGGGAGGCATCTCCGGCTGCCGTGGCGGCATCGGCCACCACCACCGGCCTCGCCGCCGCCCGCCGCGTCGGCCACCAGCCCACCACCACCCGTCGCGTCAACCACCATCACCGGCCTCGTCGCCGCCCACCGCTCCACCTCCCGGTCCGCCGCGGCGGCCCATTCTCCCCTCGGCGTACGAGGTAGATGTGGTGGCCGCGGCGGCGGATGTGGTGGTCGATGCGGACTCGGGAGCACCGGCGGTGGGCGGCGGCGGATGGATCTGCCTTTCTCGATGGTGGGAGCGGCAGGGCGGCGGATGTGGTGGTCGATGCGGACTCGGGAGCACCGGCGGCGGGCAGCGGCGGACGGGTCCGCCTTTCCTGACGGTGGGAGCAGCGGGGGTGGCGGGAGCAGACGGCGTGGGAGGAGAAGAATCGGTGGTGGGAGGAGGAAATTGCTGTGGTAGGAGAGGATTTTTCGAGGGTGATTCGGGGTTTTCGCCGGGCGGAATCGACGCGAGGGCACGGGCGGCCAAGAAACGCTGCTCACAGCGCGGGTGCCTCACGATTTCGGCGCCGCGCGTGGATTTGCCTCGACGAAGTTTTGCGCCCCTCTTGTGGGCACGAGACACCTAGTTTGGTCGCGGGCGCATGCGACACGTCGACCAAAATCCGATGTGGCGCAACGAGGTTCCGGTCTAGCTCAGCACAGTGTGAAAGACTTTATAGTATCCCCAAAGGAACACAAAGATAAGTTTTCTTTTTCTACTCCTATATATAACAATTAATTGACAAAAGAAAGAAAATTAAGAAGGTCCCAGCCGTAGCCATATTTAAGTTAGACCTAAAAAATAATATCTGATTAGCACTCTATAGTCAACATATGAGTTGAACTGAGCCATAATGCCCTTTAATTAAGAATGATTCAGTTTAGAATTATTATAATATAAACTATTAGGAGTAAGCTTAAACAAACATATAGCTTATTATGATAGATTATTACAATCTATAAACCAGATTACTATAATATAATAATCCACTCTAAAGATGTTTTTTTAATTATTGGGTGGCTAACAACTAACAAACGACTAATAATATAGAGATACAAACAGCTAACAGCTTATTTTATGTCCGCTTATTATAATTCAGCTTATAGTAATCTGGCTTAACAATCTAGATTACAATAATCTTAAACCTTAAAATCATGATCACACTGGCTCAGTAAGCTTAGAGAGGGGAGAGAGAGAGATGCATATATGACAAAGAAAGATTATAATCTGATGATTTATTAGTTAGCTAATGAACGAATCAACCACTTTATTGATGGTTAAACAAAACATTCAACGAATTAGAAGAGCTAATTAATTAATTAGTGCCTGTTCAGATTGTAGCCAAAATAAATCTTACCAAATTTTGGCAATATCAAAATTTTGGCAAGATGATAATGTTGTCCAAATTTTGGCAGGATTTCTTATATATTTATCAAATTTAGTAGCAAACTAAACGTAGACATTTTTTTGACAACTTTAAAAAAAATGGTATGGTTGAAAATGACGTCAAATTGAACGGGCCCTTAATTAACCTAATCAAAATACCTGAACACGATCGATCAAAAATGGAGATGAGAAGTCACATGAGCGATTAGTACATTATGAATTGATCATAACTGGACATCCGGTATTAGTTCGTCCGAGTGTTCATCAGCTGACGGCTCCGGCGCCGGCTCGCCGGCCGTTCCGATGACCATCTCGATGAGCGCGCCGGTGACCCGCATGAACTTCTCGAACGCCTCGTTCTTGTCGAGCAGGGTGGCCTTGACGGTGGAGTCCGGCGCGTCCCGGCAGCTCTCCTCGCACGACCACGTGTCCCTCTCGGCGACGTCCATGAACAGCCGCACGTCCTTGAACTTGGCGTCGAGGTCGACGACGCCGCCCTCGGTGTCGTCGAGGTGGGAGACGGCCTCCTCGATGTCCTGCGCGCACTCGTCCAGGCACTGCCACATGTCGGTGTCCTTCACGATGTCGAGCTCCGCGCGCGCGAACGTGCCCGCCGCCGCGCCGATGGTGGCGGCGGAGCGGACGGCGTTCTCGGCGAGGACGCGCGGGTCGCCGGTGTTCCTGCACTCCGGGATGGCGCCCAGCACGGTGATGCACACGTCCGGGTGCGGCGTCTTGGCGCACGTCATCATCAGTGGGCTCCCCGCCGCGGCGGGGCGGAGGAGGAGGATCAGGAGGAGGAGCCGCACGGAGCCGCGTGTCGCCGCCATTGTCGTCGATGGAGGATCATGGGTGGAGGCACCGCGGCGAGCGATATATGGTGGTGGGGAGCGGGAGTTGGGTTCGTGTGGTCGGGAGCGTTTTGTGAGCGAGGCGTGCTAATGCTGCCATGGCGAGAGATGCGCGGGCGGGATCCGCCATGGACGTGGGAGAGCTTGCATGCAGCGAATTAGCGGAAGTGAGTTGAGGCTGAGCTGACTCCCACCCATTTCTGCGGCGGCTGTCTCGCTGGAGAAGACGACCGGTTCGCGGAGGAAGCAAATCAGACTCACTCTCTCTCTCACACACACACACACTCTTGGGCTTTTTTTGTATCGGGTTATCTTGGGCCGAATATGCCAGGGGGATCGAAAAAGTGGGGGAATAAGTTCATCTGAGGTCCCTGAACTTGTCAACGAATCCAATTTTCGTCCTTGAACCCCAAAACCAGATACAACGGGTCCCTCGACTATAAAAACCGGTGCAGATAAGGTCCATCGGCGGTTTAGATGGCGGTTTTGACTAACGTGGCGCCTACGTAGCTATTTTTGACTCGATCTTCATCGGATGTGGCACTGACGTGGCGCTTACGTGGCAATTCGATCCAGAAAAATAATAAAACCTGTGGGACCCACATGTTAGTTACACAAAAAAATAATTAGAAAATGGTGGGGCCCACGTGTCATCCTCACCCTATCCTTCTTCCTCATCTCTCCCTATCTCCCCGCTCTTCATCTCTCTCCCCTCTCCTGTCTCTCCAAGTGCCACGGAACGGGGAGGTTCGGCGGCCGGCGGCACAGCGGTGGCGGCGGCACAAGAGAAGGGGAGGGCGCAAGAGAAGGGGCGGCCGGCGCACGCGCGGGTTCCTCATGGGAGGATCACGTGGGCTTCCATGCCGCCGCAGTTGTCGTCGTCGTCGTCCAGGTCGTCGCCACCCTTGAGGAATCCGGCGTTGTTGACGAAAAAATCGAACACACCGGCCTAGGAGATCTGCTTAACTCCTGTGCAGGTCCAAAGGTTGGTGAGATGCGGGCGTGCCAGTCAGTTTGATCCTGCAACTGACAAGATATGCAAATAGTAGATCAAAACAACCGATCGGCTGACAAGCCGATAGAGTAGTTCCAGCCGATAGTCGATAATAGCCGATGCCGATACCAGCCGATAGCGATAGGGTTTTGATAAATCGGCTATATGTCCAATGTAGATGATGATATAAAGGCAATCGGCTGATGATAATATAATATTGCAATATAATCCGGTATAAACCAATCGGCTAGCAATGATATGATAAATAAGCATCGATCCGAGGTTTAAAGCACACATCGGCTGGAGGTCCGATGTCATGAAATCCACAAGATTAGATTAAACAGTGAAACCTTTGTTGTCATCGCTAAATCCAACTTATATGTATATACAATCCTTATGAGCCGATGCAACGTCCAGATAACTCACCGGCTAAAACCCCGATGATACCCTTATTGGCAATCAAGAAGCAGGCTAGAGATTATGGTTCTAAGCACGACTTAGTAGATCAAACTTAACTGATGCAGCACTAAGTATGAAAAGAAACATTATATCTAGACAATCAAGCCGTTGACTGAGTTTTCAGGGTGGTAGATGTCTAAGCTAATCTAATCTAGAAACACGATTTAGCTAATACCGGCAAAAACCCTAAAACGAGAAGCAGCCGATAGAGCTAAATTGATATGCTAAGACTAGATTAACAGAGACATATGATAAATAGGTAGGCAAATATATCATCCAAACCAGAGCAATCCAAGAGGTCGAATGTACTAGTGCAGCCTTGAACGACGCCGACATAAATGATACAATTGCCTGGACCGGCGAAACATTGGACTTACCCCTTCGCCGGAGATCGAAGCCGGAGATCGAACACCGATGCAGCCCCGCGTCGGGTGCCAAGTCCCGCCAGACGATAAAATAAAGTAGAAAAGGTAAAAGGGGTGGCGATGCGCCGAATTGTATCGATCGTGGAGATAGATTACATAGACCCCGGGTGTACATATTTATACCCATGGGTTGATACAAGCCCTTGTCGGACAAGAAAGAAACTAACCTAAAGATAAAAGGAAAATATAAAGTCCTTATCGGACACACTTTCCTAAAGATAAAAGGAAACTAACAAACTATTCCTAATTAATAGATAAACTGCCATGCCGCATCCTCTTTAAACTCGGTCACTTAGGGATAAGTATCCTTTAGTAGATTGATTTCCTTAACCGAATATAGCAGGAATCCGACTATTGGCGACTTGATAACTCCCATCGGCTGATTCCGAGATGCTGCAGCAGATAATGATTCTAAGCCGATGACGTCTTTGCCGATTACCAAATTTCACTGTTAATAGGCGTGCGCCGGCCGCCCCGCTCCGCCCCCTTCACCCAACGCTCCCGCCACCGCAGTCGTCGTCGTCGTCGTCCAGGTTGTCGTCGCCCTTGAGGAACCCAGCCGGCCGCCCCTTCTCTTGCGTCGCTGCCGCCGCCACCGGCCGCCGAACCTCCCCGTCCAATGGCGCGTGGAAAGAGAGGAGAGGGGAGATAGGGAGAGATGAGGAAGAAGGGTAGGGTGAGGATGACATGTGGGGCTCACGTGGGCCCCACTATTTTTTAATTATTTTTTGTGTAACTGACATGTGGGTCCCACGGGTTTTATTATTTTTCTATATCGAATTGCCACATAAGCGTCACGTCAGTGCCATGTCCGATGAAGACCGAGTCAAAATAGCCACGCAGGCGCCTTGTCAGCCAAAACTGCCATCTAAACCACAGAAGGACCTTATCTGTACCAGTTTTGATAGTTGAGGGACCCGTTGTATCTGGTTTTGGGGTTAAGGACTAAAATCGGATTCGTTGACAAGTTTATGGACCTCAGATGAACTTATTCCGAAAGTGGGACGGGCGACTGTGGGCTGCAATAGTCTCCACGGCCCATCCAAGAATATTCGGCTCATCTGGATTATAGGATTTTGGGATAGTTTTTGTAGGATTTAAATTGATTTTGTGTGAAAACTGTAAAAATGATGATTCTAAGTACTCAGCCCTTTCTGGCCTTTTGTGAATCTCACTCAGCATCCAAAATTCCAAACCAATCGAATCGTACCACATTCGTCACCGGTTTTAGCCCGTTTGGTCTGTTACGTGATAGGTGATACCATCTATTTCACAAGCTAATGCATGATAAATACAATATTTACTCTTGAAATTGAAATTTGGCAGATTTACATAGCCTGATGTGTCCAACATAAATTTTGTTGGAAATTTGAAACGTTGCAATGAGACGTGCTCAAGTCATGAATATAACAAGAGAGAATTTGGTGGTCGTATATATACACGAGGATACATGAAATGCACATGATAGTACAGTGGTAAAGGGTATATGGTTTCAATCCCGATTCCGAGATCTCGTGTTCAATCTTTAACACGCTCATAATTTCTTTTTAATAAATGTTTGGATAGAGGTCTCCCCCTCCAAATCTCGTTTTTGTTATACACGATGATTTGCTACGGATGTTTGCTCATGGACGCATTGGTGAGGGCGAGGGCGATGGAGCAGAGCTTGGCGAGCTCGTCGATCCTGTCGGCGATCTCCGGGGCGGCGCCGCCCTCCGTCATCCGGCACTCGTCCATGCACGTCTCGCCGTCCGCCCTGGCCTCCGTCACCCACGCCTTGGCGCCGGCGGCGTCATGGCGCACCTCCATCGCCGCCTCGGACCGCCTCAGCTCCGCCACCGCCTCCTGGAACTTCGCCACGCACCCTTCCAGGCACTCCGGCGGCATGCCGCCGGGCATCTTCGCCAGGTTCCTCACGAACGACGTCGCCGCCGCCCCGCTCTCCGCCGCCATCGACAGCGCCGCCTCCGCCAGCGCCGGCATGTCCAACGCCGCCGCCCTGCTCTCCGGCCTCGCCGACAGCGCCTTCACGCAGTACGCCTCGTGCCTCGTGTGCCGGCACGCGTCCTCCACGGTCACCGCCGTGGCGGCGGCGCCCCGGAGGGAGATCGCGACGGCGGCGGCGACGACGACCAGACGGAGAGAAGCAGCAGCCATGTCGATCTGCGTGATGGCGAGCTAAATTTTCGTTTTCATGAAAACACTTGAAAGTGATGATATAGAGCGTGAGGCCGAGAGGATTTACAGCTGCATGCATGAGAGACCAACCGTACGGAGGATGTCCACGTCATCCGGTCAACGGAATGGTTCCAACTTTGACCATGCAAATTTAGCTTTAGTGGTATATATACAGAGTAGCATTGGGACAGAAATAACATGCAGGCATATGGAAATTGTTTTAGAACAATGCAATTTGCAAAGAATTGGATTAATAATTTATTGAGTTTTTACATAATTTACAAATCATTTGTTATTGTATCTACATTATCGTCTTTGAGCAGCTGTTCCAATAATGATTCCATTGTGCTTATGTAACTAGGCATGTAATGCTCCTTTATCATGTTTGGAGCTAGCCTTATTTTCCCATACAAATCTCTTGGCGTTTCATAAATGCTAATGATCTCATTGCTGCTGGATCCCTCACCAGGATTTGGGTCAGGTGAGGCCATTGCAACCATGTGAATAATTCTTCCAGGAGGGAAAAACTGGCGCGAACTGCAGGTTGGTAGCGGTTCTTTCAGCTTGTCTTTGATATCACAGTTCTGCTTCAGTGATTCTGGTTCCTCCTGCCCTGTCAAGGATGATTGTTCTTGTTCAGTGTCCAGTGATCCATTGATGTTCACATCCCCTTGTGCTGCAAAGCCTGATCCAGCAACAGACTTTGTACTGATAACATTATCGTTGCTAGATAGTACAATCTTTTCTTCAGAGGTAACAACTGATACAGCTGAAAAGTCCTGCTCTGTATTAGCAACGAGGTCCGTTTGATGCTGGTTGCAGTCTGTGCTTAGCCCATTTGTTACAGGCTGCGTGATTTCGGGGACATGTTTGAGCAAGGGCTGCATTGACAGAATAAATAGGGTGTCAGAAAATCGTCAATCCTCTCGTTGCTTTGCTTCTGTACTCACGTTGGCACTAATCAGTAAACCCAAGAGTTACTTTGCTTCTGTAAATTTTTGGAAGGTACACTGCACGGAGAAGCAGGAACTGTGCATGATGGAAATTCTCATTTTGCCCTTTTGTAATAGATGTGATGCTTGTATGGCCAATGGAAGGAAAATCATCCGTACCAAAGATATGCCTACTACCTAGTATACTAACAGATAATATTAGCATGCCCGCCACAGTGTTATCGGTGTTGATTGGGATTGGATGCTAGAAAGGATCGCTGGATCAGCTGTTAACAGTCATTAAAACCGCTGGGTAATCAAATTAATACTCGTGCTGGGTTCACATGTGGCTTAAGGACGCAAAATTATCATTGTGCTAGTTTAGGATCCAGTGACAAGTGACAGAAGCAATCATTTAAATAGTAGAAATTAAAGTGCCTAAGAGGTATTACCTCAGATATGCTAGAATCAGGATCTGTGTTCTTCTCTGTTGGATGAGATACTGACAGCATATGAGACTTTATGAAAGCTACACGCTTACTTATTGCCGTAAATAAGCTAAAGTGAGCTTGATCCTGCTCATCATCTAGCTTTGATGATACCATTACCTGCAGTAGAGACAAAAAAATCAGTGATGATAGAACACTGTTGGGAATCAGGTATATGGTCGTTTTCACAATTTATCAGAAATTTTATATGGCCACTGTCCAGTATGCCAATGAGGTTAACATTTCAAGTTTGAAGCTAAGATCTCCATTGCATCACATATTTCTTGAAATATCACAAGAAATTAATGTATTAACACTTTGCTAAGTTCTTAAAATGTTTCCTTGTTAATTACAAAAGAAGTTCATACTAGTGAAGGTCTGATTTTATTATGCTGACACATAAGACACTGGCCATCAGAAATTCAGAGTACCTCAGCTCGCAGGTTCTCAGCAGAAACTTTTGAAAAGGCCGGGACCACATCATTTCTGTTGATGAGAGAAGTGACAAATTCTTTGCCCGACTCCGCCAGCTCCCATGACATACAGGCAGCTATACAAAACAGGAACCCTTTAAAAATCTGAAAGCATTTCCTCTCTTAAATCTAGAAAATAGTATAACTGTCTCAGTTCCTGGATTAACTTGTAGCCTAATAAAATAAATCTTGCAAGTCAATGCAATTCTATCATATCTGTATAAAACAATGGCTAATTCTCCATCACTGTCCAATAATGCAAATTGTACACAAGAACGTTCAACCAAACAGTTGGCATGGATGAGATCATGAGAACATAGTGCCAAAACAACTTTTGTCACCCATTAAGTACTGAAACAGAACAAAGTTACAACTCAGGAAAATAATATAAGAAAACACCTGATAATCATAAAGCCATATAATATCTCGAAGGCACAATGCAAAAACTAAGCAAAGTGTGGCTTTAAAGATGTAAATCATGAATAAGTCACTTACGAGGAGCAAATGCCAGACACGTGCACGATGAGAACTCATGATGCTCATGAAGAATGTATGTCAGAATTGCTCCGATACCTGCTCCCATTGAATGCCCAATGACCTAGTACAAATGACAAATAAGGAGACATAATTTGGGTCAGAAATCTTCACAAAAATAAACATGACATAAAAGACAAAAGGAGAGATCTGATTACGCTTCTTAACTGTCTCAGTGATATTTATCAAAAACAAATTATTTCAAATAAGGTCATGTATATAGATCACAGCGCACTGCAGCGGCTACACCTATAAATTGTAGTCACTTCATCCATGCATAGCACTAATAAGAAATACCTTTATTTGATAATCAGGGAATTCTTGTACTGCCTTGTGAAGATGGGGCTTGGCAAGGTTAGCAATCCAACGAGCTGCAGCAAGCATCCCACAATGTGCATATCCTAAAACCACGTTGCTGATTTGTCCTTCACTTAAAACTATATGGTGAAAAGGAACCTCAGCAGCAGTTGCGGCTGTTAGGCGCTCCTTAGTACTGATAGCACCCCGAATGAAAAGCAGAAAGCACTTGGATTTTTTGTCACACACAAGCGCGAAAGAAGGTTGCATAAGCTGCATCAAGTTGATAGTTAAGAGTGAGTCAAAATGTGGAGGAACAAATACAAATTGTAAATGTGAGTACCTTAAGCATGAGATAAGAGGAATACAGTGATACTTACTCACCCTCGCCCTAGCCTTGTGAATAAGAATGTCTTCTTGATTGTACCCACCAAACTGAAGAAACGCTGAAAATGTTTTCTTTGAGTAGAACATGCAAATCTTCAAGTGCTCAAGTAGATAAGCTACTTCAGTGTGTGCGTCGTGACCTTTTAGTTGAAGGCAATCATTTCCACTATACTCATGCTGCAAATCACCCTAGAGCACACAAACAGGAAAAAATACAGTCACAATATGATTCCACACCATTGACTATGTAATATGTTCAAGACAGCTATACAGAACCAAGCTGATTATAATCTGCATAACTGAATTGCTTCAGCAAACAATCTACTACCGCCGAATTTACGTCTTAAAGAACAAAATGCTAGTTATGCTGATTCATCAGAACATCGGATAGCCAGCTTCTCTTCACTCACGGGAAGTACATCTTATTGAGTTTTGATGCATTGAATAGCTTTGCAAAGAACATCTGCAGATAAACAGAGTACATTATATTGAACTGAATGTTGAGTGCGTCCTGTTTCCTCTTCTTTGAGCAACCATTTTAGTTTTAGCAAGACAACAGAATTCTGGTCCAATTTTATTAGTTGTTCTTCTAGCAAATTCACACATGCGCAACAAAATAACCAGCTCTGTATAAAACGCATATCGATTGGTTATCAGAAGTTCAGAACAGTTGGAAACGTTTCTCACTTCAGATCAACATCTAGAGGAGACCTTGACCACCATGACCAGCTTGACTCTGAAAAAATCCATGAATCCGACCTTACGGATCCATGAGATTTACCCATATTTACATCAACGATCTTAAGTCCCGCACAGAATTTAAGTATGATCTGACATTGCAAGTACGAGGAATGTATTGAATTAGTGGTAGAGGTGAAGCTATTGTAAGCCACTGACCCAACATTGAGCCTTTATTTCCCAAATAAAAAGGCAAAAGCAGTCTTACTTGCAAGTCAAATCAAGTCAAACCTTGAAATAGTCATAAATCCTGCCTTTTACACCAAAATTTTCAGCAAGAGTAAAACTAAAACGAAGAAAAAGTCCACTCGAAGCAAAGCAACTACACGTTCCGCCGCTCAGTGCGATTTGAGCGCAGTTAGAACATCGTGATCAGTCGCTATCGTTAAAGCCATCGAGCGAAATGATCCTCAATTTGCAAGTAAGAAACGCAAAGCGCAGACACAGAAACGAACAGAAGAACTGAATACTGGCAGCATCGCAGTAATCGCGCACAAGAGCGAGGAATCACGAGGTGAAATGCGAAAAATCTCGCGGACCTGGCGCTTCATGTGGCGCTTGATCCCGAAGGCGATGCCGTGGAGGCCCCAGCGCCCGACGGTGAGGTCCCACGTGCGCCGCGCCGTGCGCGCGGCCACCGCCGCCGCCTCGCAGCACGTTGACGGCGGCCTGTACGGCCACTCCTCCTCCTCCTCGCCGCCATCCCCCGCCTCCCTCCCCCGCGCCTCCGCCCCGGACGACAACAGCCGCGACTCCTCCTCCTCCTCCTCGCCGGCCTCCGGCGCCGGCTGCGGCCGGCAGCATGCGAGGAGTATGTAGGCGAGCAGCGCGGTGCCCGAGGCTGCCGCCGCCCCCGCGGCGGCGACGGCGGCGGGCATCCGGCGATTCGCGGCGGCGGCGGCGGCGGCGGGGATTTGGGGCGATCGATCGCGAGGCGTTGAAGTGTGGGACGAAGTGGAGAAGAAGCTTCGGTTTGTTTGTGAAAGGGGTGGATTTGTAAACTTGAGACTTGCAACTTGCCCCCCAAGTGAAGTGAGGTGGTTTTTAAAATAAGGCACGGTTTAGTTTGGGAAAAATTTTAGGTTTAGTTATCACATTGGATACATGGATAAACGTTTGAAATATTAAACTTAGCCTAATAACAAAACAAATTACAGATTCTGCTAAGAAACTGCGAGACGAATTTATTAAGTCTAATTAATCTGTCATTAGCAAATGTTTACTGTAGGTTTGTAGCACCACATTGTCAAATCATAGCACAAATTAGGCTTAAATGATTCGTCTCGTAATCTATATGCAGACTGTGTGATTGGTTTTTTTTCCATTTAATACTACTTACACTCCATGCGTGTATCCAAACATTCGATGTGATAGGTGAAAATTTTGTTTTGCGAACTAAAGAGCCCCTAAGAAATTTGGTTTTCGAATTCGTCCTGGAATTTTTGGGAAGCTTGTGAGCCAAATATGTTTGGTTTGTGGAGGTCGTTTTCGAAAATAAAATGGTTTGCCGAGAGGGTGATGTCATCGCTGGATACTGACATTTTTCAGATGAAATAGTCTCCACTTGCATAATGTTCTTACATCAATGGCTGAATACCTTCATAATTTATGATAATTATAAAATAGTATAAATAAATAAATTAACTATTATAAAGTTTAAAACAATCTAAACATTTTTTCTAAAAGATTTAGTAGTATGTGCGTAAAGCTGTTTTACAAAAATCATAACTGAAAGCGTGTGTACTTGCATATTCATCGGTTAAGCATAAAAAAAAAACATGGCTGCGCATCAAGTACCATTTTTTTTCTTGGCAATAATTGTACTGTAGTGTTAGTATGCTCCAATCATTGTTCATGAGTAGGGCTCAGAGCACGTGATTTGCATTTGAATAGAAAAACACTACTATTCCAATTACGATAGAGATTGAATGAAAGGAAATTCGACATAACCCCAAACGCTATTCCATTTTTATTTGACATCACCACGATAAATTATCCATTGCAGGCGCGATGTTATTTACCGGATTGATCCATTTTCTTTTCCCCAAACAAAAAAAGGGAAGCATTTTCCCTAAGTTTCATAGGTCTACTAATTTTCAAGGAATGTTCTGGCTCTCGGTTCGCAATTTCGCATTGTAAAACGATCTCTAAAAATGGATTTATTGAATATAAGTACAGTACAATTTGCTTTCCTCACAGTCTTTTTTACGTTCGTGCTCGGTCAATCATCCAAACAAAACAGTGGATCTCAAGATCACAAAATGCTAGTAGGATTAATTATTTGTCCCCTTTTGCTAAAAGGCCCTGGTAGAAACCAGCAATTAGAAACAAGAACAGCAGCGAGCTCCGGATGCTTATCGACAAGGGAGAGCTGGTGGGCCCGGGATGACAGCGTGGATCACATGGAAGCGCCAATTGGTCAGCTCGACATGGCCCCACCGAAATGATTGCTGCCAAGAAGAAAAAAAAACCACGGGTTTTTTCTCACCCATTACTCCCCACACACACCGACATGTGGGCCCGCTTCTACCACTGGGCCCACATGTAAGAGGGCGCCAAGGACAATGAGGCCGTGGGTTTTACTCCGTGGTGACTGGTGAGTGATGATGCTGGCACCCTCGTGGGAAGATGCCGAGAGTTTGGAGCCCTGAGCTGTGGGGCCCACATGCAGTGGCACGTGAATGTTTTTTTTTTCCAAGAAGAAGATCTCCTTCTCTCCGAGCCGTTGGATCAAGCTACGGACGGCCAGATGGTGCTGGGAGGATATCCGTATGATCTTTCGAGTATCATCGCAACATGAAGCTCGAAAATCTTAGCCGCATTCTGCAGCCACCAAACTGTTTATAGCAGTTTAGCTCTGTCTGATTGCTGCTGCAGGCGAGCTACGCTTCAATAATCAATATGTCTTCTTTATTATTCTAGCATCAGATTTGAGTTTAGCTGTGAACAGCCACAATTACTCCAAAGGCTCTCTCATATTAGCAATTGGTTGGGTGTGTAAAATTTTTACACTGTTCCAAGATCAGCTTTGGATTCTTTGTTGCTTGTGTTTGGCGTCGCAAATTGGAACGTTGAAAAGATAGGGTTCGTGTTTAGCTAGTGTGTTCAGTCGTTCTTCAGGTCTTTGCAAAATGAAAATAGTATTTCATTGCTCATTGAAAATATTATTCTTTTATTGGCATTCTGTGGTGATCCAAGTATACTGGACAAAATTCTTGCATCGGCAACCGATGCATTAGCAGCCTAACTTGATACAGTGCTTCTGGTTGAAAGTCTCGAAGCAACTCTCTCTTTTGACTGAATTCATTTGTCAAGTAGCAGTAGAGTACTAGCCTTGCCAATCGATCGAGAATTCGACATAGCCACTGGTGTCAGGGTCTCACGGCTCAAGGAAAAACTAATCCTGCCTGGCTGACAAATGTTACAGAAATACAGTTCAGATTATTGAGAAATGTTTGGTTCAGTATGAACCTTCTGGTTCAGTCTCGTTGAAATGGCGACTGACTGACAACCGGAGTTTATTATCTGAAACTGTAAGACCATAATATACTGTTATTGTTTGTTGATTATTATACTACGAGTACTTCCAATCGTAGTGACAGTGTGAACAATCGGAACCTGAAAGCCAATCATCCAGCTGAATGTTTGGCGCAACTGGATTATGTGAGAAGTTTAGTCCAAGAAACAGGGACTGGTTCCATTCAGATGACGATCATCAGAGATGCGAAACTCTGAAATCTGAATGATCACAGCTCTGCATTTCCATTTCCAGATCAGTATTCGGTGTCATCAGGACTTTGATCGCCATGGCCAACCTAAAACATTGGACGTTTACAGCAACAGGACAAACACCAAATCTCGTCGGCGAGCTGCACTTGTTTGATCCCTGCAACCCTCTGTCCATACAACATGTACTCATTCGAGCAAGGAGAGCATCGGAAGATAATATAGAGAGACTAACATGTGGTACCATAAAAGATACTCCCATAAATGAGATGTTAAGTATTCCCTTCGTTTCATATTATAAGTCGTTTGACTTTTTTTTAAATCTTTTTTAAAAAAGTTTGATTAAGTTTGTAGTAAAATATAATAACATTTTCAATACAAAACAAACATGGTATCAAAATATATTCAAAGTTAAATATAATGGAGCTAATTTGATATCATTAATATTGCTATTTTTTTTCTATAAACTTAGTCAAATCTAAAAAAAATTGTTAAGAAAAAAGTCAAACAACTTATAATATGAAACGGAAGGAGTAGAAAATTTGGTGAAGTTTTTATTAGAATAAATTTTCAAAATCTATTAAGACTGTAATTTCTAGATCTTTTGGTTCCAATCAAAGCATATAGATCCATAAATGGACCTATTAAATTACGATAGTCTTTTTTAAGTCAAATATACGTACATAATTTATTTAATCTTTGAACCAACAATATGAGAAAGAAATTATCGATGATCGGAATTGTAGAAGTTTCACCAAATCTTATCATAATTATCAAATACTTATTATTAGAGAGAGTAATATGATAATAAGATATATTATTAAAAAACAGGATAAATATTTCTCTAGTAGTATGTGATGAATTTAATTGATCCGTGTTAAATCAAATCATTTTGTTTTTTTTATTTCCCTATTCTGATTTTTGTCGCTTGGCCGCAATTTGCGCTGTTGAATTCCCCCCTCGAGATCTCCTCTCATCGCTGCTTTGAACGGTACCGTCTCGCCACTCCACTCCTCACACGCAGAGACGAAGTGGACACGGTTACTATAACTGGTAGCATCTCGCCGCGACGCCTGCACTGCTCGGCTCGGCTCTCACTGCGGCCGATCGATCGATCGATCGAATGTGCATGGCCGTGGAGGTGAAGCGGATCGAGTGACGCGGTGGGGGCAATGGCAATGGCGGACGGCGGCGGCGGTAGCAAGGCGCAGGCGGTGAGGGAGGTGTGCGCGGCGTCGGCGGCGTTCTCCGCGTGCACGCACCGGCGCCGGCAGCGATCCCCGCCCTTCGTCGACTGGTACCTCGTCCTCGCCGTCGCCGACGCCGCCACCGAGGACGCCGTCAGGCGCCGCTACCGCCAGCTCGGTGCGTGCGACGCAATGCAATGCCCTGAATCGGATTACCTGATTTTGATTTGGTTCGATTTGATTTGGTTTGGTTTGCATGCAGCGCTGCAGCTTCACCCGGACAAGAACACGCACGCAAAGGCGGAGGTCGCATTCAAGATCGTCTCCGAGGTTGGTAATCTCTGCCTCCGCATGCTTCTTCTTCCTAATGATGGCTTGGAATCTTTGCCTTTTTTCTTGCTTTCAATTTAGTGGGTGGTTGCATTGCATTGGGCTCCTCTTCTTGGAGATATGGTCAATTTTCGATCGCCGCCACCATCGGTTACTGCAGCGGTGGTCGCCCACAGAGCGGCGTTTTCAAATCGATTTGAAACTTTGAATCCTCGTGGTTAACGTAACAGTGATTAAACGTGGTGATTTGCTACAGTTTTTACTGCCTCGTAATTAGTAGTACTAATTCTGCAAAAACCGTTTCGTTTCGTTGCGGTTTCTGCTTTTGATGCGACGATCAAATCGTGTAACGTGTGCAGGCGCACGCGTGCCTCACTGACGGGGCTCGCCGGCGAGCCTTCGACGACGAGCGGGCGGCGAGCTACTGCGCCGCGTGCCACGACAGGTTCAGGCACCGCGCGGAGAGGAGGACGCCGGCGGCGGCGACGGCCACCGGCGGCGCGCAGCACGGGAAGCACCGCGGCGGCGGCGGCGGGGGGAGGAGGATGCCCGTCGCGGCGCAGGCGCTGCGGGAGGTGCAGAACCGGCTCCGGGACGAGTGCCGCGTCATCGACAGCTGCCTCAAGGCCAACGGCGGCGGTGGCGCGCGGCGGCGGCAGTCGTTCCCGCTCTTCGACCCCTCCGACCGGCTGCGGTTCCCCGGCTACCCGCACACCCGCCCGCCCCCGCCGCCGCCGTTCGCCGCGGAGTTCTGCCGGTTCGAGGAGAACCTCGCCGCCGATCGGAACCAGAGATGGTGCGGCAGCGGCGCCGGCGAGTCGCCGGTGTATCAGATCAGAACCGCGCCGGAGCGCGCCGCAAGAACAAAGCGTCATTGGTGACGGACGAACTCCTGCTAGTGACATTGCAGATTTATTAGCTTCCATTCTCTCTCAAAGAATCGTTTACATTTTCAGATTGCTTAGCTTTCTTTAGTTCATTTTACGGCAACAAGAAGAGGAAAACAGTGAAATTCACTAAAAGAAGTTTAATAATATAGTCCACTGTCCACTGCTAGCTCCAATTCATCTATAGTCAATCTAATAGCTAACTATACTATTAATATACGATCCCACCTATCATATACACACTGCGTCTTGAAGTTCGTGCTGCAGCTAGCTACATATCTACAGTCCGCTGCTCTTATCTCTTATCTTTTTTATCTCATTAAAATATGTTTATAGCTGGCTAATAGTTTACTATTGTACCTGCTCTAAATACTGCTCTAAATACTGCCCAGGTTTTGAAGCATTTGTAAGTGTTTTGCAAAAATCGTTTTCTAGTATTAAAAATGACAACTCTATGATTAAGGCATCCGTTTTCTCCAAGATTTGTTCAGGTCAGTTGTCAATAAAATTATCAATCGCATTCCTATGCAGAACAAACACGGCCGGAGAATTCGTATCTTGCAGTCATACCAAAATAAATGCAATTTTACTGTAAAGGTACATAACATTACGGAGAGTTAATACTCACTCACTGGTGACAGCAGTAGCTACACTCTTTTAACAGGTGACAAAATTGCTCCGCAGAACATACTCATGTTACAAAAAAAACATCCAACACAGAAGCACGGATGTTCGTCTGTCGATTTCTCGTATTGCTGTAGATGCTTGGAAGTCAGGTGCAAAACTCATTTTTCGACTGCTTTATGGTCTGAGATTTTCAGAATGCCACGATCAACCAGCGGCTGCAGCTCAGCTTTTGCAAGATCCCTTACCTTGGAATCGGGCGATTCAAGGAATGCTGCGACCACCTTGGAACTGAATAAAAATATCAAGAAATCAAAACCAAAATGTTCATCAGGCAGAACAAGCAAGCTGAGAGAATATCAGAAATTTACAGTATGCATGATAAATTAGACAATGCCACCGGAATATGACCTAAAGGGACTGGTGTCAAATTCCAATCAACGATTGAATTTTATAAATATCCGATGAATAGAACATATCTATATGTGACTCCTGGAAAACATGAGAAGAGGCGAGAGGGTCATATCAATAAAAATCGAGGTACCTGTGCCCATCAGCCCATGTCTTGCATTTGCCTTCAAGAGCTTTTTTCCATAGGATGGCAGCAAATGCTGGAGATTCAAGTATAAGTCTTCTGATTAGACGGCTGGAATGATAGTTATCAAAGGCATGTTCAGTATCTTCTGCCTTTGGACGTGCTGCATCAGAAGCTATTGCATTGTGCAAGCTGTGGATCCTGTCAGTGATGCCCTCCAGAATATTATCTTCTCCACCAACCGCAACCTTCAGATTTGCAAATGTCAACATATCAGAGTGACACCAGTGGCACTTATGAAACATTATTTATACAATGACAACAATCAAGCACCGCAGATTGGCAAAGACACGTTGCTTCAATATTCCAGATTATGACTGTGTATCGTATTTCACTAACTCGTTTGTGCCTGATATACTACGAAAGGGTATTCTTGGTGCAACTTATTCAAATCATGATTTCCCTGATACATGATTCAGTAAACAAGTGACCGATATTCACGGAAAGAAGAGTACCAGCCAAAGATCATGCCATGCCAATGAGGTTATGACATGAAAAATTGTTAGCATATAATAAAAAGCAGGTTTCACCATCTGCAAGGACAAAAGTAGTTCACCTCATGCAATACATCTTTGCCAAAATTTGTTCGAAGTAACTCCCCGACATTCTCAATGAGAGTCTGGATGAGCACCTGAGAAAAGATCAGGAAGGTCTGCATTATATTAAATCCACATAAAGCATATTCAATACTTTGAGTCACAAGTAACTCTATGCTGCCACGATGGCATCTAGATATTATATCTAATAATCACAAAAAGAAAGGCCTATGAGCAAGGCTAGTAAATTCATCACGATTAACTTATGTTAGTTGTCACGTCAGCACTAATTGGGCAAAATAGTGGGCACACAAGAAAATACAGTAGACCCTTATTGTAAGTGTTGTTTTCCAGTTACATACTTGAAACCTTGCATAGGAAAATCCCTAATGGACCATTTTGCCATCATTTATATAATAATATTCGTGAGCACACAAAATGCTGTGCATGTTGGTATTATGGGGTTTAGGACATGGTGGGCATGTAGCTATACATACTGTGACTGGCTACTGCTATGCGACTAAACGAGCACCAAAGAAATCATATTGTACCCTACTGCAGTAATCAATGTGAAAAGGTGCATCCTTTTAACACTGTATTTGAATAAACATAGCACTGAATAAATGTCACCTCGGCAAGTTCACTTTTGATCAACAATTCATGTCGCCGTTGAAATGGGTCCTTTTTGCTGTCAGACGCACTCTGCATGCTTTCTGAACCATCTTGCTCCTTATTAGTTGCAACATCCACCTTATTCTCTGGGATATCTTCTGCAGCACTCTCGGAAGCTTCATCCTAACCAAAAGTGGAATATTTATAACACAGCACTTCACTATGTTCTCCTTAAAATACTAAACAGAATAGCTAGCTTGCCTTTGAAATAAGAGAAGGCACACGATAGTTCAGACAAGCCAGATCAGCTGGAGGCAGATAGCGTGAACAATTAGGGTGAAGTAGTTGCAGCAATGGACGTCTTCCATTCTGTACCAACAAGAAGCTTCATTACTATTAGTGCATTGTGGATTTATTTTGAAAAATATCAGAAGCTCAGTTTTCCTTTTCACCTTGTCAAAAATAAGTTGCTTCAAATGTTTGGCGAGCTCTTGAATTACGATCTATCAAATCAAACAAAAGTGTTATATAAATGCTCCATACGATATTTATCACAGCACAATACTCAGAACAGGTGCATAGAAGACTGGAGCTAGCTAACCTTGGTAACAAGCTTTGTGTCATCAACAACGGAAAGAATGGCAACAAGTAACTGAAAGGGAAAAGATGACATATCAGTAGAGTATAAATCATTTGAGCACAAAATAAACTGAAATCTTCGGTAGCAAAAAAGTTCTTTCACATATAACAATTTTATTCATAATGTTGTTTTCACCAAGCGGTAACTGCAAATGTAAACACTGGCATACTTACAATGCATCCATAATCACTAAGAGCAAGCTTCATAATGTGCCCCTTCAAACTTTTAATGATCTTCTTCCTATCCTGAAGTTCAACACAAAGTTAACGGAATCTTACATGGAAGCCGAATACATTTTAATTATGAGGATAATCTCCACACTAAGAAAAAAACAGAGGAAGGACTATGTAATGGGTAGTCATTTGGCATGCTACTTCAGTGTCCCATAAGAAAAGGTATGGAGTCAACATAAAATAATAGTCTCAGAGAAAAAAAAATATAACCTACCTTTGCACTTCCATGCTTGAGGCAACTAACTCCTATTTTTAATCCTTCTCTGGTGTTCATAATCCGAACAAGAAGTGGCTCTGTCAACCTTTTTTTCTTAGCTTTCAGTTTCTTTTGTAATTCAGGGGCAACCGATGGCTCATCTCCATCAATGGCAGATGATCCTTGTGTAAGAAGGGGGATAAATTGTCGAATCACATCAGTGGCCGAGGTCTGCAAAATCAAGCATTATAGGACAGTGTGATAAAGACAAACCAAAAGGAAAGGATATGCCAACAAAGGCATGTTTAGACTGTAGATAGGCTACACAATAAATGGATAGCATTACCTTGTCAGCGATTGTAAAATACTCCAATACAGCCGTGTGCACTATAGGATATTCAACGATACCTTTCTCCAAGATCGGATAAATCACGGTAGTCATATGCTGCAGTACAGATGATTTTTGTAATCCAAGGTTGGAAATTGTCTCTAACAAACTGAAAAAGGGAGTTTAAGTTAGCAAATTGCAGTAGCCTGTTACCGCAGACAGTTGTTTGATCTATAGTGAAAACGAATCTTTTTTTCAGAAAGCATATAGAACAATCAAAAGAGCAAGGAAATTTGAAAACAGAAACATGAGTTAGTTTAGTGCAATGACCTGTGGGTTTTCTGTCCAGTCAGGTCAGTGAACAGCTGGAGCTCAGTAGAATACAATTCCAATAGCAACCTTCTTTTCTGAGGCGGTGTTGCCAGTTGATATGCAAAGTCAACGACTGAAAGAAAAAGAATTGGCATAACATTAAATTATCATTTACTTTATCATGTACAGATAAAATACAAACAAATTCACATGAATTGCACACAACTATCAACTCTTAAGGTTCCTAACAAATGATAATAAAATAGCAAGTTTTATGCCATCTCTTACAATAACAAGTAATATATACCTGAAGCTCCTATAGTATGACGAAGAAGTTTAGCAACACGACCGTGAAGAGAAGAGATGAACCATTCAAACTGCTTTTTAGTGGCTGCAATCACAAATACAGGCATGTTAATGGAGCCAATGGCATATCCAACCATAAAGAAATATTATCATGTATGAACCCAACAGAGCTTTTACCTCGCTTAATGAGCTTCTTTACAAGGAAAACAGCATATTTCTTGAGAGAGAGAGTTAGCAAATCTGGCTGTAGGGCTTCAAAAATCGCATCCCTTTCTGATTGTGAGCACAACTTCACGCATGTCTGCCAAAAGAAACAATGCTCATCAACACCAGGAAAAAGAACATCAAAACCATGTAACATGTTGATATACAAATGAATATGATCGATTGATCATCTTACTTGTAAAACACGTGCAGTTACGTGGGAACCAGCAATTTCTGAATATTTCCCATCCATTTTACGGAGAGCCTCACTTACCAGCCTGGATATTTTGAGAAAAAAATCAATATAATAAATTGATTTGTCACTGTAAGATCTCAAAGATACGAGTCATGACAATGATGTAATGCATACTTAGATCTCTCCGTGCTGCTCACATTGTGGCATCGCATCTTTTCCCATAGTACAGTAAGCTCCTGACAATATTTAAATGCAATCAGTAAACTAGATTCGAATGAAACCAACATAAATTTGACACCCAATGCTTACTGTTAGTAGAGAGAAATATGACAATGTAGCTATTCTCGTGAAGCTAAGTATCCCCACCAGTGACAAGGGTACCAGAATCAAATTACAGTTTTGCATTCATGTCATATAGTTCCAAGAGTGAAGATCAAGATTGGATATAACACATGACCATGAAAATAGTAGGTTCCCCTTATTCAATGTTCAACTAATGCAGCGAAAATTAAACTCTTCTAATGAAATTCGTGAACATATAAGCTCTATATGTGAGAATATATTGGTGAGAATATATCTTAAAAAAAATAAAACCCTGAACACACCATTGTTCCAATTGCCTAGCATTATGAGAGTTGGTCCTGGAATCATACTCTGGCTCATAAGTCAATAGGCATGAATTTCCCGGCATGTTGAAATAGATCGTACAGGGACCAAATTTACCTTCTCGAGGCTGTAATTCCGTTTCCTCTTCTTCTTCCTTGACTCTGCCATTTCCTGACCAATCCACACCACACCAAGTTCAGCGCTAATGCCTCGAACCCATGCTCCAGCTCCAGAGATGATTAAAATTTACCGAGCGGACGAGCAACAACGATACCTTAGCAGCCAGGCGCTTCTCCTTGGCAGTAACCGGCTCCTTCTTCACCTTGACCTCGCCGCCGCCGCCGCCTTGCGCCATGTTGGCATCTGAGGGCCTCTTCCGCTTCTTCCCGTCGTCTCCCCCCTTCGCCAGCGTCTTGGGCTTCCCCGCCGCATCACGCTTCCGCTTCTTCGGGCTCTGGAGGTCGCCGCCGCCGGCCATGGCGATCTCGGAGACGGCGACGCGGTCTCGATCGGAGTAGGAAGACGAGGGTTTTTGCTCGGAGCCGGAGGAATTCGGTGGCACGAGCGGCTAGGGTTTATACCCCCGAGATGTTCTTGCTGCCCATGGGCTGGGCCTAGTACCATGTGCTCCTAGTTAGGCCCATCAAAGAGAGAGACTTTCTAGAAGGTCTCACTGGGCCGAGCCCGAGCAGAGATTGGCCGGGCCGTTCTGACCGGTCAAAGAGGGTGAGGGCAAAGCGGTCATTTCACCTCCCGCGGCAATGCAGACGACGCGCGCAGAGGCGGGGGGAATTCCCGCGGATGCGTCCGGGTCGGGCTCGTAAATTTTCGCAAAGCAGCAAACAGCGGCGCGGGGGTGGGGGGACCACGTGGGCGCGCGTGGCGGCGCGAGGCGCCGGGGCGGTTGGGTGTCCGGTGCGCGGAGCCGCGCAGCGGATGGAGGCTTTGCTGCTGCTGCTGCCGCCTTTTTGGGTTCTAGTGTCGGCCTGATGCGGTGCGGCCGCGCGCGTGTGTGGGCGTGCCAGCGGCAACGGTCGACGCCTCTACGCCGCACACGCGCGCGCCACGCCTGGAGGGGAGTGAAGTGGAGTGTTGGAGTGGACTCGCCGAGACGAGATGAGAACTGCCGCCGCCGCGGCCTGGTTAGGCCTGGTATAGCCTCGTACGAGCTATAGATGGCTTGTCTTGCTTGCTTGCGACACAAGAAGAAGAAGAAGGATCTGTTTTCAAACTTTTAACCTCTCACATCAAATTTTTCTATACTATGTTTTAATTTTTCTCACATCGTTTCAATCTCTTTAAACTTCTAATTTTAGCGTGGAACTAAACATAGCCGAAGAAGAAGAAGAAAAAGAATCGTCAGAGTAACTCTCATACTACTACTCCAGTAGATGGCATTTGTTTTTTACTGTGACCATTGTCCATAAAAAAGTTCATGATGAATTTGATTGATTTATGTTGATTTTAGAAAAAAGTTATATGCATATTTCTATTGTTTGTACTATATTAAGTATATTTTAAATAGACGCTTGTAAATCATATCTGTATATGTATAAATTTATAAGTAGCTTATTTCTGTTCATATCATGTCGCTAGCCGTTAAATAATCTATATCAATATTAACAACTTCACTATCGTTTATAGGCCCAACAAATATCTTCAAATAAAACACTACAACAGCATAGTAAAACACGAGCCTATCAAATAAACCATGTGCTAGCACAAGTGAAAATTATTAGACACACTAACACACGTGGCCTTCAGGTGATGGACGATGATCCTGGTTGTTCTAAAACCTTCCATAGATCATCATCACTCAACCAAACCAAACAAACCCCTCAGACAGAACAGAAACAACCCTAGAGTAGAGTGTGTGTGTAGTGCATACATAAACGCGCCCAATTTCACCAGCTTTCCCTCCATGGTTTTCTGTTTCCCTCCACTCGCTCCCCTCTTCCCTCCTCCATTTTGAGATCTAAATCCAAATCCCTCCCCCTTTTTCTTCTCACCCTCACCACCTCATCCTCCACCACCACCATTCCCTCTTCTTCTCCTCCTCCTTGCTTCTCCCGCCCCTTAACCCCTACTGCTCCCTCCCAGTAGCCGGTGCTAACCCTAGCTTGCTAGCTAGATTGCTCTCTCTGGTAGTAGTAGATCCGTGGAGTGGAGATCTGCCCGCGGATCGAGCGGCGGCGGCAGAGCACCAGCCGTGTCTGCGGCGCGGTGTGCGCGGGTGTTGCGGAGCGGCGGCTGAGCGGAGGTGTGGGAGGAGGGGGAGTGCTGCGGCTTCCGGGGTGTTAGATCCGCCGATCCTGGCGCCGGAGATGGATTCCTCGTCGGTCGAGAAGGTGAAGCTTCCGATCCGTGGGTTCTTGGGGGGCTCGATCTGTGGCTGGAATGGCGCCTTGGCTGGGTGGTTTTTTGACGCTCGATCTGTGGGTTGCAGGGGAGTGGGTCGATAGATCCGGACGAGCGCACGGCCTCCGGCGAGCCCAAGGCGTGCACCGACTGCCACACCACCAAGACTCCGCTCTGGCGCGGCGGCCCCTCCGGCCCCAAGGTGAGATGAGATCCGATCTGCTCCTCCTGCTCTTCCCTTTCTCGATCTGTGCATTTTTTTCGCCTGGGTTTTCGGTGGTTGATCCGCCCGATCTGTGTTTTTTTTTTTGCTTTGATCCAGTCGCTGTGCAACGCGTGCGGGATCCGGTACCGGAAGAAGAGACGGGAGGCGCTGGGGCTCGACGCCGGCGAGGGCGGCGCGGAGCGGCAGGAGAAGAAGAAGAGCAAGAGGGAGAGAGGGGAGGAGGTGACCATGGAGCTCCGCATGGTGGGGTTCGGGAAGGAGGTGGTCCTGAAGCAGCGGCGGCGGATGCGGCGGAGGAGACGCCTCGGCGAGGAGGAGAAGGCGGCCATCCTCCTCATGGCCCTCTCCTCCGGAGTCATCTACGCCTGAACCACCACCCTACCTACCTACCCACCTAGCAACAGCAAGAGAGAGAGAAGCAGAGGAAAGGAGGCAGCCATGGGAAAGAGTGATTTGCTTGCTTAACATGCATGATCTCAACCGGGAGAGACTAGACAGATCTCTACCCTTTTTTTTCTTCTCCCCTGCTTAGTTTTTCCAGCTAATTAGTTCGATCAAAGTGGAAGCCAAGTTAATAATGATGATGATGATGTAGTAGCTGCTGTTCTTCCTGTTACTGTTACTTGTTCTTGCCTAGCTGTAATGTTACTAGTAGTGTTTTTAGTAGAGCGTGTAACGTTGCAATGTAAGAAAGAGCTTATGATCCATCTTCTTTCTCTTGTTCTTTGCAAGAGATTAGCTCCTGGATCTGCACCAAGTAATGCAGTTTTTCAGCTGAAGAATCTTTGCCTCCCAGGTGTCTCTTATTGCATGATCTGCACACAGTGTTGACTGATTTACTTACCGCTGATGATGACAGCATGGTTGATTATTCAGCTCAACTTGTGGTTTGTTCTCCCGTGGCTGTTGTGCTGCTCGGATCTATGATGTGCTGGTGTTGTATCTGTTGATTGATCTGTTGTTAATGATGTGATCATGGATGGTTTGTTTCCGTTTATTGCTTTGTATACTAGTAGATCTGTTGGGTTTTGCTATGTTTAGCTCTTGGTTTTGAGCAATGATATGGCAACTAGTAGATCATTCTATTTTCAGGTGTTGTGAGCCCAAATAGTCAGGTCAACATCCGTGCAATTTCCTGGAAGGGGAAAAGTCAAGCACCCAGGTGTTCCTGTGTTTCTCCATCAGGCGTGATCAGGGTCTTCGCTGTTGTGCTGTTACTACTATCCTCTACTCCGTACTAGCAGCAGTAGTAGCTTTTACTAGGAATGGATGGGATGGTGTTGTGATGTTCTAGGCTTTGACAAGAGGTGTTTGGTGTGTTTTCTCCTTTGAGAGGAGAGGGTTGCCACAATAATGGATGGATCATTCTTTGATTGCTGCTTAGTACTTTCCTTGTCTTGTTGAAGAAATGATATGGATTGGTGTCACTAATACTAATAACAGTGGTGCTGATTATGTTTTTGTGAGCATCTTTGTGATCCTGGTGGTTGGTTTGTTCCATTTTGTTGTCATGCAAGACAGCAAGAGCTCATGATTTTTGCTGATGTTGTGGATACCTCATTATTTGTGGAAGAATAAGAAGAAAAACAACTCACACACACCCCTTTGCTGTGTCCGAGATGGTGACAAGTGAGGGAGTGAGTGGCATTGTTGTTAGTGCTACATTCCAAGTGATGATGATGCATCCATCGAAGAATCTCCTGGTAGGAGTAGGAGTACCAAATATGGAAACAAACTGTGAAGCAGGGGGGAGGCGGAGACCGTTGCTTTCTCCGGGTGAGATTTTGCATGGATTTGGAAAGGAACGAGGTGAAAGGATGGGCAAGTGAGAGGCAAGGCGATGCATGCGAGAGGTGGCCGGCCACATGAACGTGTCGCCGTCCATCCGTGTGAGTGACTGTGTCTGTGTGTGCCATTGGCATGGGTCGCCCGTATTCGCGGCTTTTTTTACCGCTGGCGATGGGGCGATGGACAGCCACTTTGACGGCGGCACTCCCCGTGCGGTGGGTGAAATCTGTTTTTACTGCTCACGGTCTCCGATGGTCGTGTGGTCGTGCACTGGTGCTTGGGAACTTGCTGGCTGTGATCATCTCTTTTCTTTTTCCCGAAAGCTCCCCCTGCTTCTGGTAAATCATGGCAGTATATGAAGACTTGAATTAGAACAAGTGCAATAGCAGGCTATAAGTCAACTATTAAACATATGTAGAGGAGAGAAAAAAAAGAGAGAAGGAAAACATACTACTATGGACTCCAACACAAGGTGTGTATGAAAAGTGAGATCATATGTTAATGGTTTAGTATATGTTTATAGATAAATATTGTTTGAATAAACTATTAGATTGGCTATAGATGAATTAGAGCTAATAGTTAGCTATTCTATTAAACTTGCTCTTATGTTGACAACACACTGGTATTGTAATGTAAAAAAAAACATAATGGTATTGTAATACTCCCTCTTTCCCTAAATGTTTGACGCCGTTGACTTTTTAAAATATGTTTGACCGTTCGTCTTATTCAAAAACTTTTGTGAAATGTGTAAAACTATATGTATACATAAAAGTATATTTAACAATAAATCAAATGATAGGAAAAGAATTAATAATTACTTAATTTTTTAATAAGACGAACGGTCAAACATGTTTTAAAAAGTTAACTGCGTCAAACATTATGTGATGGAGGGAGTACTATTTATGTTGACAACATACTTTTACCTTTGGGTAAATGTCTAACATTGTGGTATCGGGTGATCCTCATCGATTTTTTTGGGTAGTATCAAAATATAGCTAAATTATGTAACTATTGTTAAGGATTTGCTACTGATTACAAGTATGCGTTAGCCGTTTCTTGGAGACACGGAATTTTTGGAACATAGGAAATCATGAATATGGAAAAATTGTAAAATTTCAGTGCCTTAGCATCTTGAATCCCGTGAATGAAAAAAAGCATAAAAAATACAGGAATAACTGTTTAATTGGAGCACGGAAAAACAAAAGATATCTTTTAACATGTTGAATCTCATGTTAAAAATCCTTCAAAATTTTAACAAGTGAATGCGATTCTTATGTATTACAATAAGGAGAGTTGTTTCTTCGTTCCACTTAACTATATAGAATTCTTTTTCGTAGGAATCTGATTATTCAAAATCTAAACCATATTTAAGTAGTATGTATGGGACCATCGATTTCAATTGATGTTTCCACCTTATAAGTTAGGATTAAATTTTTTTCTACGACTAACTTTTTATGATATGTTAGTTCGCAAAATATTTTTCTACTCCCAGTGAAATCCATACTTTCGTACTACTTAAGTGGTGATTATTACTATTCTACGAGAGATGTGAATGTGACTAACATATTACACTTTATAGTGCTTCCCCACATGACCACTCTGCTCATGTTTCATCACTGTTGCTCCTATCCTAATGACATGCCTTAGTTCTTAACGTCTGGCATTGGCTATGCTACACAAGATGCTTATTGTACCTCCAACATCTATCTATGCTATCTTTGTTCTTTATTACCGTTGGTTGCCGCCTTGTATGACTTTACTATTCTGATTTTTGTTGCTGGGATTTTTCAAAAAAGATATGTGTCATTCTAATGTCTTTATCATGTCCTACATATTATCTAGCCAATGGCTTCGATGATGTCACAGCTCTTACCACAGACTTTTTCTTATCCCTACTCCCTAGTATTGTTGTGTTATTCCTCTTCTATTATTTGACAAAAACTTGCTTTGGTTGCGATTACCATTGTCGAAGAAGATGGGTTTGTGAACAAGACGCAAAAAAAATACAAGTGCTGATGTCTAGATAGCAGTGGCACATGTACGTATGTTTGATGTCACATAAATACGGTAAAATCTATGACAATTGAGCACGTTACACCATCCACGCGGCAAGACAATCAAGCCAAATGTTCAATTGATGGCTACGTCGCTTTTGTCAACTCCTTATTTTCCGGGCTATACCGCTTTGAAATAACTTAGCCACCACTTTTAAATATCTCTCTTCTTATTTATATGGGTCCCACAAATCGGTAACAGTCGTCTTCCTCATCGCACCCATCTTCAATCTCGATACCGTCTTGTTAGGTAGCCATTACTCGATATTCAGGTCTGCTAACGAAATCAAAAGAGAGGAAGCTATGACTCCATAAGGTACCATGATATTATCCTTGCTGCCACATCCTCGTTTCGTCTCATAGGAATTTCTATGCTAACTCCTAATATGATTCTCTCATTTCTATCACCGTAATCAGAAGAGCGTTTATAACACCATTCTTTATTCATCCATGGTAGAGCTCTGTATTGCCGTTGCTTTTATTTAAAAGATATTTTTCCCTATGTTTTGTGACATGCTACGAAAAATCCCAAGAACCAAACCACTAGGAAGAACGCATTAGAAATTCCTTTGATTTCGACACTATCACACGGTATAGAGAAAAAAAAAACGGGAGAAACAATGCTCCCGGAAAATGGAAGTAGGGCCAGCGACGGGGAGGCGAAGAAGCAAACACAAGACAGGCAGACAGCACAGTGGAGAGGAGTGTGGCTGCGTGCGTCCGCTCCGCTCTTGCGTTGCGCCTCCTTCCTCCTCCCCTCCGCTCCTCGCTTCAGATCCAAACCCTCCTCTAAAAAAAGGGGAAAAAGCCACCAAAACCCTAACCCTAAGCATCCCAATCCCCAAATCCCCCCGAAAACCCTAACCGGATCCCCCTTCCCCTCCCGCCGCCGCCATGGCGGGGTCCTCCGGCGGCGCCACCTCCTCCTCCTCCCGCAACAGCGTCGAACGATTCTACCTGCCTCCCCATTCCCGCCGCCAGCAGCAGCAGCGGCTGCGGAGCCCCACGTCCCCTTCACTGTCCCCGTCGCCGTCCCCGCGGTCGGGGAGGCACAAGGCGGCCGCCGCGGCGCCACCGGCGGTGGTGGCTGCGGCGGCGGTGGGCGCGGGTGTGCTGACGGACGGGGATAGCAGGGTGGATTCGGACGACTCCTCGTCGACGTCGTCCAAGCCTTCCGTGGCATCCACAGCGACTGCCACGACCACCGCGGCTGACGTGAATGTGACGGCGGTGGAGGAGAGTGGGAATTTGGAGAGGTTTCTCACCTCCACCACTCCCTCCGTGCCCTTCCAATACCTGCCCAAGGTATTTTAGGAGTGCAGCATGCGAATTTCGGAAACTTAGACATGTTATGTTGGGTGATATGAGGAAGAACGAGCGAATTTTGATATCTATACTTCTGTTTCCATTTTTAATTAATATGTTTTTAAGTGTAGCTAGTGCGTCGTGACTACAAAGGGAAAATGCTACTCATTGGTGTAGGATCGATGAAATAGTTCGATACTGTAGTTCAGGGGAAAATCAACTATTCTTGTTGAGCATTCTAGTGGTGATCAACAGAAGGGCTCATGTTTCTGAATTTGCGCTTGACTGCTGATTTTAAGATCTGATTGATAGTCACCAGCCATTTAAGACGCTTGATGATAGTAATCGTGGATGTGTAGTAGCAAGTTTTCTTTAAATTAGGAAGAGGATCCTTGTTTTGTTTGGTGCAAACTATTTTCAAGTGTTGTTGCCTTGAGAAGTGAAGGATTTTTATATTATGATTTTTTTTTCTGAACACATGGAGGTGTCACCTAAAACTCAATAAAACTGTGGTTGCCCACTGCTTGTTGCTATATCTATGCTCTAAGCACTATCGGGGGGCTTTGCATATTTTTTGCAGGATAATCCTAGATGGAAAATTGTGTCTTTCTTGAGCTCCTAACTTCCTAATTACTGCAGTAGCTATAATTTTCATCTATAAACAATTCATACCCTGTGGTTTTGTGTTCATGCCAATCAGATTTAGGATGTAACAACATTAGAATCAGTTTTGTGAGAGATTATTGAGTCGTGCAGTGATGTTTGTACAATGTTCTGATGAGATAAACAGCTTTTTATTGAAGTAACGAGCTATCTTGCCGTGGTTCTAGTTACGCTGTTTTTGGTTGTAATACCTTTGTTCTTCTGCAGACAAGCTTGAAAATGTGGAGGACTGGTGATTGTACAAATACATCACCATATTTCTGCCTTGAAGATCTTTGGGAATCTTTCAGGGAGTGGAGTGCTTATGGAGCTGGCGTTCCCCTGTTGCTAAATGGCAGTGACTCTGTAACACAGTATTACGTGCCATATCTGTCTGCTATCCAGTTGTATGCAGATCCATCAAGATCTGTTTCAAGAACCAGGTAGCAATCTTTATCTCCAATGCCAAGTTTTGATTTTTAGAATTTCTCCTTTTTGGAAGAAAAACCTTCACTAGGTCAACCATTGTGAAAGAAAAACCATCAATATGGCAACATGTCTAGCTGGTCACTTTGTTTGTATCTTTGGTTTCACTTCAGTTTATTTAGGCTTTTTAGTGTTCATATGTTTGCAGGACTTATCAAATTCTACTGGGCTAATAAGAAATTACTCCAGTATATCAGTTTGTTACAGCCGTGCCAAATTATATGTAAATAAATAATTTATGCATTGGATGTTATTAGACAAGCACAGGGTAGACACAGAATTCCTCAACTTTATTTCTTCGGTTGGTTTTCCTGGGTTCTAATAGATGGAATTATCTCATGCCTTCCTGAAGTTTCAGGAACTTGCTTTTGCAATAAGTCTTGGTGGACAAACATATGTATAAATGAAGAAAAATAAATAAATCTGTGTTAAACTGAAAGAGTGGCGAGCTGTGAATTTATGGCTTTATCATTAGATGACCTCTACTTAGGCATAGTGACCACCATGAAGATAGTTAGGAACAGCTTACCTGTTCAGTAGTGTTGCTTTCATTATCTTGGTGATTCCTTGATAGCATATAACTTTCTCTACTTATTTTTCTCGCTTACTTAAGGCGCCTTGGGGATGAAAGTGATGGGGAATACCTGGATGCTAGCAGCGAGAGTAGCAGTGAAACTGATGTTGACCGATTAAGAGTCTCATCCGTGGAAGCTACACATGGGATGGCAAATGGTAGTTTGCGAACTGATGATGCTGATGGTTATGCATCTGCAAGTTCTCCAATCTTTCAGTATATGGAGAGGGATCCCCCGTTTTGTAGAGAACCTCTGACAGACAAGGTGAGTTTTTGTTTACACCCATGCTTATTACAAACATTTATGCACATAGCCACATAATCATACTCTGCATGAACTTCAGGTATCAATTCTTGCTAGTAGATTTCCAGCTCTGAAGGCATTCAAAAGCTGTGATCTGCTGCCATCCAGTTGGATGTCTGTTGCATGGTATGGTTATTTTATTTCTTCAAGTTCTACTTCCATGTTCCAATTGTGAGATGTCCTCATTCAGTTGATAAGATGTGTCCCTTGTTGTCAAACTGTTGGGATTCAAGAAGTATTTTGAAGTCAATGTTTTCATGTTGTTTCCGCTTAAAAAATGGTCATATTACTATATTAGACTATCCGCCATGAGCTCACCTCATGTCTTATTGTCTGATAGCTTCTAGTTTTAGTGCCACAATATTGCACTTCCTTTTCTGTGGACATCGTTTTTGTTTTATAAGTACTAGAATGATGTTGTTGCAACGGTGAGAATAATGACATTTGCCAACTGTGCTGGCCCGCGCAGAGGATGCCTACCAGTTGCAATGCCTAACAACAGGCATGCCTACTGTGCTGAAATTCAGCACGACATACAATCTGTGTAGAAGAGCATCACTGCTAATATGGTGTTGCTATGATTCTATACATTACTGGTTTCATCCTCGTGCTTCCCATTGCAGGTACCCCATATATAGAATTCCAACAGGGCCGACGTTGGAAGACCTTGATGCCTGTTTCTTGACATTCCATTGCCTAGCAACACCTTCTAAGGGTAAATACCTTCTAATGCCTAATGAATTATGAAGGTGTAAATAGTTTGTACCTAGATGCAACTTATATGTTACATACTGCATAGATTGCTTAACATTCCCATTCTTGCAGATAGCGATAGCACTACACCAGCATGCCCTGGTTTTGGTGGCATCAGCCCTTGCGCAAATGCAACTGGCAAGCTATCTTTGCCTGCCTTTGGACTGGCATCTTACAAACTTCGCAGCTCCATTTGGGCATCCGATGGGACCCAAGGACAGCGTGTCACCTCGCTGATGGAGGAGGCTGGCAACTGGCTCAGCTGCGTACAAGTAGAGCATCCAGATTTCCGTTTTTTCGTCTCCCGTTCCGGTACGTGGAGATGACTGTAAATGTTTGTTAGTGAAACATTGCCGTCTGAATTTTCAGCTGCCTTGAGCACATCTGCCTATGGCACATAGAGTATGATGATATGATGATGAATGCCCTCTTGTACGGGGGTTGTATCAGCCTACATGCTAACTTTTTTCCTGTCTCCAATAAGTTGTCTGGTGTAGCGGTGTAGGTAACCCTTTGTGGGAGAGTAAAGATGGAAAGGAAAATTGGAGACTTGTAGAACTTAAGAGGGGGAAAAAAAGAGAAAGAGCAAAAAAAAAAAGATTTTTTTGTTAGAATTAGACAACATCATGTGTTTGCATGTAAATTGTTTTTTTTATCTCGGTTACTTTTGATCAACATAGTGAGATGATAGATCAGTTTGCACCTGTGCCTTGTACATTCCAAGAAAAAAAAAAGAGGTTCTCACTTTCTGAGTGTTACATATGCTGCGGAAACAAACTGATATCTGGTTGTAATTGGATGGAGGGCGACTTGTTCCATCCAGCCAAGAGCCGAGCACACGGAAATGCCCACCAAATCACAGCTACGGCCGGGACGGCGCGCTTGCTGACTGCTCCTCCACTACTGGCAATCACACACCAAAAGAAAAAAAAATATATTTGAGCTGCAAGTCTGCAACTTTGCCATATTTCAAGCAGATTACCAGAAGCACCATGTGAATTTAACTGTCAAAACTCCTAACTGCAACATGTTGCACGTATGAAAACCAACGTGACGGCGTGCCATCTACTACCTGAGAAGAAACACATAGAAATCTCCATGCAATGCAAATCCTAATCAATTTGTCAACCATTGTTTTTTTGAGGGTTGCAAAGGCTAATAATTCCACGAGCTGTGCCAAGCACTAGTCGACGACGACAATTTCAGGGCTAATCTGGGAGACGGGGAGAGTATTGCGTTGAGGCCGTCATGGCCGGCCTCAAACTCTCCCTGATTTTCTCCCCTATATATGCGAGCTGCCAAAAGCTCCTCTCCTCGCTCGTCGTCGTTGCCGGCAAACGCGCACTCAAAGAGAGAGACGGAACGCATGAGGGATCTCGAGGAGTTCCGGGGCGGGTCGGCGCCGCCGCGCGACGGCGACGAGAGGACGGTGGCCTCGTCGTCGTCGACGCCGTGGTGGTCCGGCGACCCGGAGGCGAAGCGCCGGCGGAGGGTGGCGGCGTACAAGGCCTACGCCGTCGAGGCCAGGGTCAAGGCGTCGCTCCGCCGGGGGTTCCGGTGGATCAAGGACCGCTTCGTCCGCCGCTGGTGACTCGCCGGACGGCGGCCGGACACCTTACGGCGGCGACGGCGATATCAACCGGTGATCCTATCCTATCCTATGCCATTTTGACGCTTGTAAAGCCAAGGTTTTCGATCCAGATTCTTTTTTTTTTTTGCTTTACGTTTTTTTGAGTGTTTTCTTGTGGTAATGGATGCAAGAACTTCGAATAATAACATGTATGCTTGAGTATTGTTGCTGAGATCATGTAGCAGGTAATTACGTAAAAAGTTTTTTTTTTTGCATTAATGCGATTTTTCTGGATGCTTATAACGAGTATAGAAATGCAACGCCTCGATGGTGAGACACATCAGGATATCTAGAGTTGGTATGCAAGAACATTTTAATAAGATGACACCTCTCGTAGATGCAAGTCCAAATAATAGGTTCTGCCGTTTGGGGGCAAGTTCTCATGTGGAACTAAAAGGAGTACGCCCCATGTTTTCTTATCTTACAGGACTAAACTCACTGTTGCTCCAGGACTTGGCCCCCTTTATGTTATGCGATTACAAAAATTAGGCTGGTTTGCCTGTCGGATGAACAAACCTCAAACTACTCAAAGCATTATAAAGATCATTAATTAGATCAGACGTAGTGGACTCCTTCACCACTGATCACCTCTCCAATGCGATATGCGTGGTTCGGTCCATGGGTACCTTCGAGAATTCCATCAGCTGCTTCTTTGCTTACCACAAGGACCATTCCAATTCCCATGTTGAACGTGCGCCTCATCTCTGCATCTTCAATTTTTCCAACCTACAAACACCCGGAGAAAATGATAAGGACCAAATAGGCAGCGCAGCACAGTGCATGAAAACTGGGGACCAAAAGAAAAACCCAGTCTCTAATTAGGGCTTCCTATCATAATCTTTAAAGTTTCTACCGAGTTCAAATATGGCTGATTATATATATAACTTCCACCAGAGGAATTCAGAACAGATACACAATACTATAATGATTTTCAGTACAACACAGTCGAATAACTTCACTGGGGTTACAAGAATACACATGACATGCTCGTGGACTGTTAACCCTTACCTCTTGAATCCACCTGAATACAGGTGGCACTTCCCATGCTGCAGTAAAAATCTTTGCCCCAAGTCCAGAAGGAAATACTCTTGGGATATTATCGGTGAAGCCACCACCAGTAATATGGGCTATTCCTTTTACACCACCCTTGTTAATAATCTCGAGCACCTTTTCATTTTCAACAATTTAATTAGAAACTTGCATATACATATATGCTAAATATGAAACATATATCAGCAAAGCTACCTGCTTAACATAGATAACAGTTGGTGCCATGAGAGCTTCACCAACAGTAGTTATCATGCCATCATTTCTGGGGAGCTGGTCATTCAACGAAAGTCCACTTTTCTCCAGTACTCTAAAAAAATATGAAATTTTGTAGGTACCATTAATGACACATAATTCAACAGGAGGACGGGTTGTCAAGTATCAACATCAAAAGAAAAGAGCATGCGTCAACCATCTATTTGGATCAAAACAACTCGAATTGGATAGATGCAATACCTTCTAGCAAGGGAGAACCCGTTAGAATGAACCCCACTAGAAGGAAGACCAATGATGATATCTCCCTCCATGATATTTTTACCATCGATGACCTTATCCTTCTTAACAGCACCCACAGCAAAGCCACTTAGATCATATTCACCTTCTTTATAGAAATCAGGCATTTCTGCTGTCTGCATGACAAATGGATCAATGATAAATGCAATTGTTTTTTATTAGTATGTTGCTGCACATAACAGAGTCAAAACATTATGTTAACTTTGTACTTATGCTCATATATCATAGTTAAGTATTCTCAAAGCATTTACAAACCAAAGTATGATGAAAAACAAGATCCACCATGTGAACTAAGCTGAATACCATATCAACATTTACAAAGATTCACTTGTTGAAGCTAGTGCTTGCTAGTTAGAAAATGGTCTAATGATCAGTCTGTAAGCATAATTGAAAATTTATTCGTATGAAGTAAAGTAGTCACAAACCATTGCAAGACAGATGAACAATTATGATACATATATTCTGTATTCATTGGTACAAAGATTGAAGTATTCCACTGCTAAAACATGGGTTCTAGTTAGGGAACTTCACCTCTCCTCCTAGCAGAGCACAATCTGATTGCCGGCATCCATCGACAATCCCCTTGATAACCTATGTAGTTGAGAAAATAAAAGTTTTGAACAGAATAATTATGACTTTATAAGCAGATGTAGATAAGAGAGGATTAGCCGGCATAACTGTTTTCAGCAAACAAAATAGCGTCAACAATACCTTCTCTGCTAGATCAACGTCGAGCTTGCTCGTAGCATAGTAGTCTAGGAAGAACAGTGGTTTTGCACCCGAAGTCACAATGTCATTAACACTCATAGCCACCTAACATGAGAATTAAAAATCATTTGAGTCAATCAAACTCAAAGGGATGAAATAAAATACTCATCTAGCAAAGTGAACACATACCAGATCAATCCCAATTGTGTCATGGATACCAGTTTCAAACGCAAGCTTGAGCTTCGTCCCGACTCCATCGGTTCCAGCAACAAGAAATTGGTCACCTGGGGTAAGAACTACCAATACATATCACAGAACCCTCCCAAACACACACCCATTAATGACGAGCAAACTAAACCCCAATCTACTTCCCCGCAAAAAAAAAAAAAACCAATCTACTTAATACAAACAAGGAGATGGGTAGTAGTATAGTACCGAAGGGGAAGAGGCCACCGAAGCCGCCTATCGCTGGAGCCAACCTGCCGATGCGGCGGACGAGCTCCGTCCCGGCGTCGATATCCACGCCGGCGCCCTTGTACGTCATCCCCTCCTCATCGCCCTCGACCCCGCTCCCGCCCGCGCCCGCGGAGCTGCAGGCCACGGCAACGCGGCGCATACCGGATGCCCCTGCCGCCAGGCGGAGGCTCCGCGGCTGGTGGTAGAAGGTGGCTCGGGTGCGGGACGACGGGACGGCGGCGGGGGCCGGGGAAGCAGGCGCGGCGCGGAGGAGGTGGAGGAGGCGGTCGGCGGCGGCGGCCATGGGTGGGAGGAGAGAGGGAGAGATGGGACGCGAGCGGCGGCCGCAGGTGGGGAGGTTTTTGTTAGGGCTTTTGATGACCAAAACGCAGCGAGATTACCGGCGAAACGACAGCGGCGCAGATGCCTCGGGGTGGTTAGTGGGCGGTGGGGCCCACACGGCAGTGAGACGGGAGACCAAATCCATATCATTCGATTTCCATCTAATCTAAGTATTAGTGCTCGTTTGATCTGATGATCCGATAAGACCGGCCCAGTAAGAGAGCAAGCCCGTGGATTAGTTATTCCACGGAATAAGCTTATCTGAGTTCCCTTAACTTGTCAATGAATCCGATTTTCATCCTTCAACCGAAAAACCAGATACAATGGGTCCCTCAACTATTAAAACCGGTGCAGATGAGGTCCCTCGGCAGTTTGATGGTGGTTTTGGCTGACGTGGCACCTACGTGGCATTTGACGTGGCGCTTACGTGTCAATTCTATCACTGAAAATAATAAAAAACCATGGGCCCACATGTCAGTTAAAAAAACTGGTGGGCCCCAAGTGGGTCCCACATATCAGCTCTCTCTCACTCACTCTTCTCATCTCAATCCCCTCCTCTTCTTCCTCCTCTCTCCCCATCTCACCTATCTTCACAACTCTCCCCTTTCCTCTCTCCTCTCACCGGCGGAGATGCGGATAGCGTAGGCGCGGCCTCCTCCACTCCCGCCCCCATGGGCCTACCGCCGGCTGCCGCTGCCCTCTCCTTGTCGCCTGCCGTGCCTGCCTCCGCCGCCTCCGCATGTTCCCGCCGCCGCCGCCGCTTCCCCCTTGCCTCGGCCTCCGGTGGCCGTTCTCCAGCACCGCCTTCCGCCCCCGCGCCCTCCTCAGGAACGGTCGCTGCGCTCGCCTCCGCCGGCGACCGAGCAGGACAGGTCCGGGCACCGAAGCGATGCAGTTGTAGTGGGACTATGGGAGCACCCCGCCGACCTCATCCTACCGGGGGCGAACATGTCGAAGCAGATGGCACAGGTGAGCCGCCGCCGGTTGACCCGCGTGGGCACGGTGTTGTTGCCTACGTTCTCCACCCCGTACGCCGCCGGCGGCCACCGACCTGTACACGTCGCCATACACGATCATCTCGCCGTCGCCGAGCTCATCGTTGAGCCTCGCGATCATGTCCTGGAGGCCGGCGTTGAAGCGCTCGACGACGGTGTTTTTCTCGTCGGTACACGCGCCGCCGCTCCCCGTGGCGCGCTCCAGCGGGAGGCAGCCCATGGGCGGGAGGCCGTTAAGGTCGACCTTGCGGGCACCGAGCGCGTGCAGCTCGCGGACGAACGAGTACGACTCGGCGATGCGCCGATGCCGAGGAGGTAGTCGCCGTACGCCACCGCCGTGGAGTACTCCGCCGCTTGGGCGCGCGCCATGGCGTAGTAGTTCTCGAGGAAGTCTTTGGTGCCCATGCTGACGATGTAGAGCGCCTCCGACAGCGTCGCCGCCGCCGCCGCGTCGTCGTCCCCCCGGAAGCTTTGAAGCCTCGCCGCGTACTCCTTGAAGTAGTCCAGCTCCTTCCACATCGGCAGCACCGACTGCACGACGCGACCTCACAAAATTACTCCATGGATGTCATGTGTGATGTCACCCAAGAACACCATGAAAATGTAGCTAAGCTAGCTATCGTTTTGCTCTAATGGAAGGCTAACGAAAAGATCAGAGGTGGCATTGTCGTAGCCGGCGCCGGCGGAGGCGAAGCATGCGCCGGCGGCAAGGCTGCTCATGTTGACGGCCGGGTCGAGGGCTGGGACGAGCGGCGGCAGCCCGAACGCCTCGGAGTGAAGTCGACGGCAAGGGTCCAGATAAGAAGAGTGAGAGAGAGAGAGAGAGAGCACTGACTTGTGGGGGCCCACTTTTTTTTAACTGACATGTGGGCCCATGGTTTTTATTATTTTTCAGGGATGGAATTGCCATGTAAGCGCCACGTCAATGCCACGTGGGACAAATACCGAGTCAAATTAGCCACATAGGCGTCACGTCAGCTAAAACTGTCATCAAAACCGCCGAGGGACCTCATCTACACCAGTTTTGATAGTTAAGGGACCTGTCGTATCTGGTTTTCCGGTTGAAGGACGAAAATCAGATTCGTTAACAAGTTAAGGGACCTCAGATGAACTTATTTCTTATTCCACCGCGTGAGGCCCAGCAAGATGTTTGGCCACCGTTCTCTTTTAGTTTGGGCCGCAGAGAGAGGTGGCCCAAGACGATCTGATCTTGGATGAGTGGGCCTCTGTTGCATTTATCGTTTACTGCAAGCAGAGTGGAGGGGCAGCCTGCCTCTCTGAATCTCTGATTGCTTTGCCTCAAGCAGGCAGACAATGGGACAGCCACGGTTCAGATCTCGTTGCTGATGCGTCCCTCATAGTAGCCTCCTGGTACAAGAACAGGTGGTGTTGACCCATTGCATTTTGCAAATCTCATCTTCAGTTTTGCGCCCTTCAAATCGGTAAAGTGTCTCGATTAGTACATACTATTCCCAAAATACTCGTGTAAATGTTTCTGGAGTTTTTTTTCGTGGAGATTAAGAAGATATGTGAAATTAAATGAGAAATAGTCGTGATTGATTGAGATGAGATAGTAAAGGAATAGCTAAAATAAGATCCTGCTCTAATTAGTTGAGACGCGAGGTTGTTATATTTTAAGATAGATTTTAAATGGTACAAGTTGCTATATTATGCAGCATAGGAGTAGTGTTTGCAACTCCGTACTTCTGACCAACGTGTTCCCAACTTAATCGTCTCTATGTCAACGTGTACTAGTTTCAGATTACAGGGCCTTAAAAACCATGCCATTGGTCATGTAAACGTGCAATAGTTTTGAGTCTTTCAGAGCATTCAGTCCATCTAAAAGAAAAGTTTCAGAGAGAGAAAAAAAAACTATAGAATCTGAATTTGCTACTCGCTTGAGCCAGACACAAGCACACAGCAGCAAAGGCTTTCCTCATCTCATCTGATAGCTGATCAAAGTGAGGTTTGGCAGGTAAAATCACATGGGAGGCTGTCAGTTTTCTCGTTGCGTGCTCTCGCGGCTTAAGGAGCACTACTACCCTACCTGCCATCTTTTTTCAGAGTGCTGCACTGCATATGCACTAAGGGGGTGTTAGCCCCTCTCTCCCAAACACCCCCTAAACCTCGCGTTACTTCGTTAACGTGAAAAGGTTATGTTCTGTTCTGTAGATCTCAAATCTGCAAAAAAGCTCGAATTTTTCCGTTTATTTTTCATGAAAAGATGTACTACTGGTGTAAAGTACTGGGAAGAGTGAAAAACACAATCACCCCACTGCTATGTATGCTTTTCAGCTACAACAACTTCCCCCACCACATCTGATAATCTCAACTTCTGACTGAAGCTGATGCTGTGCCAAAATATTCAGTATACTTCAGGAATTGTAACACAAAACAAACAAAAATGGTACAATTTTCTCATCCTGGAATGTCTGTTTAGTGCACTCTAAAACAAAAATTAGCTCATTTCTCTCCTATTTCTTTCAATGAAGATATATATGTAGTACAGTCCTCTTTGCAGATTATTTTTTGTTAAAAAATGATAATAATAAGATAAAAATCTTGGACCTTTGCTTGCCCGGGGGAAAAGAAAAGCATCTGCAATGGCGACCAAGCACCTACACATATGCACAATCTTGCAGGTTGTCTGTCAGATAAGGGAATCGAAGCAAACACACTGCCAAAGTATTCGTGTCCTACATTGGATTCTATTCTATCCAAGCACTCACAAAATCGCAAGCAGATTAAGCAAAAACCGGTAATTGATGGCCTACAGGTTGTTGAGACATCAACGCAGACGAATCCGTCACTACTTGTCAGCATAAGCTCTGTCAGTGTAAGCTGATGCTGATCTCCAAACGAGCTTAGCTGAACTTGGTGATGTTCTTGCAGCTGCTGACTTGCAGAGTTGCAGTACCCTTAAACTCGAGCAGAGCAGCTAACTCCTCCTCGCATTAACTCTGCCCTGCTTGCAAAGGAAACCACTGCTGCTAGTGTGATTAGTTTGCATTAATCTCTCCTGTCACTTTGCATAATTGCGACCTGTACCAGCACTAGCTCGTATGGATGCTTGGCTTGTGGAGAAGACAAAAGACAACAAGAGCAGGATGGATTGGATTGGATGCTCTCCATACGTAGTAGAGTAGTACTACACTTTCGTTGGTTGGTGAAATGTTCAGTCAGGTTAAAGTGTACGTCTTAACCACATATTTTTTTCCCTTTTAGGGCACCCACAATGGTTATCTATAAGCTCTCTACAAGAGATCCATGTCAGCATATTTTCCTACTTGGAAGAGATTAAATGAAGAGAGAGAGCAAAGCTATCTACTAACATGGAGATAGTCTATAGAGAAAAACTAGGCAATGGATTAGAGAGCTATAGATACCCATGTAGATATACCATTGAAGTGGTTTACTATTAATCTAGTCTATTGTTGAGGTGTACATGTTTTATAGATAGCACCTTACTCCAAACTTTGACTGAAACCGTAGCCCAGTTCATGCGGATTGTTGGTTGGGGTGATTGTGTACTTGTGGGTATCCTACGAAGGATTTGCAGTAAAACTAAAGAGAGTGTAAAAAAAAAAAACTGGTTTGGACAGGATGATAAGCTGCAACATCAACGGAAATCGACGAAAATGATGAAGACGGCGACGGGAATCGTCTTTTTTAGCCGGCGACCGTCGATAATGCGTACGCATGATTGTACACTACCACCAACTACTGACGTCTACGGTGCACCGCCGCCGCCGCCGTGGCCGTGGCCGTCGCCGGCGGCGCCCATTTCGTGAAACAACCTTGTCATTTTAGGGTGCAAGCGACATGCCGTGGTGTGTCTACGTTTTACCCTTTTAAAAGCATTTAAAACTTTAGTAAAGTGTGTAATGTAACAACGGCCAATTTTCCAAGCTTCTAAACGGTGTACGCTTTTTTTATAAAAATGCTTTTTATACAAACTTTTAGAAAACAATTTTTATTTATTTTTCAACTTTTTAATGCTTACTTCATTCATTTGTACTCTCAAATAATTATTACAAAATCATTCAACTATTTAGTTATTCATTAAAAAAACTGAATAAAGTAAAATGATATACCAGTAAGGTCTTTTTTGGAACATATAGATATTTAGAAGATTTTTATGAGAATCAAGGTCTTCTTTGAGAGGATGATTTTTCAGAATTTTTTTTGTGGGAATTGAACCAATATCTACTGATTTTTCGCGAACTCAATATCTACTGAAATTTGTACTATTAAATTCGTGCACTGCAATAATAGCCCAAAACCAATTTATATAATTGTTTTTATAATTCGTGTGTTGGCAAGACCTTCCATTTCATTGTTAGGTGTACTTTTATCACTGTCCATCTCCTCTATGCCGTGGACATGACCATCTGGTTGAAATAAATTTTTTGGTACATATATGATCTGTTAACTGTACTGGCCACTGGGCTCATCGTGTCCTACTCTTAAACATGATCTGTTTCAGCGGATCCAACACACCGAAAAAACCCATTTATTTTATTTTACCAGGCGAAACACCCCCACACACAAAGAGCCAAAATTTGTGAGCAAATGATCCAAACCCAACCGCCAAATCTCGTTACATCACGAAAACGACCAAACCGATCCCCAAAATTCCCCAAATTTCCTTCCTTTTTAATAAACCTTTCGTCATAAAGACGAGAGAGAGAGAGAGAGAGGAGAAGAGCAGCAAGAGAAGAAGAGAGGACAAGTGAGAGAAAAAAAAGGCTTCTTTTCTCTCCAATCTCTCTCTCTCTCTCTCTCTTCTCCTCCTCCTCGCCCACCTCAGGCAGCCGCATTAATGGATTCCGCGGCCGCGGCCTCCTCCTCCTCCTCCTCCCACCTCCGCCACCTCTCCACCTCGCCGGACCTAATGTGACGGCGGCGCGGATCCCTCAACGGCGGCGGCTGGGTCCAAGAGGTGTGGTTTTGTTGTGTTGTGCACGAGAAAAAGTCGCTGGTTTGGGAGCTTACCGGCGAGGGCGACGAGCTACGGCTCAATGCGGCTCGATCCGGAGTGGTGTTCGCGGCGATTTGGCTCCGGTTGGGCGCTGCTTTGGTGAATCCGGCGGCGTTGACTCCAGCTGGGAGGAGAAGGCCGGATCTTTGCGGTGTTCTACACGGGCGAGGGCTGCCTTGTGGTTTCTTGGGGGGTGTTCTTAGTTGGGGATTACCTGCATTTCGGGTAAATTGATGGAATGCTGCTGTATATTGCAGGCGTTGTTCTCTGAGTTTGAGTAGTATTGTTTCTTGGGTTTTGTTTTCTAGGTCACATTTGGGGGGGTAAAGATTGGGTTTTGGGGGACTCATCACTGGGCTCTTTCTTGATTACTAGTTTAGCTGCATTAAGCTAAGTATTACTTTGGTTCATTCGTTGTGTTTACGCGAGCTATTTTGTTTGCAGGTTTAGGGGAGTAAAGGGAAATGGATGTGGAGAAGCCTACTTCAAAGGGACATGGCTTCTTTAGCCTGTTTGATTGGGGCAAGAAGTCCAAGAAGCGGCTGGTCAGTGGAAATGGGAGCGATTCTCCGGCTCCAAGTAAGTCAATGTGGCACAGGAGTCCAGTCATTGCTATAAACTCGATACATCCTTTTTTTCTCAAATGGATGGAGGAATTAGGATTGCATACTGATACTTCCTTTGCAGGGGTTTCTGAAAATTTCAGGGAATCTGATGGTGGCACACCAAGCACTCGACCAAATTCGGTGCGTGTTCATGCGAGCAATCTTATTAGTTTTTTAGTTTTTTTTGTGTTATTTATGTGTAATTGTGTATGCATAATTGTTGGCAGTTCCTTGAAGATGCACCGAGTTTGAAGGAAAGCAGTGAGCACAGTTGCTCATCTTCAGTGGTTGACGATGAAGCTCTTGTGAGGAGGGGCCCCACTGTTGTAGCAAGGCTTATGGGTCTGGATTCCATGCCCGCAGCAAGCTCATCTGGATCCTATACGATGCCATTAACTGTGCAGCAGTCCCCCCAGAACAGTACTATCCATGATGAGTTCATTGGCAGAAGCTATGTTGGCAGTCCTCATAAGATGCCCGGTAGTCCTCATAAGATGCCTGGTAGTCCTATTGACCGGTTTAGGATGGAAGCATTGCCACCAAGATTTGCCAAAAGGACACTGTCGGTTGCGCAAAACAAGTTGTCCCCCATGAAGAATCCTAATCATATATCTAGCAGAAATGCTGCTGATATAATGGAGGCGGCGTCTAGGATTATAGGGGCTGGAGTTGAGGTTATTAGCCCTTACAGAGTTCGTGATGTTGGATATGCAAATACTGTTCGTGTATACAGCCAAAGAGAGATTGCGATAGTCCAACAAAGGCCACCAAGAATGAATGAAGCACTGAAGAAGCATGATGGCTTGACATCTTATAGGCTACCAACTGGAAAGCCTTTGGATGGAAGTCTGAAAAGTTCAGGGAACACCTCTGCTTCTGTGGTCTCACAGTCAAATGGAGGTGCTCCAGTTGGCCCAAAGGTCAAGGCCAGCAGTCGATCATCACCAGATTCTAGAGCAACTAATGTTCAAGGAAGGGAAGATATAAGCAAGATTAGCAGAAAACTTGCAACTCGGGATCCTGAGCGGAGAATGGTTGAGAGAAATGGGATTAACCAAGGGAAGAATAACAATCAAGTGGGCATGGCAAGTTCGTCCAATGTGCTTGTGCAAAATAACAGAAAGCAAAATGCTATGGTTAAGCACAAGGTGAATTCCAAGCCACCAACACCCAACCGGCAAAGAAGCAACACACATTCAATAAATGGCACTATGAGAAAGGTTGGGACTGCCGGCACACCGTCTGAAAACAATACTCAAGGTAACAGAAACGTGGAATTGCGGTCAACTGGCCATGCAAATAGAAGGCAAAATTCTACAGCCAAATCAATCCCCAAGCCAGGAAGATTACCAGATGGGAGGATACATTCAGTGAAAACCCGTCCAAGTGATAAAGATATTGCTGACAGAAGCCAAAGGCGTGTTCGGCACAATATTGTAATAGATGAGCAATCACCTTTTTCCATGAACAAGAAGAAAATTAGCACTGATATTGTTTCATTCACATTCACCGCACCAGTTGATAAACCATTATCTGGTTATCGCCTACCCAATCATTTAGTGGAAAAACAGTTTATGAAAAACGCGAGCTCAGTACCAAATTCAAGCGAGACATCGAGTGCTAAATTTGATTCAATTGATGGTGATTATTTGGGTCTCCTTTTAGAGCAGAAGTTGAGAGAACTTACTTCTGGGGTTAGGTCACCCTACTGTAAGCCAGCCAAAGATGTTCGGATATATGCCCCATCATCAGTTCTGGAAGATTCACAATCAGCATGTGAAACATCGAGCATTGCATCTACTGATTATGATAGGGAGTCCGTCCAATCCTATAAGGATGGAAAAGGCAGTTTCACCCAGACAGATCTTGCATCAAAGAGTGGTCAGGTATGGAATCACAGGCAATTCTGTTGCTATCATGCCCACCTTTTTCTCCTATGCATGTCATTTCCATTGCTGTGAGCATATGATAAATACCTGAAAAGGTTATTCAGATTCTGTGTTTCACCTGTTGGGAGCATGGAAAAAATATTAACCACTCCCTCCGTCCCATAATAAGTTCATTTTTGGCCTCCCCCATTTGTCCCAAAATAAGTTTATTTTTGAATAATCATTGCATCGGAGTTTGTGAAAGTAGGGGATAAATGTATTGGGAGTAGATAAAGTGGGGAATAATTGTATTGGGATTTGATAAAGTAGGGCTATTCTAGTCTTTTCGATGTTGTATTGGTATATGTGGGATAGGTGAAAAATGAACTTATTTTGGAACGGAGGGAGTAGTTAATTAGGCATATTATCTTTTCTTCATGTAGCTGCGATAAATGCAGAAACTGATATGGTTAATTTATCTTTTATTTTCAAGTCAGAGAATACTTTGATTCTCAGTTGATAACATCAAAAAGTTTGTCCAAAGAATATGTTGTCCATCAGAATTCAGAAATAAGAGCAATAGATTGATATCATAACCCTATCATATTTGGCATATTAATGATTTTGACCACCATGCTAATGTTTGTAAATTACATCAGCTCCAACTGTACGTCTTTACCCCATATGCTTTTCCTGCATGACCTTTGGTGTAAAAGTGTATATTGTTGATATTTTGGGATGTTAATAATCTAGATTTTTATTAACAATTAGTTTAGGGATTCTATGTTGTTCTTAAAGGTTATAATATTGTGTTCTGTTAGGAAATCCCTGGCTGTATACCCAACATTTTGTGCCTTTGATTATTCTTACATGCATAATTGGGTAGTTCCTAGTTTATTTTGTTCCATATGCCTTTTTACCTTTTGGAAACTGGCATACTTGGAATGCACGGATGAATCAAGGGAAACACCTGAAGCTTCTCGCTGCTATACTGAAGTGGGACACTTATTGTAACTCCTAAACAATGATTACTGCGTCTAAATATATAAAAGAGTAAATTTATCAATGACTGGTTGAGAATTGGTCATTGTGCTAACATTCCCTCTCTTTCACCAGTCATCTCAATCTGTGAAGTATGATAATGATGCCATGGATCAAATGGAGATAGAGCGCCTTCACCTCAGTCCCCTTTCAACATGGGATGCTTCTGTTTCAACTGAAACCGGTAGCTCAACAGAGAGCTGGAGAAGCGCAAATGGTAAATATACAGGTGCTTGGTTGTTGCTGGAGCATTAGCTGTATGTCTTCCTCAAAATCTTATATATTTTCCCTCTTTATAGGAACCAAAGTATTTAGCTCAACGGAAGGTGCAACAACGTCTAATTCTGCATGCTTCAGTAAATTCCTGGAAGCTGACGCTTTCTCGGAGTATTCTGACACAGCCTCATCAATCACTGTGACTACGACGGATATCCCCCCATCAGATAGCAGCAGTTCAAGCCGAATGGATTGCAGACAGGAGATTGATTTCATAAGAGAAATATTAAACACCAGTCCTCTTAATGGTCAAATTTGCTCGGGCTTGGAGCGATTCATTAACTCAGATATCCTGGATCTACAACTACTGGAAGACTTAAATGGCGATATTCGGCTGGCGGTGGGTGTAGCAGAGGGCAAAACACTCCGAATGAATCGGAGGCTGCTCTTCGAATGTGTAAACGAGATACTGAGTGTGAGATGTGCATACTATTTCAATGCCGGCTACGGCTCATGGTTCTTGGGGATGGCAATTCTGAAGAAGCTCACAGCTGAAGAAATCTATGCGGAGATGACTGATCTGAAGGTTGCTGAGGAGTGGATGGTGGATGAACTCGTGTACAAAGAAATGAGTAGTCCTCTGGGGAGCTGGGTAGATTTCAAGTTGGAGTCATACGAATCTGGCATTGACATTACAACAGAGTTGCTTGGTTCCTTGATCGATGAAATGGTTGCTGATCTACTTCTAGTGTCTGACACTTCTTTGTAGCAGGTGTTCTTTTCCCACTAATGATACCAGTTTGACAGCCACAAACAAGGTTTTTGTTCCATATGTTGGTCTCACAAATTGTAAATTGGTAGTAGTTCGGTCATGCAACTGTGCATGTTTTGTCACGAAAGATTGATAATGTTGCTACTAACCTGCCCATTGTTTATCTGATGATTGACCGTCGATGTCTGTCATGATGAACCATTCTTGAACTGTTCATGTGCCATTTGATTGGAGCACCTGTGGGGATAAAATAATTACTACCATCTGCTGTGTGATGCTGTCCCTCCTGTAACATGTTAATCCTTGCAAAAACATTGTCCCCATTCTCCATTCACCCCATGGTCAATTGAAGTAACTTCCACTGCATCTTTAGCTTCTCCTTTCAGTTTCTTGCTTCTATTTAGGGTTAATAAATAATCTGGTGGGGTATCATAGATGATGAGAGTACAGATGATGAGAGTGTAGATCTCATATGCATTAGCATCGGGGGCAGCACGGGCTCGGCCGTGACCGCAAGAATGACGTTAAGTCTAGTGACTCTACCATCGCTCCACCTTCAAGTCCAGTGATTATGCAATCACTCTCCACACTTCTCTCTCGTTTTTTCTTTTTTTCTTTGATAGTTGGGGAATCCAAGGAGGAGCCTGGATCTAGCATCTTCGCTCTTCGCCGGGTAAGTTCCTGCCTCCCTGAGCCTCTTCAAGCTCGACACCCCTAGCCTTAATGATGACCATGATAATAGCGTGCATGACGGCGGGGGAGAAGAAAAAACATGTCTCATGGAGAAAGAGTGGTGGTGCGTGAAGCGGCAACTATAGTGGTTAGCCTCCCTGAGCCTCTTCAAGCCCGACACCCCAGCCTCAATGACGACCATGATAATAGCGTGCATGACGATGGGGAGAAGAAAAAACATGTCTCATGGAGAAAGAGTGGTGGTGCATGAAGCGGCAGCTATAGTGGTTGCCGGTGGTCTGAGTAGTTCCGAGTTTGTTGATTTTTTTTCTATGAGTACCGTTGACATGTCATCACACACAAAAAAAAACGCAAAATCTAAATCGAGAGTACTCTCGATTTAGTCATAACAAGCGAACTCTATCCAGATGTGTATTAACTTGAAGAATCTTACTTTACTATAGTACTAATCCATTAAGCAAGTAGGGGAAATATTCCTATCGTCTAAGCTACAAATAAAATTTTCTCTTAAATTACTCATCCGATTTACAATCCGATTACACCGTTGTATTCGTAATAATTAAATCTTTACAACAAGATTTCACATGATTATATTTTGATGAAAAATCACAAATTACTTTTATGATATGTATAAATTACTTTTAGATTTCACTAAGTTACTTCTTAGACATATAAAAGTAAATTCAGTAAAGTCTAAAAGTAATTTAGATATATTATAGAAGTAACTTATAACAAAAGGAAAGTAACTTTAATTAATGCCTTTTTTATTGAACAAATTATCATATATATAAGTTACTTTTAGATTTGATTAAAATACTTCCTATACATTTATAATGCTCCGAGGTGATTACTTTTATTATTATTTTTAGTTAATTTCATAATTTGTACTGATTAATTTAATTTCTACATAGAGTCATGTTTTTATCTCTATAACGTATTTACTTCAAATGACATGCCAAAGTTACCTTTGTTTTTGTTCTAAGTTACTTCTATAATATATGTAAATTACTTTTAGGCTTCACTGAATTTACTTTTATATATTTAAGAAGTAACTTAGTGAAATCTAAAAATAATTTAGACATATCATAAAAGTAATTTGTGATTTTTCATCAAAATATAATCATGTGAGATCTTGTTGTAAAGATTTAATTATTACGAACACAACGGTGTAATTAGATCGTAGATCAGATGAGTAGTTTAATAGAAAATTGTATTTGAAGTATAGGTAAATGGTGTCTCTTATAGATGGAGTGGAACCAGCTACCACTAGCTGTGTAGTTACGTCCATAAAAAAAAAAGGTAGTATAGCTAGTTTTAGGGTGAAAAAAAATTGAGATAAAAGGTGGGGTCATCATAAATATTTTTTAAGTGAAAATTTTGAGATAAAAGGTGGAGTCATCATAAAGATTTTTAAAGTGAAAACCTCGAGTATACTATCTCCCCCTTCCCTTCCCTTGGCGTAGAAGAAAATCACCCATCTCGTCGTCTCCTCCGCTCCTTGAGCCATCTCGCGGCCGAACAGGGGAGGGGGCGCCGATCTCCATCTGGCGAGAAGAGCAGGGGAGGGGATCCTGGTGAGGTGAGCATCCCCGCATCCTCTTTCTGATTCATCTCTCTGCTTGCGTTCGTTAACCCTAGCTTCTCTTCTAGATCTGGAAGAAGCTCTTCTTCTTCTTCTTAATTTCAGAGCCTTATTAACCTTAATACAAAGTAACAGTTTGTTTGTTCACCCAAAAGTTTGGCTGAACCCTCATGTCCCAAGTTGGATCCGCCCCTGTGAATCTCTCTTCTTGTGATCCTGCAAGCTGCAGGCAGCAAGCTAAGGCTGCAATGTGCAATTACCAGTTGTGATCCATGGACATATCAAAACCGTCTTACCCCATATATGTAGTGAGCCTGATACGTTTTTATGCCAGTTTTGTTCCTTCTGTTGATTATATTGCAGTAGGTGTTGGCTGAAAACAATCATTGGGAAGCTAATGTGTAATGAATTGAACTAATACGATGGCATTGATGCCTCTATGTTCTATTGTCCGTGCTGTTGTGCAAGGTCCTTCTTAGATGGATGCTTTTCTCTGCAATTAAATTGTTCCATCTGGTCTGTGTTGGTGAATTGACTTAGTCACTTCATTTCTCTGCAATTAAATTGTTCCATCTGGTCTGTATTGGTGAATTGACTTGTCACTTCATTTCTCTGCAATTAAATTGTTCCATCTGGTCTGTGTTGGTGAATTGACTTGTCACTTCATTTTAATCACAATCAGGACTACAAAGGAGGGATTCAAGTTTGAGTCTGGATTAAGTTGGCAGCATGTCGTCAAACAAGATAGAGCTTGACCACAAGGACATGGTCCATGATTCTGCCATCGACTACTACGGGAAGAGCCTTGCCACAGCCTCCTCAGACTCCACCGTGCAGATCAGCAGCATTGGAGGTGCATCCGCGCCATCCCAGCTGCTTGCAACCCTCAGCGGACACTATGGACCTGTGTGGCGTGTTGCATGGGCCCATCCCAAGTTTGGTTCGATTCTTGCATCCTGCGGCTACGATGGCCGTGTCGTAGTTTGGAAGGAGGGTGCAGCTGGGCAATGGTCTCAGGCTCACGTATTCGACAACCACAAGTCTTCACTCAACTCCATTGCTTGGGCTCCGTATGAGCTTGGCCTTTGCCTTGCCTGTGGCTCTTCCGACGGGAGCATCTCTGTCATGACCATGCGCCCGGATGGAGGATGGGACTCCACAACAATTGAGCAAGCACACCCTGTTGGGGTGATGGCAGTCTCATGGGCTCCAGCAACCGCACTCGGTTCCATTGTTGGCTCAGGGGAACTTGTCCAGAAGCTCGTCTCTGGTGGCTTCGACTGTGTTGTCAAGGTGTGGGCTTTTGTCAATGGCAGCTGGAAGCTGGATAGCGTTCTGCCCTCCGACATGCACACGGACTGCGTTAGAGATGTATCCTGGGCACCTGTTTTGGGCCTCGCAAAGTTTACAATCGCCAGTGCCTCTGAAGACGGTAAGGTTGTCATCTGGACCAAGGGGAAAGAGGGCGACAAATGGGAAGGGAAGGTGATGCATGACTTCGAGGCTCCGGCATGGAGGGTGTCCTGGTCACTGACCGGAAACATACTGTCCGTGGCGGCCGGCTCCGGCGATATCACACTGTGGAAGGAGGCATCAGATGGTCAGTGGGAGAAGGTGACCAAGGTGGAGCCATAGGAAGCCTCGGCTGTGGCCTGCAGTTTGCATCTCATATCAGATTCAGTCAGATACATGTTTCTAGTAGCAATGGAATCCACGAGTGTACTGATAGATACTCAAATTCTCACTTGTTATCATCATCATCTTTGGATGGATGTTGTTCTTACCTGAACAGAGTTGTGCTGTGTCTGTTTAGACCTGTAATTTACTGGTGCAATGGTGGTTTCTTAGTACTGTCAAATGAGACATCAGACATCTATGAGACGATTATAGTCTAGTTTCTTCCTTGCGCTTTGACATAGTTGAATAAAGCAATTTCTTATCCCATGGTGCCTCACTCTTGAAATATGAGAAGGATTTCTCTAATATTTTGAGGTCTCTTCAGAAAAAAAAAAACGCCAACCTCAACAGCAGTCGTCCGATTCTGATCCAACGGAATTCACATGAGCACATAGGATCCCGATTATTTTTGGGCCTAAATGCTACTCTGAGAAAGGTCTGAGAAGCCCACTAACACTTGCACAGCCCATAAAGGCCCAAAGCTCATGCCCAGTTTAGTCTCTAACGCTTTGCAAAAGAAAAACAGAAAAAAAGGAAAAAAGGAAAGGGAAAAAAAAAGTAGGGTTCCGGCGACCGGGCTACCGGCGGCGAGAAGGCGCAGCTCCGCACCCACCGGCCACCGTGAGGCCTGAGCCCCCCGCCCCCTAACGCCGACGGCCTACACCCAGAGGCGACTCGGCAAGCGGGCTGTGGCGCTAGGCGGCAGCGGGGGCGGCGGCCGCGACCACGACCAGCAAGGAGGAAGGGCTCTCCTCTAATCCTCTCCGTCTCTCCAAGAATCCAACCAGGTTAGTTTTTTGTTATCACATTTTTACTCGGGTAACTACCTCTAATCCTCTCCCTGATGGATAGATTGAAATCGAAGTCAGTGAGGGTTCAGAGATCAGGCTTGTTTTTGTGATTTGTAGGCCTAGATCAAGTTGATTTCACAATTCAAAGATGCAGTGCATGTTTTCTATGATTCGAATGCTCAGATCAGCTTGATTTCACAACCTAGGCACACTCGTCGTCGTGATTCCCTGGGTCCGCTTCGCCTAGTTATTTAGGGGGAGAGATTTTTTTTCTGTTATTATACCTGTTTCTCATTGCTGCTTCTGCTTGTGCTTCTTAGGTAGCAGCTGCTTGGCAGTGGGCAGAGCAACATGTCTAGCAATGTAAGTTACTTATATATGCTTCAAAGAGACTCATAAAATAAGGCAGTGTGGTGCATTTGAGCTGACCTTTTGCTTGTTTTGATGCATAGCCGGTTGGTGTCGATAACACTTTCCGGAGGAAATTTGACAAGGAGGAGTACTTGGAACGAGCTCGGCAGAGGGAGCGGGAGGAGAAGGTCCTCATTTTACATTCCACAATCATTTTCGAAGCTAAAAAAATATATACTTAATACTTCCTTCGCCCAACCTGTTGTTAACTTTGTTCTTTCTTTTTCTCTTGCTGATGCAGGAAGAAGCGCGGAAAGGCAAGGGTATGTAGTGCTATGTACTTCAATTCAGTTAGATTTGGATGGATGCATTTTATTTCTTGTAAAGCTAAATTAATTTCAACTATACATGACAGAAAAGGGCCCTCCTGTGCAAAGGCAACCTTTGAAGCATAGGGACTATGAAGTTGACCTTGAGTCCCGTCTTGGCAAGACTCAGGTTTGCTAGATCATCTTTGCTTTCTAATAAGTCTTCTTCTGTTGCTTTAGCATAGATTTTCCATGCTTCCTCATGCTGCATGATTATGTCTCCCGATTTTTTGTTCTTGTAGTCTTACCATTATTTTCTTTTATGATCAACAAGCTGTTTTTACAAATATGAATGCCCTTCTGATTGAGCTCATAACCGATTATGTTTGTTGTTTTTCTCCAGGTGGTAACTCCAATTGCACCTTTGAGTCAACAGGTTCGTCCAGAAATCCCACAGGACATGTTATAGTATTTTCATTGAGCTTTAATTATTTATTTACATGCCCTCTGGAATTCACTTACTGTCATTCATTTTGCTTTTGAAACAGAGTTTTTATCAGAAAAAAAAAATTTAGAATTCAGCCTGTGATTCATCTGTCCATGATGTCTGTTCTCGATAGCTGCATTATTAACAATTCTAGTTTCAATTTCAATGATTCTAGAAATTGCCTAAATGTTTTTCATGTTAAATTTATCACCTAAAATTTTGCTTTTAACTCTACTTCCTGACAGGCTGGTTACTATTGTAAAGTTTGTGAATGTGTCGTTAAAGATTCAGCTAACTATTTGGACCATATAAATGGCAAGAAACGTAAGTATTCTGACTTTCTGAGACCTCTGGTTTAGGCTGAGTTGGTATATCAAACCTTTTAATAATCAATGTTTCGTGGTTTGAATGTTTGACAGATCAGAGAGCATTGGGCATGTCTATGCGTGTTGAGAGAGCATCACTTGAACAGGTATAATATCTGAGCCTATTTGTCAGATCTGCAATTGAAAATTAACAATCCTGTTCCAATTGTTTACAAGTCTTGCTCACTCATATGTGTACTACATTATGGATTTGTTCATGTGAGACAAGTGAGCCAATGGTTGCATATTTAGCTTCTCGATATTCCTATCGGGAACTTGAAATATGTAGTCAGTACTCTTTTTCTCCTGTTTTTTTTTTCCTTAAGTAACTTTCTGGCTGCAGGTTCAGAAAAGGTTTGAGTCACTTAAGAAGAGGAAAGACCCAGGTAGCTTTAGTGAACAAGGTGAGAAAAAGCAACAAAAATAAATATCAAATTTATTTTGTTCTATCTTTGTCCTTAAGATTTATTTTCCCCTATCTTTGCCCTTGAGAAGGAAACTGTTATGTGGAATAGCTGCAAAGGGAGCCTTATGAGGAAGTATTATCTAAACATTCTCCTTTTGTGTTCTACACCTTCAGATTTGGATGAGAGAATATTGAAACAGCAGCAAGAGGATGAGGAGAGGAAGCGCCAACGCAAAGAAAAGAAGAAAGAGAAAAAGGTAATTGCAACCATGCATGCAGATGGCTGACATTTCCTTAGTTCACAGTTCTGTTGGCTGTGAAATTCAGTAGAATTCATGATATTTTCTGCTTTCCTTAATTTACAGTTCTGTTGGCTGTGAAAATCAGTAGAATTCATAATAAACTGGATGTCAAATGGTTTCAGAAAGAGCTGGCTGCCCAGAATGAACCTGAGGAGGACATAGACCCTGATGTTGCTGCCATGATGGGTTTCGGAGGCTTCCGTTCCTCAAAGAAATGAATGATCCATGGCGGCCTTTTTTTGTGACCTGTGGTTTCTTTCAGGTCGAAGAGTATATGCACCTGGATTACAATATATATTTGTTTCTAAGGAACCAGGACAAGAGTTTTGTGCACCTCTTGATCCAAAGCTGCGTGGAAGTGATTGAAAATAACTTTTGTAATCGCTACCAGATAGTATTTTATCTGTAAGGATGCATGAGATGTCGAAACAAGTTTAATCTGTGTATTTCGGTATCCAAGAGTGAATGGTGACCTTGCTGTAATTCGATTCTCGCTTATGTGAATGATTTCTGAAGTGTTAAAATTACTCTGAACTTTCGAATTAACTCAGGTTTCTGGCACCAAATTGTGTATGCCATTGCGTTCGTGGTAGTCAGATTGCAATGTACAAGCATAAGTGAACGGGTGTACTAATAGATTTACTTCAGTTATTGAAATAATAATAAACTAATACTCTTTAGTTAAACTCAGTTGCGACTGTCAATGATGGTAAGCTGATACTCTTTCAGTCTTCACTCGCAAAGCGAACAAAGCCATCTGCACAAGTTCATAAACTTGCTAATTTGATCAAAACAGATCAGCAGCTCTTCCCGCCTAATTTACAAATCGACAATAGTAAAAATTTACAATAATATGACTCTTGATGTAAATAACTTTTTTTCCCTTTTTCTCTTAACTACTTATACTTACTCTTTGGTGTACGCGTACATCCTCTTCCTCATCCACTCCGTATTAATTGCCTTAACCTTGTCTTAAACAATTACATCATGTAAGAGACCTCTTTGCCTTAACCTTTTTCACGAATGCGCAACACGTCAATATATTAGAAGAAAATAGTTATAGTTACACAACGCAATCAGCCAGACCAGCTTATGCCAGAGGAAGGGAGAAAAAACAAAATGAAAAGATGAAGCTTAGAAAAACTACGGTGGCTAAAACATAGACTCTAAGCAAGTAGGCAGCGGGAAGGGGCCGAGCCACGTTACACTCCCAACAAGTTCCTAAAAGCGGCAACGCCAACTAAAGACCATAGATGACCCTATGAGTGGATGGACTCTAGCACCATTGAGACCAAAGAGAGCTTATAGTCAAAAACCTTAAAGTTCCGTTACTTCCACAGCTGCCAAGAGACCAGGAGTACCAGGGAGTCGAAACCAACGCGAAGATGCTTAGGCAAGCAAGACCTGGAAGATGGCCACTAGTTCTAAAACCAGCTGCCACGGGGTGGAGAGAGGGTAGCCCAGCCTTTGCCTTAACCTTGTTAATTAACAGCTTGTGTGTTCCTTATTCCCCACGTTACGTCCACCCTTTGTTTCCCGCCATATTTTCACAAATCCGAGTCCGACTCCGAGTGTAACACCGAGTTCCAAACCTTTTGGAGAAACCAAAATCAACGCCTTATAAATATGAAGGCCATCCACACACCCGCTTCACCTGAAGTCAAACCCTAGCTAGGGTTCTTCACCTTCACCTCTTCTTCCTCACGTCCGTGCCAACTCTCGCCGCGCGCCATGGCTGAGATCGGCAAGGGCTTGGTGTTCTCCCCCAGCGACGACCAGCTCACCGACGGCTACCTCCGGAGCTACCTTGTCCGGACCAGCCTCGACGACCTGCCCTCCGCCGCCACCTCCTACTTCCACGTCGCCGACGTGTACTCCGCCCCACCCGATCAGCTCGTCGCCGGCCTCGCCCCGGCGCCCGGCACCGGCGACGGCGATGGCCGGGTGTGGTACGTGTTCACCCCAGTGCGCGTTCTCGGCAGCCGCGGCGCGAGGAAGGCTCGCACCGTCGGCGGCGGCTGCGGCGAGTGCTGGCACGCGGAGGGAGGCCCCAAGGACGTCAAGGGCAGCGCCGCCGGCGGCAAGCTGCAGAAGTTCTCGTACAAGATCAAGACGGCGTTGGGCGCCGTCGTCAAGCCCGGGTGGCTCATGGTGGAGTTCTCGTTCCCCGGCTCCGACCACCTCGCGCTCTGCAAGGTCTACCGCTCGCCCCGCACGTCGCGCTACGGCGCGCCCTCGCCGCCGTCCTCCGCCGCGTCGTCACCGTCGAGGGCCGCGCCGCCGCCCGTGTCGTCGACGTCCGGCCGCAAGCGCAAGGCAGAGGAGGAGTCCGACCACCCCGAGGCGCCAGCGAGCAGCGCGCCGCGGCGAACTCTGCCGGCGTCGGAGCAACACGTCGACGTCGACGCCGCTGCAGCATCCGAGCCGGATCAGGGCGGCTACCTGAGCACTGACCAGCTGGACAGCGTCGCGGCGTTCGTGCAAGAACACGAGGCGTTCGTGCAAGAACACGAGGGGGACGAGGAGTTCTGCAAGAGCCTCGGGTTCGACGAGCGCTCGGATCCGCAATGCTGGACCAACTTCTTCTTGTCGGCGTTGGAGGAGTTCGGGCCGGCGCCAGAAACCGACGCCGCCGCCGTCGCCGTCGCCGCCGTTGAGCCTGGCCCTTGCCCGGAGTACGAGGAACACGATGACACTGCCACTACTGCTGCGTCCAGCCATGCTTACGACAGTGCCACGGCTGAGCTGGTGAACCTCTCGGACAAGGAGTTCTATGACATCATCTTCTCCGGTGACCAACAAGGCGGCGCCGCTGTGGCTGGATGAGCCTCTGAGAATTCCTCCGACGAGCTGTCCAACACTAACTTCATGGGACTTGTTAGATGTTTATTCGTACTTACTCCGTTTCATAATGTAAGTCATTCTAGCATTTCCCACATTTTACATTGTGAAACGGAGGGAGTAGCTAGCTACCTAGCTTTGGTCCTCGAGATGTAAAGATTCCCATTGCGATGAACAGAAGTACAGAACTCTCGTAATTACTGTCACTAATCCTCGATGTGTTGTTTAGTCAGACAGATTGATTATTTCTGTGCGTCTAATTGAATTCACTAGATCAGAATAAAAAGGATTGCTCAATAGTAGTAGGAAATTTTGTAAGTCCCATTAAGATTCAGGTATGCCGCCCGGATGCAGAGTTATGAGACGAACTCGCTAGCTGCTCAATGACTTTTGGATATTCCATTTATCAGATAAAAAAGAGATTGCGTTACTCCTTTTCCTCTCAGCAATGTCTCTAGTAGTGCTAAAAATTCATGGACTTTCCTCTAATCACTCTGACCAAACACACACACAAAGGAAGAAATGGCAACTTCCTGATGTTGGAGTTAATTTATTTCTAGAACATACCAGCCTACTCTCTAACCCTCTCTACTACTCGTGAAACTAAAGTCAAGGTTGAAGTCCTTGCTCTATAAATTTTCTAGAACAGTGTAGTGTGTAGACATGCATGATGTGATTTTACAGTAGTACTAGTACCAGTGAAGTTTGACAATGTAGTAGTACTACAAGTCTCTAGCTAGGTCCTGAAGCTTCCTACATATCAGTTTATCAAGCCTATAAATAGAAAGCCAGTGCATGTGTATAGACTGATGATGGTGTGCTGCCCAACGTACAAGCAAGTGTACTGTTCAGTCCTCAAGCAAGCAAGTAAAGAAACCAGTTAAAACTAGCACAAGCTTCTCTGCTCCTCTTCTCTGATCCCCTGCTTAGGAAATATTTAGCACCAACAACTGGTATCAGAGCGCCCAGGTTCGAGTAGGGCGTGACAGAGTAGCACGGCGTATCGGTATTGTCAATTGAAGCTACAAGTATGGCTTCAAGTTCGGGCGCCACAATGGCGCAGTCTATGGTTCCTGTATTTGCAGGAGAAAATTATGATATATGGAGCATCAAGATGCGGACGCTGCTGCTATCTCAAGGATTGTGGGATATTGTTGAGAATGGCTATCAAGAGTATTCCGCTGGAGAAACTCTTACGGCGGAACAGAAAAAGTCTTTGGCAGAGGATCGGATGTCGGACGCCAAGGCCTTGTTCTTGATCCAACAAGGAGTTGCGGAAAGTCTATTTCCACGTATTATTGGCGCCAAGAAATCCAAGGAAGCATGGGACAAGTTGAAGGAGGAGTTTCAAGGATCTCAGAAGGTACTTGCGGTGAAGCTTCAAACCTTGAGAAGACAATTTCAGAATTTGCTAATGAAGGAGTCAGAGAAGGTAAAAGACTATTTCTCAAGAGTTATTGAGATCGTTAATCAGATGCGCCTCTATGGTGAAGATATAAACGACCAGAAGGTTGTGGAGAAAATTTTAATCAGTCTGCCTGAAAAATACGAGTACATTGTTGCTGCTATTGAGGAGTCGAAAGACTTGTCGAAAGACTCGTTGGAATCTCATGAAGAAAGAAAGCTTCAGCGCGAAGGGAGCTCTATTGAAAATGCATTTCAGTCAAAGTTGAGCTTCAGGCCTCAAAACTCAAGGTTTCGCGGAAATTTTCAAAAAAATGGATTTCCAATGCGAGACCGTGGTTATTTTCAGAAAAATGGCTTTTCCAGGCAGAAGGAAGATGGTCAAGAGAGAAGAGAAAAAGGTACGTCCAGTTCAAATTTGTGGTGTGACATTTGCCAAAAATCTAGTCATACTACAGATATGTGCTGGAAGAAAATGACCTGCAACAAGTGCAAAAGAAAGGGCCATATTGCAAAATATTGCAGAACTCGAGAAATTAATCGGGCTAATTTTTCACAAGAAAAGGAAAAATCTGAAGAAATGGTTTTCTCTTGCCATACTGCTCAAGAAGAAAAAGATGATGTTTGGGTTATTGACAGTGGTTGTACAAACCATATGGCCGCTGATCCAAATTTATTTCGAGAAATGGATTCATCGTATCATGCAAAGATCCACATGGGAAATGGCTCTATAGCCCAAAGTGAAGGCAAAGGTACGGTTGCTGTTCAAACAGCAGACGGTCCAAAATTTATAAAAGATGTTTTGTTGGTACCCGATTTAAAGCAAAATTTGCTAAGTATTGGGCAGCTTCTAGAACACGGGTACGCGGTTTATTTTGAAGATTTTTCTTGCAAAATATTGGACCGTAAAAATAATCGTCTGGTCGCTAAAATAAATATGGAGAAGAATAGAAATTTTCTATTAAGGATGAATCATACAACTCAAATGGCTCTCAGAAGTGAAGTTGATATTTCCGATTTATGGCACAAAAGAATGGGTCATCTTAATTACAGAGCATTGAAGCTACTCAGGACAAAAGGTATGGTTCAAGGCCTTCCATTTATTACTCTCAAGTCTGACCCATGTGAAGGTTGTGTATTTGGAAAACAAATCCGGGCTTCTTTTCCCCACAGTGGAGCTTGGAGAGCAAGTGCACCATTGGAACTAGTGCACGCTGATATAGTTGGTAAAGTGCCAACAATTTCAGAAGGAGGAAATTGGTACTTTATCACATTTATCGATGATTATACAAGAATGATCTGGGTATATTTTCTAAAAGAAAAATCTGCAGCCTTGGAGATATTCAAAAAATTCAAGGCCATGGTGGAAAATCAGAGTAATCGAAAAATTAAAGTATTGCGCAGCGATCAAGGAAGAGAATATATCTCAAAAGAATTTGAGAAATATTGTGAAAATGCTGGCATCCGAAGACAGCTAACGGCAGGCTATAGTGCTCAACAAAATGGAGTTGCAGAACGGAAAAATCGGACGATCAATGATATGGCCAATTCTATGCTCCAAGACAAAGGTATGCCTAAATCTTTCTGGGCTGAAGCAGTTAATACTGCAGTTTATATTTTAAATAGAAGTCCTACCAAGGCAGTAACAAACCGTACACCTTTTGAAGCTTGGTATGGTAAAAAGCCTGTCATTGGTCATATGAGAGTATTTGGTTGCATTTGCTATGCTCAAGTGCCAGCACAAAAGAGAGTAAAATTTGATAATAAAAGTGATCGGTGCATATTTGTTGGCTATGCTGATGGTATCAAAGGCTATAGACTTTATAATTTGGAGAAAAAGAAAATTATCATTAGCAGAGATGCGATTTTTGATGAGAGTGCTACATGGAACTGGAAGTCTCCAGAAGCCTCTAGTACTCCATTATTGCCAACCACTACCATCACACTAGGCCAACCACATATGCATGGCACTCATGAAGTGGAAGATCATACTCCAAGTCCACAGCCATCAAGTCCAATGTCAAGCTCAAGTGCTAGTTCAGATTCAAGCCCGAGCAGTGAAGAGCAAATTTCTACACCGGAATCAGCTCCAAGACGGGTAAGAAGTATGGTTGAATTATTAGAATCTACTTCTCAACAAAGAGGGTCAGAACAACATGAATTTTGCAATTATTCAGTTGTTGAGCCACAAAGTTTCCAAGAAGCAGAAAAACATGATAATTGGATAAAGGCCATGGAAGATGAGATTCATATGATTGAGAAAAATAATACATGGGAGTTGGTTGATCGTCCTAGGGACAGAGAAGTTATTGGAGTTAAGTGGGTTTATAAGACAAAATTAAATCCAGATGGCTCAGTTCAGAAATACAAGGCAAGACTTGTGGCAAAAGGCTTTAAGCAAAAGCCTGGGATTGATTATTATGAGACATATGCTCCTGTTGCCAGGCTAGAGACAATTCGTACCATAATTGCTCTAGCAGCTCAAAAGAGGTGGAAGATATATCAACTTGATGTTAAATCGGCTTTCTTAAATGGTTATCTTGATGAAGAAATCTATGTTGAACAACCTGAAGGGTTTTCAGTCCAAGGGGGAGAAAATAAGGTATTCAGACTCAAGAAGGCTTTATATGGATTAAAGCAAGCGCCTAGAGCGTGGTATAGTCAAATTGACAAGTACTTTATTCAGAAAGGATTTGCCAAGAGCATAAGTGAGCCTACTCTATATGTCAACAAAACAGGTACGGATATCCTAATCGTCTCACTCTATGTTGACGATTTGATATATACTGGCAATAGTGAGAAGATGATGCAAGACTTTAAAAAAGATATGATGCATACATATGAAATGAGTGATCTGGGCTTGCTCCACTATTTTCTCGGTATGGAAGTGCATCAAAGTGATGAAGGAATATTTATATCACAAAGGAAATATGCTGAAAATATTCTGAAGAAATTTAAGATGGATAACTGCAAGTCAGTTACAACCCCCTTGTTGCCAAATGAAAAGCAAAAGGCTAGAGATGGAGCTGATAAGGCAGATCCAACAATTTACAGAAGCTTAGTTGGAAGTTTATTATATTTGACCGCAACACGACCGGATATTATGTTTGCGGCAAGTTTATTATCAAGATATATGTCTAGCCCAAGTCAATTAAATTTTACCGCTGCAAAGAGAGTTTTGCGGTATATCAAAGGGACCGCAGATTATGGTATATGGTATAAGCCAGTTAAAGAATCAAAATTAATTGGCTACACGGACAGTGACTGGGCTGGATGTCTTGACGATATGAAGAGCACATCAGGCTACGCTTTCTCACTTGGTTCAGGTATGTGCTCCTGGTCTACAAAAAAACAAAATATTGTCGCTTTATCTTCAGCCGAAGCAGAATATGTAGCAGCATCAAAAGCTGTTTCACAAGTTGTTTGGTTGAGGAGAATTATGGAAGATCTGGGCGAGAAGCAATATCAGCCTACTACAATTTATTGCGACAGTAAGTCTGCAATTGCGATCAGCGAAAATCCAGTCAGTCATGACAGGACGAAACATATTGCTATCAAGTATCATTATATCCGGGAAGCAGTTGATCGCCAGGAAGTTAAATTGGAATTTTGCCGAACTGATGAGCAGTTGGCAGATATATTTACCAAGGCTTTATCCAAAGAAAAATTTGTCCGCGACAGAGAGCTCATCGGAGTTTGCAAGAAATAAATTAAGGGGGAGTTTGTTGGAGTTAATTTATTTCTAGAACATACCAGCCTACTCTCTAACCCTCTCTACTACTCGTGAAACTAAAGTCAAGGTTGAAGTCCTTGCTCTATAAATTTTCTAGAACAGTGTAGTGTGTAGACATGCATGATGTGATTTTACAGTAGTACTAGTACCAGTGAAGTTTGACAATGTAGTAGTACTACAAGTCTCTAGCTAGGTCCTGAAGCTTCTTACATATCGGTTTATCAAGCCTATAAATAGAAAGCCAGTGCATGTGTATAGACTGATGATGGTGTGCTGCCCAACGTACAAGCAAGTGTACTGTTCAGCCCTCAAGCAAGCAAGTAAAGAAACCAGTTAAAACTAGCACAAGCTTCTCTGCTCCTCTTCTCTGATCCCCTGCTTAGGAAATATTTAGCACCAACACCTGATTCAGTTGCCTCTTCGTCATGACATATTATCATCTAATAATAATAAAATATCTAAAGCTCGTCCTTCTTCGCAGCGGAAGAATCATCCTTGCTGCTCTTTGGCTTCTCATCAGCAGAGACCTTGATGTCCTGCGGTTTCTCATCACCCTTGTCCTTGGTCTGCTCAGCAACGACATCAGCCTTGTCATCGTCCGCCTCATCCTCATCATCCTGACATACAAATTATGGCATGGTGTTTAGCACAAGGTTAGTGTATACTGTATCTAGCGCGGTCTGGAGCTTACACTAGCGTCGTCGTCGCTGTCGTCGATTTTAGAGTTTGCAGATTCCTAGCAAGAAGGAACAATTAAAAGTTAGAGCTGAAAAATGCTTTTGTTAGTTCTGTCATGTATTACAGGTTATTTTCTGCATCTATAGTTCAAACAAGAAGCAACAGCAAGATATGGCTCAGAAAAAGAAAATTTCCTGCCTACCTCCTCAAGCCTCTTCTTCTCAGCTTCATCAAAGGCGGCTTTCTCAGCCTACACAGACAAATCACGATTTAATTCTTCACAACTAGAAACTGAAACAAAATAAAACAGTAATGTGCACCAAAGATAAGACAACACACATCTTTATGCTTGGCCCAGGTTTCTTCTGCAAATTTCTTGGCATACTCAGGGTCATCAGTGATAAGAATGTTGTCAAACAAAGTTCCCGACTTAACCTGTTACCAATACATTGAATTATTAATGTTTCAACAGAACTACAGAAATTAATTTCAGTTTCATGGAATTCAGCACTAACCTGCCACAGCTCAATGCCAATGTGGTTCAAACTATCAAAAGCGTAGATGTAAGGATCATCCTTGTAATCTGCACAAACAAGAAAGGAATTCACATGAGCGATAAAAGCATATACAAATCGCTGGATTACCTTGTTTCTTTCTAGAAAAAATATGTTTGGTGTATACCTGGGTTGGGGATCAATGGTGCCTTCCATTTGCCCTTGTAATTAGGGTTCTTAAGTTTCTAAACACACAAAATTTCATGCAATTAGTGAGTAATCGTGATGCTGAACCTAGCTTGTCTAGAGTAAATGAACTATTCAGTCACACTCATACCTTTTGGTTCCATGGTCCCTTGTACTCAGGGTTTGGAATGGTTGGAGCTGTCCATTCTCCATCTTCCTCATCATCCCAGTCCTCAGGCTGTACAGATTGCATAATGTGAAGTTGCATGTTGGACAAAATGATGTGAAATCGCATACTGGTTGATGCATCTCATCGAACTTGTATGAGAAGAATGGAAAATGTCCATTTAAAATAAAAATGGCAACACATACCTTAGTTGCTTCTGGGTCAGTAATTTCCTTAGGGATATCATCATAGCCCTTCAAACGACAATTATTCATAAGTAAAAGAAACCATCAGAGAGAAGCATCAAGGGAAAATAACAGTATATATAGTTCAGTTTAGAAATTTATAATGCTGTGCTGTGGTAGTGTGGTTAGATTTACTCAAAATAAAATGGGTAGTGCAATGTACTCTGCTGCTATCTGAGTAGCAGCAAGCTCACAACATACAGTGCAGTATTGCCACCCATTTTCATGCAGAATCTCAGTAGAGTGGTATTAGTAAAAACTCAATTAATCTTCAGACAGAAATATCATCTAAAGTTGCACAAACAAAGGAAAGCAACCTCAGGCTTCTTGTCCTCAGGATCAGGAATGTATTCATTGTCGTCCCAGTCTTCTGGCTGCAAACAGTAACATATTACCATATAAGTTATGACCTCTGTAAAAATAGAAGAGCATAGACAGCCTATTCAGAAGTCAGAACAACCAGTGAATTATCTCTAAGTTACCTTCTTGGCTTCAGGATCCCTCTTATTCTTTGGAGGAATAATGTTCCAATCATCATAGATGCTTCCAGTTTGCTTCTCAGTGTTATCGATCAGAATGCTGTATTTGGCGTCAGGACGGATGATCAAGGTGTAGACGTGCGTCAGTTGATCGGTCTTGCATGGCACGTCCTTCTTGATTAGATGGTTCTTGCCGTTCTTTGTAAGGATAGCGTGAACCTTCTTGGTGGCATACCCGCAGATATCTGGTCCAAACATGATGCTGCAATTTCAAAAGAAACTGATCAATCAAAGATGTTGCGCTCTGAAATGAGCACACAGAGGGGAATGCGAAGTGATCAAATTAAACCATCACCTGTACGGCGTCTCGCCACCAAACTTCTTCTGGTCAACGTCGCCACCGAGCAATTTCACGTAGCCGCCGCCGCAGTCGAGCTTCTGCTCGTGCTTCACCGAGAACTGCAGCACGAGGGTCTTGTCCTTGCTGCTGAACTCAGGGTACTTGGCCGAAATGGCGTAGAATCTGTAGTCCTCTGACGTCTGGATACCTGCACAGAGAAGCAGAGTAACTTCGCACATGCCTGAACAGAAAAAAAAAAAGAAGAAAAAACGAAATCAGCAGCGTGGTGTGTGCATCGATCCTCACCCTTGTCGTCGGCGTCGCCGTACCACTTGCCGGAGGTGTGGTTCCATTCGCCGGCCCTGTTGTCATCCTTCTTCCACTCAGATTTGACCCACCGATCCTCCCATCCATCTGTTTTCACACACAATTCAGAATTCAGAAACCAACCAATTTTAATATTCTACATATCCACCAACAGGATCAGGGAAAAGAGGAAAAAAATAATCTCTCAAAAAATCAAGTAATAAACCCTGAACCCCGGCCTTAATTTTTCACGAAAGGAAATCCTATTTTCCCTTCGAATTCTCCGGAGATCTGAGAAATGAACGCGTAGAAAGCACGCGATCGCTACTGAGACTACTGAAACTAAATGGATCCTTCCGTTAAAAAAAAAAAACTAAATGGATCCATTCATGCGAAGCAAAAACGGTGCGCCACGCAAACGGGAACATCTTTTTTTTGAAACCGCAAACGGGAACATCCTAAAGCTGTGGATCGCGAGGCCAAAACAGTAACGGTTACGAGATGGCACATGAACTCCAGAATTCCTCAGACTCGCTTCGTCGCAAATGCCACTGATGAATTCCACGGAAACAACGGGATCATGCATCATGAACAGGCTAAGAAACTGACCAGATCAACGTCATCATCCAACGAACCAACGAAAAAAATTCAAACGCATTACCAGTCTACTGGATCCACATTACACGACGACACAGGTTGTTAGATCCGGCGACTCACCGTCGAACTTCTCCTGGAAGAAGACCTCGCCGGCGACAGCGGCCACGGACGCGAGCGCCACCACGGCAGCGACGGCGGCCGCCGACCTTCTGGGGATCGCCATCACCCCCCGGGACGGCGGTATCTAGAAACCTCTAGAACCTTCCAAAGAAGTCTAATTCTAACCTTTTTTTTTCTCCACTGAACCAGAAAACCACCTGAGAAAATGAGATGGGTAGCGAGCGCGAAATGCACCGCGCTTAATAAAGGGCGGAGCGGTGTGGTTACCCGCACGGGAGGATGTTTCACTGACAAACCTGGCCCACGGGGAGTGACGAGCCGCGCGTGTACACGTGGGATGGCATGGCCCACGGCCGCTGTCCAATAGTGCACTGGGATACGGGAGCGTGGCCAATAGGAGGGCGACGCGTGTATAAAGCGACGTGTTTTTGGTCAGGGGAGGCAGAAGCCTCGTGCCACGTGGATGCTCCCGTGGAGTTATCCCCCTCCACGTACGGCCGGTGAAGGTCTCGCTGCACAAGGGCCAAGGGGTCCATGAGTTGGGCCCGCATGTCAGGAAAGAATCTTAATCAGAAATTCGAGTTAAGGTCATCTTGATAAAATTGAACTGTCAGAGCAACGTAAGTATTTGTTGATCAGGTGATCTCTCCGAGATGAGCGTTAAACAGCTCTCTAAACTTATATACTCCCTCCATTTCGAAATATTTGACACCGTTGACTTTTTAGCACATGTTTGACCGTTCGTTTTATTCAAAAACTTTTGTGAAATATGTAAAATTATATGCCTACATAAAAATATATTTAACAATGAATCAAATGATAGAAAAATAATTAATAATTACTTAAATTTTTTGAATAAGACGAATGGTCAAACATGTATTAAAAAGTCAACGGCGTCAAACATTTCGAAACGAAGGGAGTATGAGTTAACTCACAAATTTCCACAGAAGACAACTAGGCAATACAAAGAGTATAGAGAATTGGATATCTCAATGCTTCGTTTCAGACAGTCTTCCAGAAATTGAATTGCAAAGTTGCAGCCCCAAACTCAAGAAGCTGTCAGTACACAACAATGTGGTAGCAAACAGGCAGGTGCCAATGATGCAGGGCAATCAAATGGATACAATTTGGCATGTGGTACAGATGAATGTTTCTTACCTTTGAAGGCACTTCACCTTTGTTGTAATAAAAGCATACAAGTACGAAACAATTAAATGTCATCTTCTCTTCATCTTGGATAATCTATCAGCTATTCTTTTGCTCTATGGTCATTCCAGTCATTCAGAACCAGAGCTTAGGATATCCAAAAAAAATCAGAACATCTTGAGAAGGTATAGAAAGACCTTGGATAAACGGCAATAAACTCCTGAGTGAACCAAGTTTTACAAGAAGACAACAGAGACCAGTTTGCAACATCATGGAAAAAAAGTTCTACATAGATGCCAAATATGATCGTTTCATTGTGGATACAGAAATTCCTCTCAGCAGCAAGCAATAGCAAACTACAGCTGCTTCATATGGTGTATAGATCTTGCAAAATGTGTAAGAATCAGCGAAGCAAGAACCGGACTGCAGCTACAGCATCGCCTTTGTGCTCCCGTAGTGTTCTCTCTGCAATCTTCTTGTCCAACTGTGTGTTCAAATATATATTAGAACAGGATTTGAAAACATTATAAAACAATCATCTGATGAGGATTTAAGGTGGTCACCTCAAGCTCGTTAGCGATAATTTCAACATCAGCAGGGTTGATCTTGATGGCAGCTAATTCTTTTTCCCTGGTGAAGAGCAAAGACATTCCCACATGTAACTAATAACAATATACCGTATACGACATGCAAACTATGTTTTCAGTAAACCAGGGTCAGCCCATTTATCCAATGATGAGAAAGCTCACAAACCTATTCAAGGGCATCGCCTTCATTTCACAAGAGGGTTTATATAACTTGAAGAAATAGCATCATACTATCATGCAGAATCAGGCTAAATCAAAAGATTTGCAAGAAATAAAAGGGAGATATCCACTTAGAACATGCATGAGTTGTTCCTTCTTGTTGCGCTTATACTGTTTGGGATTCTTTTTTTCGTTTGCTTGTTCTTTCATCAGGTTAAAAGACTACCCCATTGAGGTATCAAGACTGCAACTGGTGCAAGTCGTCTGGTTTTCCTTCCCCAGGGCTTTATCATAACGCTTTTAGATGAAGCTAAAATTTTTGGCAAGCAAAGCTACTGTTCAAATTAAACTTCATGTTTGCTTTCCTCCACACACAGTTTCTAGTCGTTTAGCTTACATTAAGTCTTAATAGTATATTTTCACCATAATAAAGGGCAACCTAACATCATCTACTCAGGAAAAAAACTGCAATCACCATAAAACCTGCTTAGAGGAATAGGTAATTCCTAGGGAATGTATTAATCGTCAGAATGGAGAAATAATGGGTGTTTTGTACACTGACCTCAATCTCATGGCATTCCAATCAGCTTCTTTGGAAGAAGCAAGAGCTGCCATAGCCTGCAAAAGAAAGAGACGATTAAGCACAAACACCTTTCTTAATTGGCAAGTTGGTGTCAACATAATCCCTTAAATATTTGTAAGCAGATCATGTGTCAAGGGCTAAACACGGATTACTGATACCATAATTAGAAATTTATGAGGACCTTTATATCTGGAAAATTATTGGCATTCCAATAAAATAGTCAGATTCAAAATAAGCTCATGTTTAAGCCAAGCATGACTAAATTATAGCTAAAAACCATGAAAAAAACAAATCAGCCTGATTTGTCCTGCAAAATACCCATTAATCTATCTAACATTATCACCCACCAAGAACTTGAAAAAAAAATCAGGCTCACACACACCACCGTGCAAAAAGGATTTCATCATTCTGGCCTCAAGATCATCTGCCGTGTGTCTTGATTTTTATGTGCAGAACATACCCTGTAACAGGGATGGACAAATTACAGGATCTTTTCTACACAAACAGAATTTGAAGTCTTAAGCTCATCGCTCTACAGGCTACAGTTTGGCGTCTTGTGATGATGGCAGTGCTTGTAGTAGGTGCATGAAGACAATAGCAATGACACGGGATTAGAGGCTTTTGTACTGAAAATGCCACACTGTTCTTACTCAGGTTAAAGATGCACGTGAAATGTGTAATTATTGGATCAATACTTAGGTGACAACTGAAATACAAGGACCTAAAAAATAAAATGCACGAAATTCCTCTAGGCAAGGCTATTACGAGGTGAGTCTACCAATAGACATTAGTGAACCATCATGAGTCTACCAAACATCTAAATTATCCAGCTCTGCTCTTCACTCCGTTGCTTGCCACTGAACGGATTGACAATCAATCTATACATGTTCCACGCTGATGAGGCCGCTAATATGAGTAATCTAGAAGGGATTGAGGTTGGAGATGAACCAAACGTACGGATTGGACGCGGGAGGAATCGAGCTGGCGGTCCTCGACGCGGTCGGTGAGCTTGTCCAGCGCCTTGCTCTGCTGCTGCAGGTCCTTGGAGTCAACCGCCGCCTCCCCCGCGGCGGCACCGCCCGCCGCCGCCGCCGCAGCCGCAGCGGCAGCCGCCGACTCGTCGCCCGCCGCAGCCATCGCTCCCCACCACGCTCGCTGCCTAAACCCTAGAAATTCCCTTCTGCCGTGCGCAATCCAACGGAGGAGAAGATCTGGGAACGGCGGGGCAGTGTGTGGGTTGGTATGTTACCCTTCTTCGGCTTTGAGATTCGTGCGAGGGCGTGAAGGGTCTTTGTATTTTCAGATGGAATTGAACTTAATACAAATTTTGTAATCTGTGAATTTTGAAGGAGGCTAAATAGCATGTCGATTAGATATAATAATTTGAAAATTGAAATGAAATTTTAGTGGAATAAAATGATTAGTGTCATAGCAAAGCATGGTTAAACATCAACAACGATCAACATAACACTTTATATATTACAGTTTGTTCATGTCGAGAATGGAATTACTTGCACCTAATATTAATTTCAGTGCACATGCGACATATGTTAATGGTTTTCTCTACTACTATGACATCAATCACAAATTATCTTAGCAGCGTACGGCCCAAGTAGATTGTGAGAAAGTTTGTCTTATTTTCTGCGCGCACGCTTCTCGAACTACTAAACCGTGTATTTTTTAAAAAAAATTTATATACGAAAGTTGCTTAAAAAATCATATTAATCCATTTTTTAAGTTTAAAATAGTTTATACTCTATTTCGTCTTGCATATCTTCTCAAATTTCTATTTTCCTCTTCTCTCAAATTCACCCTAGTGTAAGCATGCAACAATAATCCATAATAAAAGTTTAAATAAGTAAGAGTGAATTGGAATGTAGGTCATCTTTTGCTGGTAACATTTTATTTTGGACCACCATTTTACCAATATTTTTCTTTGGATCAGATATTTTTGTTATTGCTACCGCGAACATTTTTTCACTGCACATCAATGATTGTAAGCATATTGGCTTCGGCATACTGCCGAACTTCTCCATCTATGCGAAGGCAAATATTTTTGCTGCGAGGAAGGCTAAACAACTAAAAACTGACAAAAAGAAAAAAATGATATAAAGGTAGTCTAAAGTAAAATTTCGACATGCCTAAAGTGTAATTCACTCACTAAATAAATAAAGATATCAAGCAATACTAATTGTATTTTTATGCATACAATTTGTTTTTTTATAGGAACGTGCGTAAGTTCATCAGATAAACGATATGCATCACCTTTTCTGTTTCTTATCTTTGAATGATAAGAATTCCGATTTTGTATCTAGAAGGGGACGAACTAAAACTCTGTCAGCATACTATCCTATTCAAGAGTAGAAAAAAGATGGACCTAATATCTAAAATAAATTCCAGATGTCGACAGAAGCCAATGCTAAAATAAAAATAAGATCACAATTTGTTAATGAGCTGCAGAAGAGACAGGTGAGCGCATAGGTACAACGACGTACAATACGCTGACCCCGCCATCATCGTATCATATACGGGTGGAGGCCACTCCCAATACTTTACACTACTCATCGACAAAAAAAAAAGGAAAAAAAAAAGAAAAACGACGGCCGTCCAATTCCCTCAAGAGCGGAGCGGAGGAGTCAGCAGCAGGCAGGCGCGCACAAACACCGCGTCGCACCGAACCCGACCCGAGACCTCACCTTTTCCTTTTTTTCTATTTTTTTCCCCCTTCTCGTACACCGATTGCGACCTCCGCGTCGCACTCGACTCGCATCGCACACCACCACCACCACCACCGTGCCAAAAGCATTCCTTCCTCCGCGCATTCTCCGCTCCGCTCCGCTTCGCTTCTCCCCCCTTCTCTCTCTCGCCGTCTCGCGCCGCCGCCTCGGGGACGCCCCGGTCGGCGATGTGGCGGGAGCATGCTGGGCGCGCTCCTTAGGCTGCTCTCCGCGTGCGGCGGGGTCTGGCCCACGTCACCGGCGCCGCCCGCGCGGTCGTCGTCGTCTTCGTCGGCGGCGGCCGCGGCGGACCAGGCCGCTGCTGAGGGCAGGGATGGCCTGCTGTGGTGGCGGGACCTCGCGCGGTGCCACGCCGGGGAGCTGTCCGTCGCCGTCGTGCAGGGGAACCACGTGCTCGAGGACCAGTGCCGCGTCGAGTCGGGCCCGCCGCCCCTCGCCGCCACCTGCATCGGCGTCTTCGACGGCCACGCCGGCCCCGACGCCGCCCGCTTCGCCTGCGACCACCTCCTCCCCAACCTCCGAGGTGAGCACCGCCCCCCCTCGCCCTTCCTACCCGCCGCCGCCCCGCCGGAAACGCGCGACTTAGGGTTGATCCGTGCAGAGGCCGCGTCCGGGCCGGAGGGCGTCACGGCCGACGCCATCAGGGACGCGTTCCTGGCCACGGAGGAAGGCTTCCTCGCGGTCGTCTCGCGGATGTGGGAGGCGCAGCCGGACATGGCCACCGTCGGGACGTGCTGCCTCGTCGGAGTCGTGCACCAGAGGACGCTCTTCGTCGCCAACCTCGGGGATTCCAGGGCCGTTCTTGGGAAGAAGGTTGGTCGCGCTGGTCAGATTACCGCCGAGCAACTGTCCAGTGAGCATAACGCCAATGAAGAGGATGTCAGGCAGGAGCTCATGGCTCAGCACCCAGATGATCCTCAGATTGTTGCTCTTAAACATGGGGTTTGGAGAGTCAAGGGCATCATACAGGTTGGTTTTTATCGCATTGTTCAGTTTCCTGTTGCTGAAACAGGATATTGTATCTGTAATATATATATTTTTCACTTCTCAGTAAATGTATTGGGCAATGCAGGTGTCCAGATCATTAGGCGATGCATATCTAAAGCATAGTCAGTATAACACGGAACAGATCAAACCAAAGTTCAGGCTCCCTGAACCATTCAGCAGGCCTATATTGAGTGCCAACCCATCTATCATCGCACGTTGCCTTCAACCAAGTGATTGCTTCATCATATTTGCCTCCGATGGTTTGTGGGAACACCTGAGTAATCAGCAGGCTGTTGAGATTGTGCACAACCATCAACGAGCTGTAAGATTCTGCACATTTAACTTGTTTATCTACTGCTTCACATTCTGGTCTCTGCTGTTGCCTAAGGGCTTGTTCAGTTAATCCCTCTCACAAGGGGATTGAGGGGGATTTGGAGGGAATTTATTCCACACATATTGTGGTGTGGAATTATTGCCCCTCAATACTCTCCAATTCCCTCCTCTTGAGGATTAAACGAGCAAGGCCCAAGTGATCTTAAACAATTTGCAATATTTTATGACCGGAGTTTTTCCCACTGAATTTTTTGTTAAGGCTTCAGGACATGAACGGTGAACCTTGGAACCTTATTTCACCTGGAAATAATGCCTTGATGTATTTTGCTATAATATTTACAATCAAATGTATGCATTAAAGTTTCAGATCTTGAACCTCTGTATTGCTAGTTTTGTTCCACAGGGTGACAGTATAATTCAAGTTCTGTTTTGCATCTAGACATTAGTATTTTGGGTAGCATTGTCCAAGCATTGCAATATTTAGACTAGACACTTATTGGGTGCTATGTGTATCCTCTAAAACAACAAATTCAGAAAGTATTAAGCTGATATACTTGATTGGTGATTAACTAAATGAGCATAGTCTGCATAAAATCTAGTTGCCATGCGCCGTGAAATTTTCAGTTATTTTGTTTGGTGATGGGTGCGGCTTTGGATGCAAGTATTTACTATCATGCAATCCATGTCCAGTGTCCACAGTTATCCACTGGGTTACAACCTGCAAGCTGGAAAAAAATATTGACATCGCCGGCTGTTTCCTTGAATGCTTTGCAGTTAGGAATAGGATCATCCTATTACTGTGATCTTTTCCATTTATTTAATCATGTGTCGTGACTTGTGACTGTATCAGCAATGGGCCAAAAATACCATTCTCAATGGATCATTGCTCTCCTGTAGTGCTGGGCTGCTGGCAGGAACAGTCTGGTCATGATAACCATTGTCTGATGATGTATACTGGACAGGGTTATTGTAGGTCCATACCAATAATGAATTGTTACTGCTTATATGTAAGGAGCTCCAGTTTTCTGATAAGTACTGGGGACATATTACTTGCTGCAGTGTAATGACTGCAGTCTATTACTTGTCTTCCTGGCTATATATTTGTTTTCTATATGGTTGCTCCTGATGATTCACATGCTTGCATTTCCTGCTATGCCCTAACCTAGCTAGTATTAAGATAATTGGTGCTGTTGACAATTTGATACACTGGTTTTCTTGTACTAGTAATAACTGTAGAAAATTTGGTTCAGTATGCGCTTCAACCTACTAGCATGGTAATTATTTTCATGGTTGTTGCCTAACGACTTAAAATAGGATAATAATTTATTCTATTTGATGGTAACACTTTTTTAAATTTAGGGAAGTGCAAGAAGGCTCATAAAGGCAGCTCTCCATGAAGCAGCACGGAAACGTGAGATGCGTTATTCAGACCTTATGAAGATTGACAAGAAGGTTCGCAGGCATTTCCATGACGATATCACTGTCATCGTCTTATTCATAAATTATGACCAATTAGCTAAAGGTCATTCACAAGGGCAATCTCTATCCATCAGATGTGCTTTAGATCATTGATTATGAGCTAATCCTACCATGAATGATCAGTTTCTGTGGGCAACAATCGCTACTCTGATGGTTTCATCAACCATACCATTGTGAACAGCCCACAACCTCCTGCAGCAGTTTTTTTTTCTTTTTTCCCTTTGGCTTTTGCACATAAAACTGACTACCTTCTAAATTGTCAGTTTTCCCCTCAAACGAATCGGATAAATGTGCATATTCCTGAAGCTGGAACTTTGCCTAGAGTTGAGGGAGCTTTATTAAGGATTATCATGTATTTTTTAATTGATTCATTTGTTCTCGTTTACATAAGCTAGTTTCTTTTGTATTGAGGAAAAAAGGTTTGTCTATCCACACCACATTTGCTTTTTCTTTTTTCTGAGCGGATATCGACACCACATTCTGCAGCATACAAAACTGCTGATCTCTACTTGATTATCCACTGGACAGTTTCTGGGATCATTAGTTTAGTGATTATTTGTACTACTTGATAATAATCATAGAGTAAAATATACCGTTGGTATCACAACTTGCGAGGTGAGTGCAGTTTAGTCACTCATCTAGCAAATTGCTCAATTAAGTCACTCATCTTGTTT